GAGCTGGGGTCTCAGCCCATGGGGAGATTGGGGGCGTTAACCCAAGCAGGTAGGACCATCGCACCTGGAACTGCGACATGATGAGGAACCGGCCAAGCTTCTTGGAGCTGGGGTCGTTGGGCAGACTGTTGAAACCCAACCTCTATTAAATCAGCCAAGCGGGAGGTATCAACTGGGGGAGGTGTCAACCACTGATCTCTCACGCACCTGGAACTGAGACATGATGAGGAACCGTCCCAGCTTCTTGGAGCTGGGGTCGTTGGGCAGGCTGTTGAAGCTGCACCTACCAGAAGAAATGGCTACAGTTGGCTATAGATGGCCATGGTTAGGACATCGCACCTGGAACTGAGACATGATGAGGAACCGTCCCAGCTTCTTGGAGCTGGGGTCGTTGGGCAGGCTGTTGAAGCTGCACCTACCAGAAGAAATGGCTACAGTTGGCTATAGATGGCCATGGTTAGGACATCGCACCTGGAACTGAGACATGATGAGGAACCGTCCCAGCTTCTTGGAGCTGGGGTCGTTGGGCAGGCTGTTGAAGCTGCGCGCCAAGCTGCTGATGATGGGCAGGAACACTCCCCCTGCCCTGGCGGTGGTGCTGGGCATGGTGGGCGAGATGAGCGCCTCGGATACTGCAAGGGGGGGTGCGAGAGCAGCAGAGGGTGGTTGAGAAAGCTGCGCGCCAAGCTGCTAATGATGGGCTATTTTAAGTCACTTTTGAGAATTCTTAAAAGCGATGGGCAGGAAGATGCCTCTGGTTCGTGCGGTGGTGCTGGCATGGTGGGGGAGATGAGGGCCGCGGAGACTGGAGAAGGGCAGGGCGTGGGGGGAGAGGGGGGCCAGGAGGAGGAAGCGGGTAGGAGGAAGGCTGGTCAAATTCATAATGTGCTGGGCTTGCCAAACCGCTTGACAAGTCGACACTTGGTCCTCTCCCCCCGCCGCACACACACACTCACCCTCACACACCCACATTTCCCCTTTTTCCCACCACAACCCCCCCACCCTTCACACACCTGCGAGCCCATAGCTGAGTCCCAGCGTGCTCTTGCCAAACCACTTGACAAAGTAGGTCGCCACTCGGTCCCCCAGGCCCGTCTTGACACACACGGACCCAGATACACCCACATAACCCTTCCCCCCCCCCCCTCCACACACCCACCTGCGAGCCCATAGCTGAGTCCCAGCGTGCTCTTGCCAAACCACTTGACAAAATAGGTCGCCACGCGGTCGCCCAGGCCCATCTTCACACACACACTAATTACTTCGCCAGAGGCAGCCATTTACACATAACAGCTCCCACCTGCGAGCCCATAGCTGAGTCCCAGCGTGCTCTTGCCGAACCACTTGACAAAGTAGGTCGCCACTCGGTCCCCCAGGCCCGTCTTGACGAAGCCTCGCGCGAAGAAGAATGAGATGACGATGAGCCAGATGACCTCGTTGGTCATGGCGCTGCATGGGGAGTGGGGGGAGGTGTTGCATGGGGGGTGGTAGGGGTGGGGGAATGAGACATAAGAGCACATCAGCGAACAACAGGCATTGAATGCGATGGCGATGACGTTAGAACAACAAATTACCATCATTGCCAGCTGGCAATGATGGTAATGTTGCTGATGAAAAGGGGGGGCAGGTGAGGTGAGGAAAAAGGAGAGGGGGGGGGAGCGGGAGCGGGGTGGGGTTTGGGAGAGGGGGGACGAGACGCATGATCACAAAAGAGAGCAACAGAGGAAGAGGAAGGAGATGACAATGAACCGCGGATGACAAGTGGCGTTGATGAGTCGATTTTTTAGTCGACTCAAAAATCGACTCATCACAAGAGGAAGGAGATGACAATGAACCGTGGACCATGACAAGTGGCGTTGGCAGAAGCAGGGGCAGCATGGGAGGCAGAAGACTGACCTGAAAGCTGCAGCGAAGGAGAGCGTCTTGGAAAGCACGGTGAATGTGAGGCAGACAAAGGCCCACGCGCCCACTGGGAGGGGACTGGTTGGGGGAGAGAGTGGTGCGGGGTGAATGAAAGGGGTGTGTGTGACAGGGGAAGAGAAGAAGCGAAGGAGAGTGTGTCTTAGAGAGGACGGTGAAGGTGAGGCAGACAAAGGCCCACGCGCCCACTGGGAGAGGCCTGGTAGGGAGAGGGGAGAGAGGGGAGTTGGGGGGTTGGTCAGAAAAAGGGATGGGTGTGAGGGAAGGGGTGAAGTCCGAGAGGAGATTGTTAGGAGAGGAGAGAAGTGAGTTGAGGCAGCGGGGTGCGTGTGATAGTGAACAATTGTTCCTGAAGCAATCTCAAGCGGACACAGCCATACAGGGATGGAACGAGAGGGAAAGGGGGATGAAACTTGGCATATCACCTGCCGATGATGAGATGAGTGGAAGAAAAGGAGGGACGATTTCCCGTACTTGAGAAGCGACCGATCATTGCGCTTACCCAAGGACAAGACCCGTGATGGTCGAGAGGAAGATGGCGAGAAGCTGCCATGCTTGGGTTGTCACTCCGGCAGGAACTGGGGTGAAAGAAAGAGAAGAGGGAGAATAATGTAGGGCAATGCAGCATGTGAGAGTGTAGCTTTTGGAAATGTACCCAGCGAAAATTGCAGCTTACGAAAATGCAGCTCCTGTGATTGTAACAGAGCGATGTACAAATCGGTCGTGGTGATGCAGAGGTGGTGAATCAAATCGGTACTTCAATGTACAACCCCATGCGCATGAACTAACAAAATCGGTAGTTCGCGGCTAGTGTTGTAAGGCTAATCTTAAACGGCTCATTATCAGCCTTGACATTCATGTTTCTATCTACGGCTATAGAAAAATCCGCACCGTCTGACGTACCTGGGACTAAGAATCGGACGGCCAGGCCAACGCCAACGGAGATGACGAACGGAATCGGCGCGGCGCCGGCCCACGTGAATTTAGGTTTCTCGCTCTCCGCTGGAGCAGGAGCGGCGGCGGAGGCGGCGGACGCGGAGATGGCCAAACGCTGCGCCGGTCTGTCGCTTTGCGCGAAAGAGCGCTTCGCGCTGCTTCGAGATCGCAGCCGTAGATCAGGGAGGCCCGCGGCGGGACAAAGCGCGGAGAGCTGAGTGGACGGCTTAGATGCGTTAATCGGTGCAATCGGACGGCTGAGAGACGACGTTGTTATGCTACGTGCGGAAGCAGCTCGAACGACGGGCCTCTGCGTGAGACCGGAATGCATGGCCGCATTGCGAGGGTTCACCGCATTGTGCGGGTTCAAGGGGTTCGCTGCCAGTCGCACGGCTCTGGGCTGGAGCAGCAGCGACGACGCCATGAGAGTAGAGACTAAAAGAAATAACCGCTTTGATATTCGCAAAGGGTCAGGTTGAAGAACTGGGGTAACGCGACTTGGCTGGTCCTGATCTAGTCTCCAGTCTACAACTGGTCTGGTCTGGGCTGGAGAAAGTGAGGTGGAGGAAAAGATTTGATGGCTTTTGAGAGAGTTTGTTTCAGCGTCGCAGATCAGATCGGTGCAGCGCGGTCTTGTGCTCGCGAAACTGAGCCGGGCTGTGAGTGGTTCGTGCCGATGTGGATGCTGTGGTGGATGCATATCCTCCTCCAATGGCGGCTCGCTGAGCGTCCACGATCGCGAGCTGTGGTTGGAAGAAAAGGAAGGTGGTCACGAGAAGCGCGGGAGATCCCAAGGTCGTACAGTGTTTTCGAAGCTGAAATGGGGAGGAAAGTGCTGCACATAAATGAGTCGGGAGTGTCCTGTAAACGTGTATTTTTTCGCCACAATCAAAGATCGAAAGCTCCCGCGTGTATCCGCGTTATTGAGCCACGTGTGTACCCTAAAGACTAGCAATTATCAATTCATATTCAATTACATCGGACAGAGCGCTGTATAATCAGATTATCATGACCTTATCGAGGGGCAGTTGACTGCCTTGCTACTGGTGCAGAGATTCTGACACCGAGGCGCCACAGAGTTCCCGCTGAAATTTGAAATTCTGCGAATCACCACTCCTGCCAAACCAGCAGACCACACCAGACCTGATCCTCCTGCTGGGAGAACTGAAAGCACTGCAAGAATCTCCATGCCTGAATTTCCCACGTTAGATTCTCAGTGCGCTTCGTCATAACCTCAACAAGCGGTTGCGAACGGTTTTATGCACATTAGAGTGGTTCATGCGCTAAACTACCTCGAGCCATAACTCACCATCTGAACATGATGGTCGAATGGTCTCATGTCCTTGTCCGTTCGGCAATCCCGAGGTCTCTGATTCTCAGATTCTGATTTTCAGCTATCGCTGATTGTTCCATGGTCTTTCACTCACTCACATGACATAGTCGCCTGACTTCTGCAATTTGGGTTATGCTTCATGTCTCGGAGGACGACATCCTTCTTCTTAGCTTTATCTGCGAAAGACACCCTAGACTAGAGCAGAACCCTCATCTGCTCATCTACAGACCGTCGTCAGGATTTCTGCAACGGTAGTCTAGTGATGACATAACTAAGCCTTGTCACGTCATAAGCTCGGAGTATTACACGACAGACGAGTTGCTAGAGTACTGAGACGGATTTTTAACTAGGTTATTTATCTATCCGTCTCTATATTCTCACCTTGAGAAGATGAGCCGGAGGAGGGGTAGAGCTCCCAAAGCGGAAGCTAGCAATGTTGCGATTAAAGACACCCGCGACCCCGTGACTGACATATTGGTAAGTAACGATCTTGAAGATAGTCCTATCGTCGTACACTTTTATTGACGTGTTTCTGTTCCTTGACGTCTACCCGTCCTCGTCTGGTTTCATTCAACATTTGAACAAGTTCAAAAATGACCTGCGTGTCTTTCGTTCACGTGTGTGTTTCGCTAACGTGTGTCGTTCACTAACGCGTCTCTTGCATCAATGCGTGTCTTTCAGAGAGGGATCTGGAATCAAGGCCAGCATGATTCTTCAAGTCAGCAGACGGACTGGAAAGACTGGTTAAGCCTCGCCGAGAAGCATCTTAAATCGTCCACTACGCAAGCGACGCGTCATCAATCAACTGCCGATGTCCGACATCCCAAGCGAACCCGCAACAACAAATCATCCAGTCGCGACGACATTGAGAACCAAGATTCCTCTTTCAAATCTTCAACGGCTATTTCCTTCGCACCGCATCTTGAACAGCTATTCCGTTACACCAAGCCAGCAAGCTCGCAGGCGTTACAGGCGACTCCAGTTGTTTCGTTACAGTTTCCAAACCCATTCCCGAGCAATGAATCCGCTAAGCGGAAAGACGGCGACGTGGTTAGCGTTCTCTCCTTCACACCCGCAGCAGCAGAAGAGGATAAGGAGAACAAGGAGAATGGCAGCCAGATCCGACGGTCCACCCGTTCGCGATCTAAAGGCCTGGCTCCGCTTTCCCAGCCTTCCCCAGATGCACCTCCTTCAGGACCTCCTCCCAGCCGTCGATCTTCTTCCAGATCCCGGGGTGCGAAGATCCAACGGCGGGGAACAGCTTCTCCTTCCGATGAGCTTGCGGAGAAGCTTGAGCAGGTGCAGCTAGCGTTCAAGGCCATGGACGCTAACGAGGCGACTCATAACGCGGATGGAGGCGCAATGGCACGTGCCGCTGATCAAGACAGTGACGTTAACGCTGACTCTAAGAGAGCTGTACCAATGGAAAGTACGGACATGATGGCTGACGGAGACGGAGACGGAACGGGAGATCGAGCGGGAGCAGAGAATAAGGAAGCGGATTGTCCAGAGAAGCAGCCGAGGGGAAGAGGAAGACCACGGAAGGTGGCGAAGCCTGCTCCTGCACGGTCCCGATCGACTGCTGCACCTGAAGAGGAGGTCGTGGTAGCAGCTGTTGCTGCTGGCGAAGCTGCTATTGCCGAGGAGACAGCAGGTGCAGATAACGCAAAGGAAGTGGAAGAGGTGGAGGAAGTACAGGAGGTGGAGGAGGTTGTGGGAGACGAGAAGAAGAAAGAGGACGCAGCAGAAACTGTTATTGGCAGTGACGTGGAAAGCTCGGCTGCTGCAGCAGGCAAGCGCGGAGGTGCCAGAGGGCGCCGAGGCAAGAAGGCAGCAGTTCCCGAAGCTGTTGACGAGGCTAGTGAGACCGCGCCAGTTGTGGAGAGGCGAGCCACTCGAGCCTCGGCCAGAGCTGCTGCTGCTGCTGCTGGCGGTGCTTCTGGCGGTGCTGGTGGTGCGCCTGCTGCTGCACCGCTGCCGCCTCTGCCTCGCAGGGGCCGGCCAAGGAAGGCTCAAAAGCAAACGGAAGAGCCAGGTGAGTGTAACTGGTTTTGTTTAACTCTCTCCTTGTGCTCCTTATTTCACTGCCTATTTGTTGGGTCCCACAGTTTCAACTCGACTAAGCCCAGTGGTTTGCTCTCATTGGTGACTTTCGCAGAACCTGCTGAAGCTACCCAGCCCGTCCCTGCTGAAACGACCCCGCCCGTTGATCCGGCTCGAGTGGAAGCTCCAGTAGAGAAGAGGTCGACGAGAGGCAGAAAGAGAGCCACCGTGACTGAAGCAGGCAACGGCAGCAGCAGCAGCAGCAGCAGAAGCGGCTTGGACGCAGTTGCTGTTCCTGCAGAAGCACCTGTTCACGAGAGCCTTCCTCCCGAAAAGGAAATCAAGGCAGTCGTTGTGGCTGCTGAAAGTAGTGCGGCCGCTGTGGCCGTTTCCACTGGTGATGCTTCTGGATCTTTTTCGCCTGAACGCGAGGGTGGTGCGTCGGTTGCTGCTGTAGCTGTGGGTGGTGGTGATGATAAGAACGTTGGTGCATCCGCTGACGTGGCACTGGAATGTGCTGGCCAAATGGCCGCTGACGTGGAGGGCGAAAAGGAAGAAGAGGAAGTAAAGGAGGAAGAGGAAGTGAAGGAGGAAGAGGAAGTGAAGGAGGAAGAGGAAGTGAAAGAGGGGCAAGAAGGGAAGGCGGAGGAGGAGGAAGGGGAGGAAGTGGAGGAGGGGGAAGAAGGAAAGAAGGAGGAGGAAGTGGAGGAAAAGGAGGAAGCGGAGGAAGGGAAGGCAGCAGCCGAAGATATGGAGGTGTGTGAGGTGGTGGAAATGGTTTCTAAGGAGACTCCAGTGGAGCCTGCAACATATGGAGAAGCGTGGGAAGGGATGAAAGACACTCAATGTTTAGCAACTTCTGATGCAGATGGTGCTGTGGCGATGGCTGATGCTGAAGCTGGTGCTCCTGATTCGACGGTTGCTGGTGCCGACGATGCTGCAGCAACGGCTGCTGATGCTGCTGCTGGCGATAAGGATCTCGTTGCAGCAGCTGATGTAGACAGTGCTGCACAAATGGCTGGTGACGCTGATGCTGGTGCGGAGGCTGGTGCTGATGCTGCTGCTGGCGATAAGGATCTCGTTGCAGCAGCTGATGTAGACAGTGCTGCACAAATGGCTGGTGACGCTGATGCTGGTGCGGAGGCTGGTGCTGATGCTGCCGCCGATGAAATAGATCTTGCCTCTGTCATGTCGGACTCCAGTGCAGCTGATGGCACTCGGGAAGATGACCTTGAGCTGACAGGAACCGTTCAACATGCGGAGCACGAGGACCGAAACGAAGCAGCAGTGAGTGAAGGTGAAACCGCGACTGTGCCGGAAGCGCTGGCTGTTGGTGTGGAGGTGGCATCAGCCAGTGCAGGAGTGGAGCTCGGTTGCCTTGGTAAGGCGATGTGTGTGGAGGAAGCTGAGACTGCCCTGAGAGTTGAGTCTGGCAGTGCAGCTCTTGCTGACAAGAAACAGACAGTTGAGGAGGTTGCGGGGGCGGCTGTGGTTGTAGGGGAGGGAGAAGTGGAGACTGTCGAGGAGACGCAGGAGAAGGAAGATGCAGGAGTCGCAGCTTCTGACCCTGTGCAAGCACCTGAAGGGACGGAAGGCGCGGAAGACATGGAGGTCGCGGAATGCCAAGCGGGCGGTGCTGACCGTGAGGAGGGGAGGACCGCACGTGGTGCTGAGCTGGGAGTGCTGCCGACGGTAGAATCTGGCGCGGTAGAATCTGGCGCGGTAGAATCTGGCGCTGTATCTATGCCACAGAGGGACGTGAGTGGAAGCTGTGCGGATGGTCATCGTGAGGCAGATGAGAGGAGCGTTTCAAGGGAGAGTGCTGAAACTGGTGTGCTGGAGGCGGCTGTACTGTTCGAGGAGGTTGTTGCCGGGTCAAAGGAATTCGTTACAGGAGTGGAAGGGGAGGAGAAGGCGGAGGACGAGGAAGTGGAGAAAGAGAAAGAGGAAGAGGGGGAGGGGAAGGAAGTAGAGGAGGAAAGGGAGGAAGTAGAGGAAGAGGGGGAGGAGAAGGAAGGAGAGGAGGAGAAGGAGGAAGAAGAGGAAGGGGAGGAGGAAGTAGAGGAAGGGAAGGAGGAAGTGGAGGAAGGGGAGGAGGAAGTAGAGGAAGGGGAGAAAGTCGAGGAGGGGAAGGAGGAAGTAAAAGATGGGGAGGAAATGGATGAGGGGGAAGTGGAATTAGAGGATGGGGAGGAAGTGGAGGAGAGGGAGGAGGAAGCAGAGGAGGAGAAAGTGGAGGAGGGGAAGGAAGTGGAGGAGGGGGAGGAAGTGGAGGAGGGGGAGGATGTGGAAGCAAGGGAGGCTGTAAGCATGGAGGTAGTCATGGGGACTGACAGTAACACGGCAGCAGAGGGTGATGAGCACCGGGTTGAGGAAGAGGAAGTGGGTGGTGTTGGCATGGAGAGTGACTCGCTCTCACAGGGTGTGATGGAGGAGAAACTGGTGCCGGGAGTAGATGGAGGCGAGGAGGACAGTTGTGGAGGGACAGAGATTGCTGAACCCGCTGCTGATGCTGCTGTGCCAGAGCCGCCGGAAGCTGACTCTGAACCTGAGGAAGCTGGAGAAGGAGCCTTTTTAGAACGGGCCGACGCATTGCTGGCAAAGGGCATCAGTGAAGAGAGGAGGGAAGAGCGAAGAGACGGTGATGGAGAGAGTGAGGCTGAAGACATGGAGATTGAGGAGGAAGAGGAGGCAGAGAAGGCGGAGGAGGAAGAGGAGGCGGAGGAGGAAGAGAGGGCGGAGGAGGAAGTGGGGGCGGAGGTGGCAACTGCAGGTACTGTGGCTGAGTGTGCCGAGGAGTTGGACGCGGTGGGGATTGGTGCTCTGCACGTGGGATCATCCAAGTCAGAGGACCTTGAGGGGACGCCAGTTCCACAAGGCGCAGAGGCGGGTAGACATACGGAGGTAGTAGAAACGTCGGACGCGTCAGAAGGATCAGAGGCAGCAGAACGGCTGGAGGTAGCCGAGGCCGTTGAGAGCAGCTTGGGCGTGGTGGGAGATCCAGTTAGTGCAACCGCTGCGGGTAATGCGCTGCTGTGTGAAGGTGACTCTGTGGTTGAGGAGGGAGAGGAGGAGGAGGAGGGAGAGGAGGAGGGAGAGGAGGAGGGAGAGGGCAAGGAGGAAGGGGAAAAGGAGTTGCGAGAGAAGGAGCAAACGGAGAATGAAAAGGAGGCAAGGAAGGATGCAGGGTTGAAGGGGGAGAGTGAAGAGAGGGAGGAGAGTGAAGAGAGGGAGGAGAGGGAAGTGGCGGAGGAGCGGGAAGAGAGAGAGGAGAAGGGAACGCAAGTGAGTGGTGATTTGAAGCAAGGCGGTACGGACAGAGCAGCAGGGCAGCACAGGGATGTCACTGGGGGTGGAGAAGCGGTGCATTCTAGGGCGCAGGGTGCGAAACCGGACGAGGTGGGATCAACCCCGAGCTTCAATAGAGAGGAAACAAGCTTCCATGGTTTTGGTATCAATACAGAGGAGCAGACCTTTCATGGTTTCCCAATAGAGAGGGAGGAGATGACCGTGCATGGGCTTAGGGTGCTTCGCAGCAGCAGCAGGATAGCGGCCAGTGCAAGGAAAGCCCCAGCTGTTAGTGCCAGCAAAGCAACGGGCAGCCGGACAAGAGGCAGAGGCAGGGTTAAGAACCCGGGCGGTACCGAGGTTGCTAGTGCTGCTGGGACTGGCAGGAGAAGGGGCCGACGACAGGCTGCGACTGACCAGGCGGAAGGGGATTTTGCTGCTGCTCGTAGCTTTGCTGCAGCAGGGGCGTTGATAGAGGAGGCGGGTGGTGACGAAGCTGATGCTCGTGTGGAGGCCGTGGAACTGACTCAAACGTCACCGGATGCTGCTGTGAGGACTTGTGAGAAGATGCCAGAGTCGCTTGATGCTGCTGTTGAGGCTGTGGGGCTCACCCAAGAGTCACTGGGTGCTGTTGAGGGGACTTGTGATACGGATCGAAAGTCAAGTGTTGCTGCTGTCGCGGGAGAACCAAGTGTGGTTGCTGAGGAGGTGGTGGGGTTGGGAGAGACGGTGACGGAAGCAGAGCAGGAGGCGAGGGAGGAGGCGGAGCGGGAGGCGGGGGAGGAGGCGGAGCGGGAGGCGGGGGAGGACGAGAGGGAGGAGGCGAGTCACGGTAGCGGGAAGAACGAAGAGTCAGGGCAAAGCAGCAAGGAGAACGAGGTGCAAGGAGTAAAGACAAAGGCTGCTGAAACTCAGATAGAGGATGTGAATGGAGACGAGAAGTCAGGTGAGGAGAAAGATGGTGCCACAGGCAGGAGGAACTGTGTGCTGGCTCGGCTCAGGGCGCAGGGCGCTGCTGCTGCTTTTGGGGGCACTGCCTCTGGCAGGGGCGCGGTTGAAGGCGCGAAGAGCAGGGCGGAGGGAGATGAGATTCTGCAGCAGCTACGGAAGAACGGCAGGATGAAGAGAGTGAGGGGGATGGGAGGTGCCGCGGGAGGAGGGGGAGGAGGGGGAGGGTTCTTGGCGGAGCTGAGAAGCGCACTGGCGCGGCATGGCGGGCATGAGGAGCGGGAGGATGGGGAAGTGGCGGTGGAGGGGAGGGAGGGAGATGAGGAGGGGAATGAGAAGAAAGGGGAGGAGGAGGAAGAACAGAGGCGCGTCGTGGTGACGAGTGGCGGGGAGGAACGGGATGAAGGGGTTGTTTCGGGTGGTATAAGTTCCATTGTAAGCCGAGTCAGTGAGGCTGGGAAAGGTTTAGTGCAAGCTACCATGGAACAAAGAGCTGAAGGAGTCAATGGGGCTATGCTGGTGCCCGAGCCTGGTGCGAGTGCTGGTGAGGAAGAGTTGGAGGATGAGGGTGAGCATGACAAGAAACTGGGGGAAGAGAATGAAGGGGAGGATGAGGGAAAGGACGGCAAGGAGGGCGAGGGAAGGGAGGGGGTTGCTGAAGGGGAAGTGGTGAAGGAAGAGGAAGAGGGGGAGGTTGAGGAGGAAGCAGAGGAGGACGAGGAGATAGAGTGGATGGATGGTCAGTGTGTGGTAGGGGGAGCGGATAAAAGTGCAGAGGATGAGGCAGATGCTGACGAGCCTTTGGACGGTGTTGCTGCTGCGGCTGTTGAAGTAGATGCTGCACTTGAAGACGTGGATGATGCAGCTGATGAGGTGGAAGGTGCAGTCGATGATGTGGAAGCTGCAGTTGATGACATGGATGTTGCAGCTGATGACATGGATATTATATCTGATGACGAAGGCACTGAAGCCGGTGGCGACCATGTGTCCGGAGCCCGTGGTGGAAGTGATGGGGATGGTGAGTGTGGAGGAGATGACAGGGATGATGTTGAAGAGACGGAGCATGTACGTGCAGAGAGTGACAGGAGTTTTTTGCTTTTGGCCGGTGATAGTTTACAGGAGCAAGCAAGAGAATGTACTGTGAGAGACGACAAGGAGGAAGGAGAGACGGAAGACGAGGAGGAGGAGGACGCGGAGGAGGAAGCGGAGGAACAAGACAAGGAGCAGGGTAGTGAGGCGGTAGGTGAAGAAGGCATGGGGCAGGAGCAACTGGGGGGTGCCGACGGAACGAGTGGAGAAGGGGAGGCAGACAAGGATGGTACAGCTTGCAGTGATACTGCTGCAGATGCTAGCACTCCGCATACTGCTGCTGAGGCGAAGGAAATTCAAGGTCCCACACCAGTTCCAGGGGGCTCCATTCCTAGCGCAATCAGATCCACAGCGCTGAAGGCCCCAGTCAGCACACCACTAACTTCCGCCTCAGGACTGGAAACCCCGGCCTTGGAATCAGCTGCGGTTCGTTGTGTCTCACTGGCACAAGGAGGGCCAGCAGCAGCAGCCCCTACTGTTGCGGCGTCCAGGATTGTGGGCCAAGGAGGGAGGATAGTGGGCGCCTCTCGGATTCTGGGAGGGGGGCTTCTTACTGGTGCGGTGACAGCTGCTGGTGGTGCTGGCAATGCGGCTGGTAGCGGTTTGGGGGTCAGTGGTGGAAGGAGTGTGGTGGCTGGTGCTGGAAGCAATGCAGTAGGAGGAGCAGGAGCAACGGGAGGAGCAGCAGGGGCAACGGTGGGGGCAGCCGGAGCAGTGGTAGGATCACGTTTTGCTACTTCAACCACCTCGTTTGTGTCGCTGATAATGAAAGCCCAGCCAGCCCCACCCCCTCCTGCCTCTGGGAAACAGAACGTCCAAGTGAAAGCACTAGCAGCGGCTGAGGCAGCACGGCTGGAAGCAGAGCAGAAGGCGGAGGAGAGGAGTCAGAGGCGGATAGCGCTGGAGAAGCGGCGGGAGGAGCGAGGGAAGGCAAAAGCGGAAGGGAAAGAGGGCGTTTTGGAGGCAGCAACGGGTGTGGCAGGGAGGAAAGGGCGGGAAAGAGGGGTAGCCGTTGCAGACCAACCCCCTGCCACTCCGAAAGGCGCAGGTGGAGTGCGTGTGGGGGTTACTGATGCTGCAGAAGCACGGGGAACGGGTGTGAAGACGAGATCTGGAAGGAAAGTGGAGGTAGGGATGAGTGAGCGGGAGGGCGTACAAGGGAAGATGCAGAAAGCTATGCAGACTAGGAAGGAGATGGAGGAGGAGAAGGCGAGGAGGTTGGAGGAGGCGCGGGAGAAGGAGGAGGAAGAGAGGAGGAGGAAGGAGGAGGAGCGGGCAGCGAGGAAGAGAGAGAGGGAGGAGATGGAGAGGGCGAAGGTGGAGGAGAAGAGGAGGCGAGTGGAAGAGGCGGCAAAGGCGAAAAAGGAGATGGAGGAAAAGGCAAGACAAGAGCACATGGAGAAAGAGAGAATCAGGAAAGCCAAGGTCCTTCCACTCTACCCTCTTCCTGCTCTACTATAAAAATACTCTACTTGAATCCAGATTTAGCCGTTTCTTTTTTTTCGAACTCTACCCGTGAAACCATTTTCGGCATGAATTGCTCTTTCTGTTATTCAACACTCCCATTCCTCTTTTTCTGCCCTCTCTCGTGCCTGTAGCTTGTACTTATTTTGTTCCGTTTTCTCGCCTGCTCACATGTCTCACTGGGTTGGTAGGAAGAGGAAGAGAGGGCCAAGAAGGCCGCAGAGGAGGAGGCGAAGCGGCAGAAGCGGGCAGAGCGGGAGAAGGAGGCGGAGAGGCGGAGGAAGGAGGAGGAGCAGCAGAAAGCAGCGAAGCTGGCTGAGAAAGAAGCAGAGAGAAAGAGGCGGGAGGAGGCAGCAGAGGCAGAGAAAAGGCGGAAGGAGGAACTGGCTGTGCAGCACAGGAGGGAGCACGAGGAGATGGAGATGCGGAGGTTGCAAGACGCCAGAAAAGGGGTAAGCTTCTTTGACAACTCTGGGAGAATAGAGCTCTATGTCAGTATGCTATAGCTCTCCTCTTGCTCCCTGTTTCTGGTTTCTTTTCACACCTGACGAAACTCATTTAGCCATCGCTCTTTCGTCTGTCGTTTGGTAATGGCAGGTGACACAAGACCCAGCAACACAACCAGCAGCAGCAGGAGCAGCAACAGCAACAGCGCACGCTGGAAGCTTCCACGCACCTTCCCATCGCCCCTCAACCTCCAACCCCTCATCCGCCGCTCCCTCCTTCACCTCCTTCCTTGTTCCAGGCAACCGCGCACCCAAGCTCTCCGGTGTTCTTATAGGGGGTGGGCTTGTATCGAGAGGCTCTTCTGCACAGCTGCAGGGCAGTAGCAGCACGGATGATAGGCGGAACAGTGCCTGGCCTAGTGGGGTGAACAGTGGCAATACGGCCGGCAATTCTCGTCTCACTTCCGGGACAGCAGGGCTGCTTAGCACAGGGATCAGCACCATGGGTAACAGTGGCGCCAGCATGGTTAGCTCTAGCTGGGAAGATGGAAAGGGAGGCGTGCGTTGGAGTGATGTGAGATCGGGCGGCACAGGAGCCATGTCGGTCGGCACTGGGACAGGAGCCGGCGGGTTCGCCATGGGGCCTCCTCCCCCCAAGTTCACACTCTGTGGTGGTAGTAGTATCTACAGTAGTGGTAATGTGGTAACCACGTCTGGTTTGGGAGGAGGGGTGTCGGGAGCACAAGGAGCAGCAGGGGCAGCAGGAGCAGCAGGGGCAGCAGGAGGAGAGGGGATGGTGTTTCGGTCTCGGCTCACAGAGAATCTCACAGGAAGGGTGGGTGAGGATGGTAGAGAGCGTGATGAGGGAGGGGCGAAGAGCCTAGCCGGTTGCAGTGGTGGTGCTGCCAAGAGTCTAACAGGCGGCACTTTCATTCCCATGCCCAAACCAAGCAGCGCTTCTTTCCTTACAGGCACTCCTGCTGCCGCTGCTGGTGCTTCTGGTACCTCTGCTGTTGCTAGCTTCACTGCTGCTTCTGCTGCTGCTCCCAAGGTTGTTGTTGCTCAAGGAGGCTGGATCCGTGCTGGGGTTGGTAACAGCGGCAGTGGCTCTAGCATTGGTAAGCCTTCTGCGTCTTCCTCTCTTCTCGCTTCTGTGCCCACCAATCCCGCCGCCTCCTCTGCATCTGCCCCTTCGTCTGCTGGTGTGGCTGTTGCCTCTGCTGCTGGCGCGACTGCCTCTGCTGCTGCTGCTACTCCCTCTGCTGCTGTTTCTACCACCCCAGCAGCTGCTGCAGGTTCCTCCTTGCCTAGGCCCTCTGCAACCCCTCAGGCGTCTAAGAGTGTTGCTAGTCTAAGGGAGTGGGCCACAGAGAAGACTGGTGGAGCAGCGAATGCAGGAACACAAGGGAATGGAGGGAAGGTTGTAGCTAGTGGCACATCTGCTGGGCTTGAGAGTAGGATAAGGGCAGGAGGAGCTGGTTCAGTGGCATCTGCAGAGGCAACTGGTACTGCAAGTGCAGCATCGGCGTCAGCAGGAGCTGCAGCAGCTGCTGCAAGAGGAGGAGGGGTTGGATTGAAATCCCGGATTCCTGGGTCCAGCAAAGTCAACCAAGCAACGGCACCAATGAGTTTGAAGCAGAGCCAGCAGCAGCAGCAGCAGCAGCAGCGGAAGCAACAGGAGGCGAGTTCCAGCAAGGACAGAGTCCTTAGAAGTGCTTCCAAAGCACGTGCTACTGCTACTGCTGCCGCCTCTGCTGGTGCTGCTGATGGTGCTGCTGGTGCTAATGGTGGTCCTGCAGGAGGTGGCAGGGTGCCTGGTTCAACCCAACCTGGCATCACCCGCAGCTCAGTCAAGCAAGCAGCCAAGGAAAATGCCTCCAAGCTCATGTCACCCCCTCCTTCCGCCTCCACCCGTTTCCGCACGGCTGGGGTGTCTCACACAACCGAAGCAAGCACTCCAGCTTCCTGTACCATCACTGTAGCACCTCCCGTTACAGTCACCTCCCCAGGCAGTCACAGCTCCCCTCCCAGTGCATCTGCTGCCATGCTACCAGCCCCAAGCAGCCAATCAGGGATGCGGTTACCAAGTAACCTGGACCATGTGATTTTATCTCCTTCAGTCACGCCTAGGAGATCAAAGAGAAAGCTTGCTCCTGGTGCTGGGACCACCACAGCAGCAGCGGCTGCTGAGGGGATACGGTCGTATGAGATGACTCCAGATAGGATGGATTCAGATGAAGAGGATGAGGAAGAGGAGAGGGAGCGACGGGCGAAAAAAACCCATCCCTGCATGGGCAAGGTGATGGTTTACCCTTCTAGCTGAACTCTTGAGTTGAGCTCCCGGATTGAGCCTTTGAGTTCAGCCGTTTGCTCTTGCATGGGTTAATGCGGTTGAGCATTGAGATAAGGCTGTTCTTAAGTATTTCACCCTTGCGGTTGGGCCTGCCCTTGTTTCAAATATCCTGCCTCGCCTCGCTCGCTCTCATCACATACCGTTCAAGCTTGTGATGAGACAACCTGTGCCTTGTCGCTTCCTAATTCCACGAGCCTCATGCCCCACTTCCCCTCACCCTTTTTCTCCCCTGCTGTTCCTCCAGGTCGTGCAATGTGAATGCACAAGTGCAGAAGCAGCATGGGGTGGATCCAGATACTGTCTTCCCCAGTTGCACCCGGACTGTCAGCTTGAGAGAAGGTCAGTCAAGAGGTGCTAGGGACAGGATGAATGATTGCAACTGAGATGTGTAATGTGGAAAGGAACTGTATGGAATGGAGCCGCCCTCTCCAACTCCCACCCGTGCCTGCTTTCATCTGCTTCCCCTCCGGTCTCTCCATCTTCTGGCTTTTGCTGTATCCTGATGCCTTTTCTATTCCTGTTCCTCAACAATATGCTCATTCCCTTTCCCTGCGACACCTTATGGCATGGTGGATGGCGTGGGCTGGGACGGTTCGCATGGTTTTGTCCCATGTGTGTTCTGCTGCTCTTTGCGCTGTGTGCTATGTGCTGCAGTCTTTGGAACCACGAAACGGGGCGCGGACCGGCGAGGTGACACGGGTGACTGGATTCAGGACAGGCTCACGTGGAGCGAGGAGATGGAGTATAAGAAGGAGATGGGGTATTTATAGACTAAGGCATTTACGAGAAGTTTGCGTTTGTCTTGAGAAGTATATGGGGTATTCGTAGGGAAGTGGCAGATGGTGTATTCATAATTAGGTTCTATGGAACTCTGAGGTACAGGGAGATGCGAGACATGGGTAGGTTGGTGATTGTTCACATGGAACGAGGAGTTGGATGAGTACCAGTGATCAGCCCAGTTATAGATGAGCCCCCCCAGGAATAGTACATCTAGAGGTGGGTTCAGAATCATGCATTGAGTGACAAGGTTGTGCGCTGGAAGCATGTGGTATTATACAGAGTTTCCAAGGTGAGAGTTTTGAAGGTGAGGCATTGTGAGTAAGATACTGCCTACGGGCACAAAACCCAGAAGTGTAATATTTTCTTATGAGTAAAGCAGGCATACTATGTGTATTCAAGATCGAACGTAGGGAACAGAACATGAAGCAGAGGAAATTTCTGGCATAAATGGGCGCCACGACATTGACATGGAAGGTCGCCGAGAGACACACATCTCACGGGAGGTCACAAGAGGCCTTCAACCTTAGATAGGATGTATTTCTCCGGCTGCTCGCCGTTCAAGGTATCAGCAACAGTCCCATTTTTGAAAATCACAATCGATGGTGCACCGTACTTTGAGCACAAGTCGGGGGATCTGTCGCCGTCGACCACGTAAAATGAGACGTCGCTGCTTCTCTCTTTGATGTCCCTGGCCACGCGTTTAATGCTCTGAGCGATCGATTCGGATGCGTCGCAATTGTTATTGAGAAAGGACACCACGACTAAGTCTGTGGACTGCAAAACGAGGTGGTCGAAGATATGTTCCGCCATCGGGAGTACATGCTCAGACACGGCGGCGAATGCCATTGCTGGGGATCTAATTGACAAAAATGTGAAGAATAAAAGGCAAGAAAAAGACCTCAGCGCGGATGGCTGGCTAGTACTACGCAGGACAGCAGTTCAAGAGCTAAGTTCCAGGAGATGTGTCGTGAGGGAAGGACAGGACTTCACAGGCTGGAACAAAAAGCTCGCCGCTTTGCAGCGTTGCTTGGGAGCGCTGCGGCGGTCAAGAAGAAAACTCCAGGTGGATAGATAGGGACAGTAGCAGCGGAGTTTTGAGAGGTCTCAAAATTCAGGTGGATAGAGGCAGTGTCAGTGGCTGCGGAAATACATCGCAGGTTTCCCGCCGAGGCCTTCAAGACCTTTCTTTTCATTGTCTTCTACCTGCCTGTTCTACGGTATGTTCGGTAGGAGCTTTGGAGTGTAATGAAACACATACAACATGAAAGTTGGACGCTTTGACGAATTGGGGACATTTGAGCAAGCTTGAACAACAAAAAGATGGTACGGTACACCAAAAAAGATTCCACCAGGAAAAAGGCACCGAAACGGGTCTACTGCTCGCACGCTCGGCAGGATTTCTCTTATCGAGCGCATAGCGCCTCCCGCGATGCGATGCTTTCACGACGGCGAGACGTCAAGACAGGCAGCCGCCAGGACGATCCAGTCCAGGGTAAGTGATGGCGAAAAGAACATGCGTTACACAACCGAGCGAATTCACAAAGTTCGGCGCCTTGGGGAGCGACCAATATCGAGAGATCAATTGTAGGAGAGCAAAACATCATTGATATTCGAAATCTCTACCTACCGGTACGTAAATATTGAGCAAAAAGTGATTTTCACGCCCATTTGATTCTTTAGCAGTTGTTGGTTTCAGCACTTGTTGAGTCAGCCGGAGTTAACAAGACGAAAAGGACTTGGGATGCACGAAGTGGGCCCTCCTTAACCATGGGAAGTTGGTGCATATGATCGAGTCAAGTATACCTAGTATAAAAAGCATAACAGCGAGAGGAGAAGGATTTGCGAGGCATGAAGTGCGCTCTAACCACAGGGTGATGCAGCCCTCGCACCCACACCCTGCGAGGACACCAAAACACCTTGTAACAGCAACAGGAGGAGCTAGCGAGAGGAGAATGACTTGCGAGGCATGAAGTGGGCCCTAACCACGGGGTAATGCAGGCCCCGCACCCACACCCCCCAGGCGCCCACTGAACCTCGTCCCACGCCAGGCCACTCTCAAGAATCTGAATCACAAAAGCACGGGAAGGAAAGCACGGGAAAGGCAAGGGCAAATGAATGAGTGACCATGCGGTTCCCAGATGCACCCACACCCCCCCAGGCGCCCAGTGCACCTCGTCCCACACCAGGAGCAGGGGGTATGGGGAGGGAAAGGGGCAAATGAGTGACCAAGCCTCCCCCCTCCCACCACCCCCCCAAACCTCCTCCCGATACTTTCAGAAGGGAGCAGAGCTGGTCGCAAGAGAGAGTTGATCCTGATTTGAGACGTTTCCAGGGCAGGAACGAGGAAGGAGGAGGCATACATTGGTGAAGGCAGCGGGGAGAGGGCAGCCGCGGGAGCACAGCTGGTGAAGAGGGAGAGGGGGAACGCACGTGGGCTGACTGACACATCCTGAGGATAAACCCACGGGAACTCTGAGTCTGAGGGCGTACCTTGGTGAAAGAGGCTGGCAAAGGGCAGCCGTGGGAGCGGAGTTGTTCGAGAGGGAGAGGCGGGACACACTGAGTCCACCGGTACGTGTCTCCCGGCGCCTTGCCCTTCCCATGCAGTGAAGTGGCTTGTGACCGCACTTGACAGTTGAGTGCACTCTAAACGGGCGTACCTTGGTGAAAGCGGCAGGGAGAGGGCAGCCGTGGGAGCGCAGTTGATCCAGTGGAAGGGGTGGAACACACTGGGTCCACCGGTACGTGTCTCTCGGCCCCTTGCCCTTCCCATGCACCTGTGCCAACGCACTCTGAGGCAGCACCCACTGGGTTTCAGGATTGGTGCTGCTGTTGCCTAGGACCCCGGGAGGAGAGGAGAAGAGAGAGAAGGGTCGTTTCGAGCCACTCAGATTGCCCCCTGCTGCTGTTCCTACTGCTGTTGCTGCTGCTGCTGCTGTAGAGGGGGCTGCAGAGGGGCTGTTTGTGTTGGGAGAGTTGGCGTTTGCAGCATTGGCTGCTGCTGCAGCGGTGCTTGTGTGTGCCTTGGATGGGGGGTGAGGTGGAGCTTCTGGGTGCTCCTTCCCTTCTCCGTCTGCTGCTTTGCTCTCTGATCCTCCCTCACTTGGCTTCTCCTTTGCTCCCTTAGGCCCCTCGGCTCCCTCTCCCTCATCTGCCGCCCCTTTTTCTCTCTCCCTCCTCTCCCCTGCTCCCCCACCTTGCTCCTCCTTGTCTCCACCAGCATCTACCCCTCCCTCCCTTACCACACCAGCAGCACCAGCATCAGCATCACCACCATCACCAGCAGCAGCAGCTCCATCAGACTTCGCGTTAGCAGCATCAAGTGCCATAGTGTGGGCTTGTGTCTGCTGCTGCTGGGCCTGGAAAGCGCTAGAGAGTAGAAGACCTTGCGAGCGGACAAAGGCTCGTAGCTCAACTCAAACCTGAAATGGTGGAGGGAAGAACGGGCAAGTGAGAAGCGGACTTGAAAAGAACCACCCACCAAGTGCAAAGCATTGCTCAACTCAAACCTGACGTGTACTGAGGCCGCAACTTCAAAAGGCCCAGTAAAAGCTGTGGTGTGGCCGCTTATGAAGCGCTCAAAAGCGCCCCCCACCCAAGTGGGTGGGTGTTTGTACAGCATGTCGGCTCGCTTGAGTGGGCGCTGATGTGTAGCACGTGTACTGAGAAGAACCCTTGTCGCATCTGAGGCGCGTAAAAAACTGTTCTACTCTCACCTGTGCGTGGCCGTTTCAAGATACAGCACTTCGGCCCGCTTGAGTCGCGCTGACGTGTACTGAGGCCGCTTCAACCCGTGGTCTGCAATAATCGCCATTGAATACTTGAGCCTGGTGGGTTGGGTTGGGGTGGGAAAAAAGAGAGGGGGTAGGGCAGGGAAACAAGCGGCATGTACTGAGGCAGCTTCAGCCCCTGGATTGAAATAATCGCCATTGAATACTTGAGCCTGGTGGGTTGGGTTGGAGAAATCGGAGAGGGTGGGGAAAGAAGCAGAGTGTTGTACAAAGGCAGCTTCAGCCCCTGGATTGAAATAATCGCCATTGAATACTTGAGCCTGGTGGGTTGGGTTGGAGAAATCGGAGAGGGTGGGGAAAGAAGCAGAGTGTTGTACAAAGGCAGCTTCAGCCCCTGGATTGAAATAATCGCCATTGAATACTTGAGCCTGGTGGGTTGGGTTGGAGAAATCGGAGAGGGTGGGGAAAGAAGCAGAGTGTTGTACAAAGGCAGCTTCAGCCCCTGGATTGAAATAATCGCCATTGAATACTTGAGCCTGGTGGGTTGGGTTGGAGAAATCGGAGAGGGTGGGGAAAGAAGCAGAGTGTTGTACAAAGGCAGCTTCAGCCCCTGGATTGAAATAATCGCCATTGAATACTTGAGCCTGGTGGGTTGGGTTGGAGAAATCGGAGAGGGTGGGGAAAGAAGCAGAGTGTTGTACAAAGGCAGCTTCAGCCCCTGGATTGAAATAATCGCCATTGAATACTTGAGCCTGGTGGGTTGGGTTGGAGAAATCGGAGAGGGTGGGGAAAGAAGCAGAGTGTTGTACAAAGGCAGCTTCAGCCCCTGGATTGAAATAATCGCCATTGAATACTTGAGCCTGGTGGGTTGGGTTGGAGAAATCGGAGAGGGTGGGGAAAGAAGCAGAGTGTTGTACAAAGGCAGCTTCAGCCCCTGGATTGAAATAATCGCCATTGAATACTTGAGCCTGGTGGGTTGGGTTGGAGAAATCGGAGAGGGTGGGGAAAGAAGCAGAGTGTTGTACAAAGGCAGCTTCAGCCCCTGGATTGAAATAATCGCCATTGAATACTTGAGCCTGGTGGGTTGGGTTGGAGAAATCGGAGAGGGTGGGGAAAGAAGCAGAGTGTTGTACAAAGGCAGCTTCAGCCCCTGGATTGAAATAATCGCCATTGAATACTTGAGCCTGGTGGGTTCGGTTGGCGGGAATGGGGGCTGGAGGGGGGGAGAGATGGCGCGGCACTGAAATGACTGAGGCAGTGCCTGCAATGACATCCATTGACTTATGAGTCAACTCAGAAGTCAACTTGGAGGGGGGGAGAGATGGTGCGGCACTGAAATGACTGAGGCAGTGCCTGCAATGACATCCATTGATTATTCGAGAGCCTGACGCGTGGGTTGGGGGGGGGGGAGGAGGAAGGGGGAAGAGGGAAGGGGTCGGTGATTGAGAGAATAAGGGGAGGGTGAGGTATACCATGCAACCTGCCAAAGGCATGTGGACTGGCATTGCACTCACCACCAGCGATCGCTGTCTCACCAGAGCTCTCGTTGACCAAGAGTGACCAAGTGTGACCAAGTGTGACCAAGTGTGACCAAGTGTGACCAAGTGTGACCAAGTGTGACCAAGTGTGACCAAGTGTGACCAAGTGTGACCAAGTGTGACCAAAAGTGACCTCGATTGCTGTGATACAAAAACACTGGTCAGAGTGAGTGACCTAGTAGATTGTTACGTTGACTGGGGTGGGGGGCTCACCAGGGCTCGCAGGCTCACCACAGCCCACAAACTCACCAAGGTTGGTTACAGAGGTTGTACTGTAGAGTCACTTCTTGCCATGCGACCTGCCGTATCTCTGTGCGAGTACAAAGAAATGACAGTGCACTCACCAGGGCTCATTGCAGAGGTTGTACTGCAGAGTCACTTCTTGCACAAAGCGCTGGTGCCTGTGCGCGTTCTGATTGGTGGAGGGAGAGGAGCAGCAACAGGGGTGCACAATTGGGTAAGAAGAAGTTTCTTAGTATGGATGACTGTCTATCAAGTGCGCATGCGCGTCTGTGCACACACACCCGCACGGAGGACGAGGCGCGGGTGGTCATGGTGCGCTCGACCGCTGCAGGAACGAGCATTGTGAGTCGTGGTAGTAAGAAGAGGAAGTGCTCACTTAGGGTACATTCCTACCTCGTGTCTGACGAAGTGAATTGTCGGAAGACCCGAAGTCCCCCGGAACTCTGGCAAATCAATGTTCGGAAGACCCAAAGTGGGCCACTTCGGGTCTTCCGAACCTCCATCCGAACCTCCACTTCGTGTCTGACACGAGGTAGGAATGTACCCTTACACGTACCCACGGAGAGAAGAGACATGGGTGGAGTGGAGGCAGGCACGTACCCGCACGGAGGAGGAAGCACGGGTGGTCATGGTGCGCTCGACTGCTGCGGGTACAAGTGTGGGCCCCACAGGGGGTGTGCGGGCGGAGGAAGCTTCCAGGTCGATGCTGGTGCCGTCGTGCTGCACGGTGGGGTGGGAGAGTTCAGGGGAGAGGTGGGGGGCGAATGGCGGAAGGAGTTTCACTCGCCTTGCTACGAGTGTTTTCTTCAGCCCGGCTGAGAAAAAGGAAGAAAAAAAAAATCCTCGTACTGAAAACATGTACCAATTGTGACTGACACTGCGACAAAACCCGTAGATTTCACGAGCAAACCTTGGTGCTTCTGCAGAAAGTCGACTGAGTTCACTGAGAGGCTAAAAGGTGATGATTCAAGCTCTCTACTGCATAGCTGCACGTGCCCTTGCCTGACCCCCATGCCTTTAGAGGCGCCTCAGATACAGCTGCATGTGCCTTTTGCACAGCTTCAAGGGACATACCTTGATGATTCTGCAGCTCTCTACTGCATAGCTGCATGTGCCTTTGCCTGACCCCCATGCCCGGGACCGCATGCTGTTGCGCGAAGAGGAGCGGTAGGCTGGGAGGGGGGGAGGAGGGAGGGAAACAACAGATTACATGCGGAAATCCTTGAGTTGTCTCAGACCGACCCCCATGCCCGGGACCTCATGCTGTTGCGCGAGGAGGAGCGGTAGGCTGGGAGGGGGAGAGGGCGGGAAGGGTGGGGCAGAATGAAACATTGCGTGAGGTGAATTTCTTGTCGATCTCAAACTGTCTGATGTGGCAAGCGGGGCCAGGCTAACAGGAGAGGCTGACAGGGTAAGAACTGCTGACGTGGCAATTCATAAGTCTGAGGTGGCGCAACGTAAAGCGCTGAGGTGGCACGTACAGGGATGAGATGGCATGACTCACAGGGCTGAGGTGGCAGCACGCGAATGGTTGCTCGAAGCTCAGCTATGGATGCGGGTGGCGGCACTGAGACAGGTGTGATGTACCCCACATGCATCAGCACTGCATGAAAAGCGACCACAGGGGGAGAAGGAAAGGTGGGGGGGGGCCGGGGAGAGAGGGGGGTTGTTGTTTAGGGGAGCTATGGACGCGGGTGACGGCACTGAGACGGGTGTGATGTACCCCACATGCATCAGCACTGCGTGGGAAGACAGGATGAGGAACACGGGAAGGAGAGATGAGGGGCAATGGGCGGAGAAAAACGGCAATAGATGCTGGTGGCGGCACTGAGACTGGTGTGATGTGATGTACCCCACATGCATCAGCACTGCGTGAAAAGAGAGCACAGCAGGAGAAGGGAGAGCGGAGGCGGGGAGAAAAGGGGGTTGTTGTTTAAGGAGGATATGGGTGTTGGTGGCGGCACTGAGACAGGTGTGATGCATCCCACATGCATCAGCACTGCATAAGATGAGAGTGGGTGAGGGAGGAGGGTGGATTGTTGACTAGAATCTGAATGCAGGTGCGGGCACTGAGACCGGTGTGATGTACCACACATGCATCAGCACTGTGAGAGAGCAGATAGGGAGGGAAGGGCGTTGTAACATACCTGCGACGATATCCGAGTCGTCAGTGTACACGTCCGTGCCCCACAGCTGCCGCGACCGCACCTGGCGGTTGGCAGTGGTGATGGATTCAGGCGGCACCGATATCTCCACTGCCGGCTGCTGCTGATACGCCCCTGCTGCTGCCGCCCCTGCTGCTCCTGGTGCCACATGCAAAAGACCACTGGTGGCTGCAGCAGCAGCGTCTGTAGCAGCAGAAGCAGGAGCAGAGGCAGCACCATCAGCTGCTGCAGCAGCAGGGCCATCATGGTCCATAGGATCGTCCTTCTCCCCTTCTTCACCCCCCTCCTTGTCACCTCCTCTATCTCCTTCAACCCCAGGCCCCACTTTCCCACCACCAGCATCACCACCAGCGTCACCAGAAGCAGCAGCAGAAGCAGGGAGGTCGGAGGACGCAGGGGGGCAGTGGGTGAGGCAGTCGGAGTGCCGAAGCAGCTTGGAGAGGTCCGGCATGCCCTCGCCCTCTCGGTACGGGAAGAGCGGCGGAGGCTCGGGGGCTTGCAGCGTGCTGCAGGGGGGTGGGGAGGGGGGGGGGAAGGGAGGGAGAGGAGGTGGGCGGGGAGGAGAGTCATGGGGGATGGAAGAAGCGGGTGGGGCAGGAAAAGGGGAAGTCGGAGGAAAGGGGGATGGCCCACCAGGGGGAGGGGGGGTGAGGCGAATGAGGAGGTGTTGGTTGGTAGTGAGCGGGGTGGGAGGGATGTTGAGATTAGCCGCTAGGGAGGCAGCAGGTTTAGCTTGAAGGCAGCAGGGGCAGCAACATAGAATAGCAAGCAGCAAGCAGAGAAAAGGGAATACGCACCCGTCCTTCGATTTGTTGAATCTTGACCGTCCGTCTCGCCCGATCTGCCCGACCAATCGCGGCCGGACCTGCCGTCGCGACCGCTCCGCGCTGGGGACGCTCGACCCGCCCACATGGCCGTCCTTCTCGGCGCCAAACGCGCCGCCGCCATCCGCCATGCGCAGACTCTGCGACTCTTCGCCGCGCTCCTCCCATTTCGCGTCGCGACCTCTCTCGCTGTCACTTATTCCTCCCTCGCTTGTTACCTTATCCGTGGCGCGGCCCTTGTGCCCTTTCTCCCGCTCGCGCTCGCGCTCCCTATCTCTATCCCTATCCCGATCCCTATCCCGATCCCTATCCCGATCCTTCTCTTTCTCTCCTGCCTTTTCTCTCTCCCTGTCCCTTTCTCTGTCTCTCTCTTTGTCTCGCTCTCCTTCTCCCTGAACCGATCTGAACCGTACTCTTTCACTCCCCGCATCCCGCGGTGGCCGGTGCCGGCCGAATCCGCTGCCGCCGGATGCGGCCGCGCCGCCGCCGCCAGACTCGTTGTCTGTGTCGTGATTGGCGGAGCCGAGGACACGTGGCGGATGCACGTGCCTCGTCGGCGTATCCCTATCTCTGTGCTTCGCCATTGCTACTACTCGAACAACCCAGAAACCTCGTCTAAAGAACAGGGTAAGAAAATGTGGACAAAGTATGGGGAAATAGGTCAGCGGGGATGAGGCTCGTCAGGGTCGGAGGAGCTCGTCAAAATCGGAGGTGAGCTGTGGGGGCTGTAGTGCGAATTGTGAGAGACGTTGCCCGTGACAAAGCTGCCCGAATCAGTGTCGAAGCGGACCCCTATGTTTTTGAAAAAGGTTCGATTGTGGGCAGAAGTTCGTTACATAAGCGTAAAAAGAAGATGCGATGCTTTCACTCTGCGAGTGAAAACAATATCATTGTGAAAACACCATGCGAAGAGTTTGGCCATTTCGTGAACGACTTATGCAGCGTTTGTTACCACATATTGTCACCAAAAAGCAAACAGCTTGAGGCAGCGCTGAGTTCCAGCCAGAAACGAAAACAGAAAGGATAGAGAGTAAAAGAGCATCCACAAAGCTCTAATTAGACGTTCGTTGCTGTGAAAGTTCTCGGTGAAGCTCGTATTTGCGCGAACAGAATTAGAAAGGAGATACAGCTTATTGTCAACCATGGCCGCGATTAGGAGGTGTGATTTAATTCGTAAACATAATCTGCTGAGGACACCCAAAAGCACATGGAAATTCACGAATAACTGGTCTCCTCAGTCAGCGTGACGGCGTATTGAGGCAAGTAACGAGCGAACATCTGAGCTAAGTTCTTCCAGGACGAACGAAAATATGAGAACCGGGCCTCGAGTTAAGAAGAATGAAATGTCGGAGTGAGGAAGCACTTCAGAGTTGCACGCTTGACACACTTCGATAACGCAGTTTTGCACATCTTGCAAACAAGAAAAGGAGATCATACTAACTAGAGCGGAGACAGTATCGGCATGAAAAGTTGCAGGCCTCGCGATGGCTAGGATAATTCAATAAAATAAACAGAATAAGGGTCCAGCGCAAGGCATCCGCTTCCTAAAGTCACGCGCTCCAATGGCCGTGGCTGTCAAGTTATTCGCATTATGAGGCGCATCCAGCCGCAAGAGCAATCACAGCGGCAATCCCAAGAGAGCTTGCTTGTTCGGTTGGTTTGGGGTTGAGTTTTGCTGGATGCACGATTGTGAAAGCCAACCGAACATGGGTGAACTTGAATGAACATATTTGGCGACTCTGTTTCAGTCCGTCATGAAGGGTTCTCGTTGTGGTGCAAGTTAGAGGTTTCAGGGTTGGTGGTGCAGTTGCAATTCACACCAGGCCAGCTATTTTGTTCGGTATCTGACAGGTACTACCTTTCGGGGTGTACCCAAATACGACTAGTGATTGTGAACAAACAGGAAGCAACAGATTCTCTGATACAGTTAATAATCTTTCGTCCCTAGCAACCTATACAAATGCACAAGTTTATGGCACCAATTTCCGGCTGGTACAGTTTGCCTTCACCACTTTCCGAAGCCCAGATACAAAGGCTTACATAAAAGTGTGGACCTTTAGTATAGTAGGCCATAAATCATAGCAAGCTAAATCGTAATTTTCCTTACACTAGAGGTGTCCAACTAGGAGAACCCTGACCAGGAGGGCATACCCATTTGCTTCCATTCCACTTGCAAAGGTCTGGCGGGGGTGGGGGGTGGCGGTGGGCTTGGGGGAGGGGAAGGTGGGGGAGGACGAGGAGGGGGAGGCGAGGGGGAAGGAGGAGACGGAGGGGGAGGCGAGGGGAAGGCGGGCTGGGGGGAGGTGGGAGTAGGGAGGAGGAGAGGGCGACGATGGTGGCGGTGAGGGGGGTGGAGCAGTAGGGGTGATTGATAGAAGCTGCAGGTTGAAGTTGGAGGGGGGCTAGGAGGTGGGCTAGGGGGAGGGGGATTGGGTGGGGGGTTGGGAGGGCTGGGAGGAGGGTGAGGGCTGGAGGTGGGGGGGGGGGGAGGTAGGGGGAGGGCTGGGGAGGTTAGGGGGGGGCTGGATTAGGGGGAGGATTAGGGGGGGGCTGGGGGGAGGGCTGGGGGGGGTTGAGGGGGGGGACTAGGAGGAGGTGGGCTAGGGGGGGGCTGGGGGGAGGTGAGGGGGGAGGATTAGGGGGAGGATTAGGGGGGGGCTGGGGGGAGGGCTGGGGGGGGTTGAGGGGGGGGACTAGGAGGAGGTGGGCTAGGGGGGGGGGTGAGGGGGAGGGCTGGGGGAGGACTAGGTGGGGGGCTGGGGGGAGGTTGAGGGGGAGGATTAGGGGGGAGGATTAGGGGGAGGGCTGGGGGGAGGGCTGGGGGGGGATGAGGAGGGGGCTTGGGGGGGAGGCTGGGGGAGGTTGAGGGGGAGGATTTGGGGGAGGGCTGGGGGGAGGTGGGCTAGGGGGGGGCGGATGAGGAGGGGGCTTGGGGGAGGGCTGGGGGGAGGTTGAGGGGGGGCTGGGGGGAGGTGGGCTAGGGGGGAGGGGGGGGGTTTGGTGGGGGGCTTGGGGCGGACTGGGGGAGGTTGAGGGGGAGGATTCGGAGGAGGGCTGGGGGGAGGTTGAGGGGGAGGATTAGGGGGAGGGTTAGGGGGAGGGCTGGGAGGAGGCGGGCTAGGGGGAGGGGGATTAGGTGGGGGGCTTGGGGGTGGGCTGGGGGGAGGTTGGGGGGAGGTGGGGGGGTTGAGGGGGAGAATTAGGGGGAGGGCTGGGGGAGGTGGGCTAGGGGGAGGGGGGGTTTGGTGGGGGGCTTGGGGGCGGGCTGGGGGGAGGTTGAGGGGGAGGATTTGGAGGAGGACTGGGGGGAGGTTGAGGGGGAGGATTAGGGGGAGGGCTAGGGGGGGCTGGGGGAGGAGGCGGGCTAGGGGGAGGGGGGGATTAGGTGGGGGCTTGGAGGTGGGTGGGGGGAGGTTGAGGGGGAGGATTCGGGGGAGGGCTGGGGGGAGGCGGGCTAGGGGGAGGGGGGTTTGGTGGGGGGCTTGGGGCGGACTGGGGGGAGGTTGAGGGGGAGGATTCGGAGGAGGGCTGGGGGGAGGTTGAGGGGGGGATTAGGGGAGGCTAGGGGGAGGACTGGGAGGAGGCGGGCTAGGGGGAGGGGGATTAGGTGGGGGGGGGGGGGGTGGGGGGGGCTGGGGGTGGGCTGGGGGAGGTTGAGGGGGAGGATTCGGGGGAGGGCTGGGCGGAGGCGGGCTAGGGGGAGGGGGATTAGGTGGGGGGCTTGGGGGTGGGCTGGGGGGAGGTGAGGGGGAGGATTCGGGGGAGAGTTAGGGGGAGGTGGGCTAGGGGGAGGGGGATGAGGAGGGGGGCTTGGGGGAGGGCTGGGGGGAGGTTGAGGGGGAGGATTAGGGGGAGGTTGAGGGGGAGGATTAGGGGGAGAGTTAGGGGGAGGTGGGCTAGGGGGAGGGGGATTAGGTGGGGGGCTTGGGGGAGGGCTGGGGGGGAGGCTGAGGGGGTGGATTCGGGGGAGGGTTGGGGGAGGTGGGCTGGGGGGAGGGGGTTGGGAGGGGGCTTGGGGGAGGTTGAGGCGGAGGATTAAGGGGAGGACTTGGGGGAGGTGTGGGGGAGGATTGGGGAGGGCGAGGCGGACGGGGGGGGTGGCGGGAGGTGGGCTTGGGGAGGCGGAGGCTTGGCTGTGGTGGGGAGAGAGGAGGAGAGGGGAGGGGAAGAGAGAAAAAGGAGAGAGAGGAGAGGAGAGGAGAGGGAAGAGAGGAGAGGAGAGGAGAGTGGAAGAGAGGAGAGGAGAGGGGAAGAGAGGAGAGGAGAGGGGAAGTGTGAACAGCATTACAAACTTCAGCCTGCATATCAGTGTCCATGTACAATCAGGTCTGTGATGGAAAGAAGCAGCAGGAGTGGTAACCAATGAGAGGTAAATTTACAGAACGGACTGATAGAAGCACTCATGAATAAGAAAACTCACCGATAAGAGCACTCATCGATAAGAGCACTCACCAATAAGAGCGCAGGACATGCCGTCTGCGGTGGGCAAGGCGATCTCAGCTGGGCAGTTGCAACCAAAGCTCACTCTCCCGGTATCCACTGCTGCTGCCCCTGCTGCTGCTGCTGCTGCTGCTGTTGCTGCTGCTGTGGTGCTCTGCTTCCCATTCTTACTGCCACTCTTGCTGCCAGCTTTGCCACTTTTCTTGCTGGTGCTGCCGCCACCGCAGCTGCTGCTGCTGCCGGTACAGCTGCTGTTGTTGCTGGTGCTGCTCAAACTCCCTCCGCCCACACCACCACTACCAGCCCCACCACTCCCCACAGTAGCCCCCCAGAAGCCCCCCCAGCACTCACAACCACCGCCTCACACGTACCCAGCCACCACACTGCGCATTCTCCTGAAACCTTCCCGAAGAGGTCATATTCGTGGAGCAGAACAGCTTGCAGGCACTCGCTTCTTTCTGCACTTCAGACGAGCAGAGCGGGCCGAGAGCCGTGTCAAAAACGACGCAGTTGCCGGCCAGGGAGAGAGTTCGGTCGGCGGACTGGCAGAGTGGGCGGCCTTGGCGGTCTGTTATGTGGCCCGGGCCGTAGAAGAAGTTGTGGGTGAGATCGACGGTTGAGATCTGCTCTGAGGAGGGGAGGGCGGGCAGCCCACCACTGAAGTAGTTGCGAGATAGGTTACTGGTGGATGGGAGCAAGATACAGAGGGAGAGGGGTTGGGGAGAGGGTTAGGGGAAAGGGGTACGGGGGGAGAGGGAAAAGGGAGCTCAACAAAGGGAAGTGAGGGAAGGGAGGGCAGCCTCAATCGCTGAAGTAGTTGATAAAAAACTGAACAACTGAATCAAGAACAATTGATTCAAGCTGGGTACATACAGCGAGGAGAAAAAAAGTGTGTGTGTGTGTGGTGTGTGTGTGTGTGTGTGTGTGTGTGTTCCGTCGACAAAAAAAAAACATCTGACACGACTCAAGAGTCAATCAATGTGAGGCAGCAGGGTACATACAGCGATGAGAGGGAGGAGAGGTTGTGAGTAGGGTGTCAATGCGGCCACTCAGTGCGTTGTTGCTGAGATCGCTGGGGGAGGGAATGAGACCAGCAGACGGGGGCGATGGGTGGGGGAGACAGAGAGGGGTGGGAAGGGAAGTGAGGGAATAGAAGAAGGAATGGTTGGTGAATAGGGTGTCTAACCGCACTAGAATGAAGTGCTGGTGCAGAGGCGCTCAGAAGTTCATAAGAATTCAGTAGTTGACAAACCTTTATATATGTATATATACATATATATATATATGTATGTATATACATATTTTTTGGGTTTGAAATACTGCACAGTTGGCAGTGCTTTGGACCAGAGGCGCTCACAGGTTGATGAGGGTGGAGCAGTTGGCAAGGCCAGAAGGGAGAGATCCCACCAATGCATTGTCGGATAGATCACTGCAGAGAGGGAAGGGGAGGGGATGGGGGGGGGGGGGTGGGGAGGGGGGAGGGGAGGAGGGGGTGGTGTGAAGGCCGACTCAGATGGCTTTTGATGCGCCTAAGAAATGGTGGCGCAGTTGGCAAGGCCGGAGGGCAGCGATCCCACCAATGCATTGTCGGATAGATCGCTGCAGAGCGGGCAGGGGAGGAGGGGAGGAGAGGCGGTGTGAGGGCCGGCTCAAATGGCTTTTGAGGCACCTCAAAAGCAGAACGGTGGAGCGATTGGCAAGGCCAGATGGCAGCGATCCCACCAATGCATTGTCTGATAGATCGCTGCGGAGAGAACAGGGGACGAGGCAACAGAGGAGGGAGGGGAGGCTCGTGAGAAACGTTGAGCATTGAGACTTCTCAACACTTGCGGAGAAGTTAAGGAAACTTAGAAAGAAGATTGCCCCCCTAGTCAACGAAGAGATCAAAGTTCCTTATACGCTCTCAGTCAAAGCCCCCCATATACTCACACGGTGTGAAGCATAGCCATGGCACTGCCACAGAAGGAAGGGGGCCAGACATGTGCCATGGAGGTGTGTGGGAGGGGGGCCATCGATGTATGCTTGATGCTCATTTGAAAATACTCACACGGTGTGAAGCATGGCCATGGCACCGCCACAGAAGGAAGGCAGTGTGCCCGAGAGAGCATTGTAGGAGAGGTCCCTGTGGGGAGAGCAGAGGGGGGTTGTGATGATGGGGGAAACAAGGGAGTGAGTGAGACAGAACTGTAGCATCAACACAGCAGGAAGGGAGAGTGCCCGAGAGAGCATTGTAGGAGAGGTCCCTGTGGGGAGAGCAGAGGGGGGTTGTGATGATGGGGGAAACAAGGGAGTGAGTGAGACAGAACTGTAGCATCAACACAGCAGGAAGGGAGAGTGCCCGAGAGAGCATTGTAGGAGAGATCCCTGTGGGAGAGCAGAGGGGGGTTGTGATGATGGGGGAAACAAGGGAGTGAGTGAGACAGAACTGTAGCATCAACACAGCAGGAAGGGAGAGTGCCCGAGAGAGCATTGTAGGAGAGATCCCTGTGGGAGAGCAGAGGGGGGTTGTGATGATGGGGGAAACAAGGGAGTGAGTGAGACAGAACTGTAGCATCAACACAGCAGGAAGGGAGAGTGCCCGAGAGAGCATTGTAGGAGAGATCCCTGTGGGAGAGCAGAGGGGGGTTGTGATGATGGGGGAAACAAGGGAGTGAGTGAGACAGAACTGTAGCATCAACACAGCAGGAAGGGAGAGTGCCCGAGAGAGCATTGTAGGAGAGATCCCTGTGGGAGAGCAGAGGGGGTGTTGTGATGATGGGGGAAACAAGGGAGTGAGTGAGACAGAACTGTAGCATCAACACAGCAGGAAGGGAGAGTGCCCGAGAGAGCATTGTAGGAGAGATCCCTGTGGGAGAGCAGAGGGGGGTTGTGATGATGGGGGAAACAAGGGAGTGAGTGAGACAGAACTGTAGCATCAACACAGCAGGAAGGGAGAGTGCCCGAGAGAGCATTGTAGGAGAGATCCCTGTGGGAGAGCAGAGGGGGGTTGTGATGATGGGGGAAACAAGGGAGTGAGTGAGACAGAACTGTAGCATCAACACAGCAGGAAGGGAGAGTGCCGAGAGAGCATTGTAGGAGAGATCCCTGTGGGGAGAGCAGAGGGGGGTTGTGATGATGGGGGAAACAAGGGAGTGAGTGAGACAGAACTGTAGCATCAACACAGCAGGAAGGGAGAGTGCCCGAGAGAGCATTGTAGGAGAGATCCCTGTGGGAGAGCAGAGGGGGGTTGTGATGATGGGGGAAACAAGGGAGTGAGTGAGACAGAACTGTAGCATCAACACAGCAGGAAGGGAGAGTGCCCGAGAGAGCATTGTAGGAGAGATCCCTGTGGGAGAGCAGAGGGGGGTTGTGATGATGGGGGAAACAAGGGAGTGAGTGAGACAGAACTGTAGCATCAACACAGCAGGAAGGGAGAGTGCCCGAGAGAGCATTGTAGGAGAGATCCCTGTGGGAGAGCAGAGGGGGGTTGTGATGATGGGGGAAACAAGGGAGTGAGTGAGACAGAACTGTAGCATCAACACAGCAGGAAGGGAGAGTGCCCGAGAGAGCATTGTAGGAGAGATCCCTGTGGGAGAGCAGAGGGGGGTTGTGATGATGGGGGAAACAAGGGAGTGAGTGAGACAGAACTGTAGCATCAACACAGCAGGAAGGGAGAGTGCCCGAGAGAGCATTGTAGGAGAGATCCCTGTGGGAGAGCAGAGGGGGGTTGTGATGATGGGGGAAACAAGGGAGTGAGTGAGACAGAACTGTAGCATCAACACAGCAGGAAGGGAGAGTGCCCGAGAGAGCATTGTAGGAGAGATCCCTGTGGGAGAGCAGAGGGGGGTTGTGATGATGGGGGGAAACAAGGGAGTGAGTGAGACAGAACTGTAGCATCAACACAGCAGGAAGGGAGAGTGCCCGAGAGAGCATTGTAGGAGAGATCCCTGTGGGAGAGCAGAGGGGGGTTGTGATGATGGGGAAACAAGGGAGTGAGTGAGACAGAACTGTAGCATCAACACAGCAGGAAGGGAGAGTGCCCGAGAGAGCATTGTAGGAGAGATCCCTGTGGGAGAGCAGAGGGGGGTTGTGATGATGGGGGAAACAAGGGAGTGAGTGAGACAGAACTGTAGCATCAACACAGCAGGAAGGGAGAGTGCCCGAGAGAGCATTGTAGGAGAGATCCCTGTGGGAGAGCAGAGGGGGGTTGTGATGATGGGGGAAACAAGGGAGTGAGTGAGACAGAACTGTAGCATCAACACAGCAGGAAGGGAGAGTGCCCGAGAGAGCATTGTAGGAGAGATCCCTGTGGGAGAGCAGAGGGGGGTTGTGATGATGGGGGAAACAAGGGAGTGAGTGAGACAGAACTGTAGCATCAACACAGCAGGAAGGGAGAGTGCCCGAGAGAGCATTGTAGGAGAGATCCCTGTGGGAGAGCAGAGGGGGGTTGTGATGATGGGGGAAACAAGGGAGTGAGTGAGACAGAACTGTAGCATCAACACAGCAGGAAGGGAGAGTGCCCGAGAGAGCATTGTAGGAGAGATCCCTGTGGGAGAGCAGAGGGGGGTTGTGATGATGGGGGAAACAAGGGAGTGAGTGAGACAGAACTGTAGCATCAACACAGCAGGAAGGGAGAGTGCCCGAGAGAGCATTGTAGGAGAGATCCCTGTGGGAGAGCAGAGGGGGGTTGTGATGAGATGATGAGGGGAATAAGAGAGTGAGTGAGATTAGCTGTAGAATGACCACAGAAGGAAGGGAGAGTGCCCGTGAGAGCGAGGGTGAGTTGGGGTTGCGATGGAGGAGCGCGCGCGCACACACACACACGCACACACACACACATATATAAAAAGGTACATGTACACCATATTGGTGAGAGAACTTATGTTGTCTGGCAGGGGACCGAAAAGAGCGTTGCGGTTGAGCATAGACGTGCATGGACATACACATAACAGTGCCCACTGTTACAGCTGTGAATGCGCATACAGCCATGCATGCACTTACAGGTACACCATGTTGGTGAGCGAAGTCATGTTGTCTGGCAGGGGGCCTGAGAGAGCGTTACGATCCAGCTGCCTGCAGGAGATGGAAAAAAAGAGGGGTGGGGAGCGGCACGTCGTGTTAATGAATGGAAACAGGAAGCGACTTGAAATGTTGACGCAGTTACACGCATAGAGATGATTGGATGGGTCGGAAACGGGAAAGGCAATGACGTTGAGCATGCTGTGTTACGGCGTGCTCATGCAGAGGTGGGCCACTCACAGGAAGCCGATTTTGGACAAGGCAGTGATGCTAGCAGGGAGGGCAGTGCTGCTGGTAAACATGGCATTAACATGCAGAGGTGGCTCACAGGAAGCCGAGTTTGGACAAGGCAGTGATGCCGGCAGGAATTGAACCTGAGAGCTGGTTGCCGCTGGCAGAGCTGGTTGGGTGTGGGTGGGAGAGGTTAAAGTGGGTTGGATGCGGTGAGAAAGACAGAGGAAGCAAAATCATTTTGATGAGGCAGTGGAGCCTGGAGGGAGGGAGAGCTGGTTGGTTGGAACTGGCAGAGCAGAACTGGGTGTGGTAAAGGTTAGAGTCGGTTGGAAGCGGTCAGAAAGACACAGAGACAGCCAAATATGTGGAGGTAGGTAGGTGCGGGGAGATTAGAGCTGACTCAACAGACATCTTTTGAACGAAGGGCAGGTGGGTGAGGGAGATGAGGCTGGAGATGGTGGAGGGATGGACCCTGAGAGAGAGGTTTGACGGCTCCAAAGAATCTCTTGAACGAAGGGCAGTACACACACGGGTAGGTGCAGGCACTAAGCACAGGTGGGGGTGACTGTGAGGGCAACACATACAGGTAGCTGAGGGAGAGGAGGCTGGAGATGGAGGCTGGGATGGACCCTGAGAGAGAGTTGGCATTAGCGAAACTGCAGGCAGGGAGAGAGCAAGGTGAAATAGGTACGAATGAAAGGGGGTAAGATGGGTGCCGGTTGTTGGACAGGATAAGATGGCATGGTAGTGAACGTGAAAAGGAAAGGGTGATGGCGGGAGTGGGTGGGAGTGGGAGCGGAGAAGTGAGGTCGAAGAGAGGAGGGTGAGGTGAAGAGGAGGGTGGAAAGAGGAGGGTGAAAAAAAGATGGTGAAAAGAGGAGGGTGAAAAAAGGATGGTGAAAAGAGGAGGGAAAGTGGTTGGGGGGTGAGTGGGAAACATATGGTGAAAAGAGGAGGGAAAGTAGTTGGGGGGTGAGTGGGAAACATACAAGTATCTGAGGCGGGAAAGTTTGCCCATGGTGGATGGAAGAGAGCCCGAGATCTTATTGTTACTCAGGTAGCTGATGGGACGAGATAGGTGATAAGAAGCAAGAGGCCAGCAGAGAGGTGCATGAGTTAGGTCAGGTACGCGTTGCTATCTGTTTGTTGTGAGTTAAGAATGAGGACGGGTTGAGGAGCTTATTGCTGCTCGGATGTCTGAGGATTGGGATGATGCAGCAGGATTGCAATGAAACAAGCTATTAACAAAAGTGACTTCCAAATTGCAGCAGGTATGCTACGAAACAAGCTTGGAAAGAGAGCTGGCCTCAAAGAAAAAAGAGGGAAAAAAAACGAGCAACTTTCAGGCACCTCTGGCAGGCAGCGCCTTTTTCAGCCAAACGAAAACTTATGAGGTGCCTCAAAAATCGCCTCAGGCAGGCAGCGCCATTTTCCAACGACCACGCGACAACTCACAGCCAGATGAGTTTCGAGAGTGATCCGATTTCAGACGGGATTGAGCCGGTGAGAGAGTTGTTGCGGAAGTCGCTGGTGCCAGGTGGGGTGCGGTGGAGCGCATTGAGGGGGGATTGGGTTGGAAGAGGAGGAAGGGATCGACGGGGGTTGCGTTAAATGGGGGGTACAGAAAACCATGAGGAGAAGGGAGAAGCCAGGAGGATTGCTCATGCAGAGGCCACTGGGGCAGGTGAAGGAGGGAGAGTGGGAGTGGGATGGGAGAATGGGAGGGTTAGGAGGAGCGAGTGCATGTGGCGTGGATGGAGAGGGTAAGCTGTGAGAAGAAGGGGCGAAGCCAGTCAGAGAGTTGATGCGTGAATGTCTCTCGCACGACCAACAGGCCTTGCATGACTCATGTGACTCGCGCCTTGCAAGCCCCACTCGCATGCCCCACTCTCACGCCCCACTCGCATCACCCGCTCACTTGGATGCCCCACACAGCTCACATTAGCGTCAGAGCCTGCACACGCGCATCACTCACTCGCAACACCCACCCACTCGCATGCCCCACCCACTCACATGCCCCACCCACTCACATGCCCACTCACATGCCCAACCCATGCGCAAAGCTCACACACTCACATGCCCACTCACATGCCCAACCCATGCGCAAAGCTCACACACTCACATGAGCTGCAGAGCTTGCACACGCGAGATGGAGGCTGGAATGGACCCTGTAAGCTGGTTGCCCCTTAGTGAGCTGAGGACAGGAAAGAGGAGGAGGGGATACGGAAGGAGGGGAAGGGGGAAAGGGAGGCCAAGAAACAAAAACATTGGAGGGAAATCAATGGAAAGATTGCTGCATTGACATTGCGTCGACTAATTCGGCTTTGAGTCAACTCAGAAGCCACTGAAAATCAGAGGCAGGAAACAGGCAGTAGCTGAGCGAAAGAAAGGGACGGGGAATGGCGGAGAATCCTGAAGTTTAGGGTTAGGGAGAGAACAAAGCAATTTCTGATTAAACGCCATGCGAAACGAAAAAGTTTCAGCTTCATAGGTAAGGAAATGGTAACTTGGAAACCACAATATCTGTATCAGAATCGTTACTCACAGGTAAGAGAGGGCAGACATAGTCGATATCTGCGATGGGATTGGCCCCTCAAGGCGATTGCCATCCATTCGGCTGGAAGGGAGGGGAGAGGGTGAGGGGATAGCATACATGATTGGCAAAGATGTGTTGTGCGTGTCGTGTGATGTGATGAGGCAAATTCTCGTTGCACAGTAGATTCTCTCTAAGTGATTGCAATATCGGAAAGATAGGGATCGTGTGGGACGAATCTCTTCCCACTACACAGAAAGATGCAGAGCATAGCACAACTGACAGCACAACACAGGTGACAGAAAGATCGATTGACGGAACAAAGCAGCACCACAGTCGGCAGCGGCTGCTCTTATGACGACTGAGGAAGGTAGAGATTCTTACATAAAGGTGAGATAGGATAGGCGGGAGATGCCGACAGGTAAGCTGCCAGTGAGCCTGTTCTGCGCCATGTTCCTGTGGCAGCAGGGGCACGGAAGCACAGCACATGGGGGATGGGGAATGGGAGCTTGGAGGAAAGGGAGTATGGTGGATGGATGGGAGCAAGCCGGACGGGAGCATGGGAGGATGTAGGATAGATCTGGCATGAGTGGATATCAACCTGACTTGGAATTAGTGAGAATAAGAGAACGAACAAGATGCCTTTCGCTTTTCTAAGCTCCTTCGGTGCCAGTTGCTGCTCCGGTGTTGGACGACGCTCAGGAGGGTGACTTGCTCTGGCCTGTGATACTCTTTGAATATCCTCAACTTGAAGGCCTCAAGCCGCTCACAACGAGTGCGAGCAAGTCTTACAGTTGTTGCAGTGCTGTTAGAGATGTGATTCCTTTAGGAAATGTCCCGGAGATCTGGTTGTTGCTCAGATGGCTGAAGCAGTGAGAGGGGAACAGCGAGATGTTGGTGAGTGCGCGGCTGTAATATGATGTCAAGAACAGGTGGAGGATGAAGGAAGTGCAAGCGAGGGCAACAAGACAGGTGGTCCAATAACAGGGGAGTAAAAGAAGTACAGGGAAGTGAGTGTGATTGTACAGGGATGTGAGTGTGACAGTACAGGGAGGTGAGTGCGACAGTGACAAGGAGGCGAGCGTGATTGTACAGGGAGGTGAGTGTAGCGTTGAGTAGGGAGAGGGTGGAAGGGATGGAGGTGACGTTGTTGCCTGCAGACCTGGTGTGGGAGAGGAGGAGGGGAGGAGTGGAGGAGGGAGGATAAGGGAGGGAGAGGGGAGGGGAAGGGAGGAGAAGGGAAGGTGAAGGGAGGGAAAAGAGAGGAGAAGGGAGAAACAGATGTTCGTTCCAGCAACAGAACGAAACGAGTGCAAGGGGTGATGCAGAGCTGGTGTGAGAGAGGAGTGGGGGAGTGGGGAAATAGGAGAGGAGGAGGACAACCACGCATGGTGCCTTTTCTACTGTGCTTAAATGTAAGTAGGTGAAGACGGGGGATTGCAGGAAGAGAGCACTGACAGGAAGGCGAGGGAGGGCAGTTCGGCAATAGCGTTGGGGAGCGAGCCGTTGACTCCATACAGCGTGCTGCGGAAAAGATAAAAGGATTGGGTGGGGGGACGATAATGATGGTGTTGGGGGAAAACGATTGGGGTGGTGGGGGGGGGGGGACGAAACAGAAGGGATGAAAATCGAGAGGGGAATGGAGAAATGACCAGAGTGGGTGGGAGGCTGGGAGAGGGGAAAAAGCGGATAAGTGTTGCTTAAAAACATGTGGAAACAAGGTGACAAAGAAGGGCAAGAGATTACTCGCAGCACTTGCTAGCTAAGCGACAGCGTCGCAGTGCATCTCAGGGAGCGATAAAATATGTTGGTTTAATAAATGACAAGTAATTCAAGGGTCCGAAACCCGATGGGTCACTCACAGTGCAACAACGTATCCGTAGTCGTCACAGATAACGCCAAAGAGCTCGTCGCAGCTCTTGGGGCTCTTCCAGTAGGTCTTGGGACTGCGGGCGGGGTTGGTGAAGTTGAGCTCATTGCGAATGCGCAGCAGCGTCTTCCCTGCAGGGACGGATGGAGGGGCGGATGGAGGGGCGGAGAGTAGGTATGTATGCAGGCATCATGGACCGGCACCATCAAGTTGCATGAGGCTCTTCCAGTAATACGTCTTGGGGCTGCGGGCGGGGTTGGTGAAGTTGAGCTCATTGCGAATGCGCAGCAGCGTCTTCCCTGCAGGGACGGATGGAGGGGCGGATGGAGGGGCGGAGAGTAGGTATGTATGCAGGCATCATGGACCGGCACCATCAAGTTGCATGAGGCTCTTCCAGTAATACGTCTTGGGGCTGCGGGCGGGGTTGGTGAAGTTGAGCTCATTGCGAATGCGCAGCAGCGTCTTCCCTGCAGGGACGGATGGAGGGGCGGATGGAGGGGCGGAGAGTAGGTATGTATGCAGGCATCATGGACCGGCACCATCAAGTTGCATGAGGCTCTTCCAGTAATACGTCTTGGGGCTGCGGGCGGGGTTGGTGAAGTTGAGCTCATTGCGAATGCGCAGCAGCGTCTTCCCTGCAGGGACGGATGGAGGGGCGGATGGAGGGGCGGAGAGTAGGTATGTATGCAGGCATCATGGACCGGCACCATCAAGTTGCATGAGGCTCTTCCAGTAATACGTCTTGGGGCTGCGGGCGGGGTTGGTGAAGTTGAGCTCATTGCGAATGCGCAGCAGCGTCTTCCCTGCAGGGACGGATGGAGGGGCGGATGGAGGGGCGGAGAGTAGGTATGTATGCAGGCATCATGGACCGGCACCATCAAGTTGCATGAGGCTCTTCCAGTAATACGTCTTGGGGCTGCGGGCGGGGTTGGTGAAGTTGAGCTCATTGCGAATGCGCAGCAGCGTCTTCCCTGCAGGGACGGATGGAGGGGCGGATGGAGGGGCGGAGAGTAGGTATGTATGCAGGCATCATGGACCGGCACCATCAAGTTGCATGAGGCTCTTCCAGTAATACGTCTTGGGGCTGCGGGCGGGGTTGGTGAAGTTGAGCTCATTGCGAATGCGCAGCAGCGTCTTCCCTGCAGGGACGGATGGAGGGGCGGATGGAGGGGCGGAGAGTAGGTATGTATGCAGGCATCATGGACCGGCACCATCAAGTTGCATGAGGCTCTTCCAGTAATACGTCTTGGGGCTGCGGGCGGGGTTGGTGAAGTTGAGCTCATTGCGAATGCGCAGCAGCGTCTTCCCTGCAGGGACGGATGGAGGGGCGGATGGAGGGGCGGAGAGTAGGTATGTATGCAGGCATCATGGACCGGCACCATCAAGTTGCATGAGGCTCTTCCAGTAATACGTCTTGGGGCTGCGGGCGGGGTTGGTGAAGTTGAGCTCATTGCGAATGCGCAGCAGCGTCTTCCCTGCAGGGACGGATGGAGGGGCGGATGGAGGGGCGGAGAGTAGGTATGTATGCAGGCATCATGGACCGGCACCATCAAGTTGCATGAGGCTCTTCCAGTAATACGTCTTGGGGCTGCGGGCGGGGTTGGTGAAGTTGAGCTCATTGCGAATGCGCAGCAGCGTCTTCCCTGCAGGGACGGATGGAGGGGCGGATGGAGGGGCGGAGAGTAGGTATGTATGCAGGCATCATGGACCGGCACCATCAAGTTGCATGAGGCTCTTCCAGTAATACGTCTTGGGGCTGCGGGCGGGGTTGGTGAAGTTGAGCTCATTGCGAATGCGCAGCAGCGTCTTCCCTGCAGGGACGGATGGAGGGGCGGATGGAGGGGCGGAGAGTAGGTATGTATGCAGGCATCATGGACCGGCACCATCAAGTTGCATGAGGCTCTTCCAGTAATACGTCTTGGGGCTGCGGGCGGGGTTGGTGAAGTTGAGCTCATTGCGAATGCGCAGCAGCGTCTTCCCTGCAGGGACGGATGGAGGGGCGGATGGAGGGGCGGAGAGTAGGTATGTATGCAGGCATCATGGACCGGCACCATCAAGTTGCATGAGGCTCTTCCAGTAATACGTCTTGGGGCTGCGGGCGGGGTTGGTGAAGTTGAGCTCATTGCGAATGCGCAGCAGCGTCTTCCCTGCAGGGACGGATGGAGGGGCGGATGGAGGGGCGGAGAGTAGGTATGTATGCAGGCATCATGGACCGGCACCATCAAGTTGCATGAGGCTCTTCCAGTAATACGTCTTGGGGCTGCGGGCGGGGTTGGTGAAGTTGAGCTCATTGCGAATGCGCAGCAGCGTCTTCCCTGCAGGGACGGATGGAGGGGCGGATGGAGGGGCGGAGAGTAGGTATGTATGCAGGCATCATGGACCGGCACCATCAAGTTGCATGAGGCTCTTCCAGTAATACGTCTTGGGGCTGCGGGCGGGGTTGGTGAAGTTGAGCTCATTGCGAATGCGCAGCAGCGTCTTCCCTGCAGGGACGGATGGAGGGGCGGATGGAGGGGCGGAGAGTAGGTATGTATGCAGGCATCATGGACCGGCACCATCAAGTTGCATGAGGCTCTTCCAGTAATACGTCTTGGGGCTGCGGGCGGGGTTGGTGAAGTTGAGCTCATTGCGAATGCGCAGCAGCGTCTTCCCTGCAGGGACGGATGGAGGGGCGGATGGAGGGGCGGAGAGTAGGTATGTATGCAGGCATCATGGACCGGCACCATCAAGTTGCATGAGGCTCTTCCAGTAATACGTCTTGGGGCTGCGGGCGGGGTTGGTGAAGTTGAGCTCATTGCGAATGCGCAGCAGCGTCTTCCCTGCAGGGACGGATGGAGGGGCGGATGGAGGGGCGGAGAGTAGGTATGTATGCAGGCATCATGGACCGGCACCATCAAGTTGCATGAGGCTCTTCCAGTAATACGTCTTGGGGCTGCGGGCGGGGTTGGTGAAGTTGAGCTCATTGCGAATGCGCAGCAGCGTCTTCCCTGCAGGGACGGATGGAGGGGCGGATGGAGGGGCGGAGAGTAGGTATGTATGCAGGCATCATGGACCGGCACCATCAAGTTGCATGAGGCTCTTCCAGTAATACGTCTTGGGGCTGCGGGCGGGGTTGGTGAAGTTGAGCTCATTGCGAATGCGCAGCAGCGTCTTCCCTGCAGGGACGGATGGAGGGGCGGATGGAGGGGCGGAGAGTAGGTATGTATGCAGGCATCATGGACCGGCACCATCAAGTTGCATGAGGCTCTTCCAGTAATACGTCTTGGGGCTGCGGGCGGGGTTGGTGAAGTTGAGCTCATTGCGAATGCGCAGCAGCGTCTTCCCTGCAGGGACGGATGGAGGGGCGGATGGAGGGGCGGAGAGTAGGTATGTATGCAGGCATCATGGACCGGCACCATCAAGTTGCATGAGGCTCTTCCAGTAATACGTCTTGGGGCTGCGGGCGGGGTTGGTGAAGTTGAGCTCATTGCGAATGCGCAGCAGCGTCTTCCCTGCAGGGACGGATGGAGGGGCGGATGGAGGGGCGGAGAGTAGGTATGTATGCAGGCATCATGGACCGGCACCATCAAGTTGCATGAGGCTCTTCCAGTAATACGTCTTGGGGCTGCGGGCGGGGTTGGTGAAGTTGAGCTCATTGCGAATGCGCAGCAGCGTCTTCCCTGCAGGGACGGATGGAGGGGCGGATGGAGGGGCGGAGAGTAGGTATGTATGCAGGCATCATGGACCGGCACCATCAAGTTGCATGAGGCTCTTCCAGTAATACGTCTTGGGGCTGCGGGCGGGGTTGGTGAAGTTGAGCTCATTGCGAATGCGCAGCAGCGTCTTCCCTGCAGGGACGGATGGAGGGGCGGATGGAGGGGCGGAGAGTAGGTATGTATGCAGGCATCATGGACCGGCACCATCAAGTTGCATGAGGCTCTTCCAGTAATACGTCTTGGGGCTGCGGGCGGGGTTGGTGAAGTTGAGCTCATTGCGAATGCGCAGCAGCGTCTTCCCTGCAGGGACGGATGGAGGGGCGGATGGAGGGGCGGAGAGTAGGTATGTATGCAGGCATCATGGACCGGCACCATCAAGTTGCATGAGGCTCTTCCAGTAATACGTCTTGGGGCTGCGGGCGGGGTTGGTGAAGTTGAGCTCATTGCGAATGCGCAGCAGCGTCTTCCCTGCAGGGACGGATGGAGGGGCGGATGGAGGGGCGGAGAGTAGGTATGTATGCAGGCATCATGGACCGGCACCATCAAGTTGCATGAGGCTCTTCCAGTAATACGTCTTGGGGCTGCGGGCGGGGTTGGTGAAGTTGAGCTCATTGCGAATGCGCAGCAGCGTCTTCCCTGCAGGGACGGATGGAGGGGCGGATGGAGGGGCGGAGAGTAGGTATGTATGCAGGCATCATGGACCGGCACCATCAAGTTGCATGAGGCTCTTCCAGTAATACGTCTTGGGGCTGCGGGCGGGGTTGGTGAAGTTGAGCTCATTGCGAATGCGCAGCAGCGTCTTCCCTGCAGGGACGGATGGAGGGGCGGATGGAGGGGCGGAGAGTAGGTATGTATGCAGGCATCATGGACCGGCACCATCAAGTTGCATGAGGCTCTTCCAGTAATACGTCTTGGGGCTGCGGGCGGGGTTGGTGAAGTTGAGCTCATTGCGAATGCGCAGCAGCGTCTTCCCTGCAGGGACGGATGGAGGGGCGGATGGAGGGGCGGAGAGTAGGTATGTATGCAGGCATCATGGACCGGCACCATCAAGTTGCATGAGGCTCTTCCAGTAATACGTCTTGGGGCTGCGGGCGGGGTTGGTGAAGTTGAGCTCATTGCGAATGCGCAGCAGCGTCTTCCCTGCAGGGACGGATGGAGGGGCGGATGGAGGGGCGGAGAGTAGGTATGTATGCAGGCATCATGGACCGGCACCATCAAGTTGCATGAGGCTCTTCCAGTAATACGTCTTGGGGCTGCGGGCGGGGTTGGTGAAGTTGAGCTCATTGCGAATGCGCAGCAGCGTCTTCCCTGCAGGGACGGATGGAGGGGCGGATGGAGGGGCGGAGAGTAGGTATGTATGCAGGCATCATGGACCGGCACCATCAAGTTGCATGAGGCTCTTCCAGTAATACGTCTTGGGGCTGCGGGCGGGGTTGGTGAAGTTGAGCTCATTGCGAATGCGCAGCAGCGTCTTCCCTGCAGGGACGGATGGAGGGGCGGATGGAGGGGCGGAGAGTAGGTATGTATGCAGGCATCATGGACCGGCACCATCAAGTTGCATGAGGCTCTTCCAGTAATACGTCTTGGGGCTGCGGGCGGGGTTGGTGAAGTTGAGCTCATTGCGAATGCGCAGCAGCGTCTTCCCTGCAGGGACGGATGGAGGGGCGGATGGAGGGGCGGAGAGTAGGTATGTATGCAGGCATCATGGACCGGCACCATCAAGTTGCATGAGGCTCTTCCAGTAATACGTCTTGGGGCTGCGGGCGGGGTTGGTGAAGTTGAGCTCATTGCGAATGCGCAGCAGCGTCTTCCCTGCAGGGGCAGGGACGGGCGCAGGTACGCATTGCACAAGGGAGGCATCATGGAGTGGCATCATCATCATCATGTTGTATGAAGCTCTTCCAGTAGGCTGCGGGCGGGGTTGGTGAAATTGAGCTCATCGCGGATGCGCAGCAGCGTCTTCCCTGCAGGGGGAAACGTAAATGTGCAGGCACATGGCACGCGCAGCTCGCATGCCGGCACATGGCACGCGCAGCATGACGTATTCACTTGATCGGCTGCATTCCGAGCAGCAGCGACAGTACACAGCACGACGGACTTCAGCGAAAAACAGTTACATGGTAACCTGGAAACGTACAGTCGGTTCCGTTGACGGCTTGAGCATGCGCTGACTGCTGCTGCAGGCCTACTAGCGACAGAAGAAGCACGACCGCGAGCGAAAGACTTGATCGCGGGACGTGGAGACGACGCGTTCGTTCGTCCGTCTCCATTTTCGAGGGTATGTCGTCCGGACTCCCCGCTTCCGAGGGGATGCTGTGTGGAATCAGTAACTACTCGAGCCGCGACGTTGGCGAGAGGCACACGTTTCGTAGAATGAGCATTTTCGCGGTTCGATTTAGCGAAGGATGGCGGATTATGGGGGAAGGGAATAATCGTACGCGATAAAGATTGACGCGGTGGTAGTATATGGAGCGCTGAATGCCTGAATAAACTGGAATGTCTCGCCTTGAAAGGAATGTCGCGTATTAGCGGTGTCAACTCGTGAAGGTGTGACTAAGCAAAACGCGACTATCTCGCTGACGGTCAGGGGAGGTATTGTAAGGGAGGTAGTAAGGGCTAGGGACGGAATGGTGAAGGAGCAGTTTCGAAGATAGAATCACGAAGTCGAAGCGTGGACGACAGAGGTTCTTGTTTCTTATCCTGCCAATCGAGAAGGACGCCATGGTTGTCAGAAATGCAATCCCTGTGGGCGACAACCTGGCGGCGAATTTGTTGTCACGGCGACTAGTCATGGAAATCATGGAACAAGAGGGGAGGATCTGAACCAGGGCTGTGGCTTGGTACGGGGCCAGCCCTTACGCAGCTGAGATGGCCTGAAACGAGCCCTGAAATATCGGGAAAGCATCCCGATCCAGCCCTTAAAGTTCAGGCCATTTTGATTCCTGCGCTGAGCCACGCCTAAGTTATTCTGCCTACTTTACAGAGTAAAGAACGCTGGGGAAACGGGGCGTTGGTTGGGGGCTCATTGTTGGGAGGGAGGCGCGGGGCGATTCTTTGACAGGAGGTGTATTTTAAAGGGTACAATCCTGTGACGGGTAATCTTCCAAACGACTCCTTTATACGAAGGTGCTACCGTCCAAAGCTAGGCTATAACGAGGTATTTTAACGAACACCTGGTTGGTCCCCATGAAAATGTTACTTTTACACAATTTTACCCAACCCATGGATTTCCCGCTCTTCAGTGACGTACGTACCTGTGGAAGAGCACTTACAAACAGATTTCACATGCTAAGTGGATCAGACACTCCGGTGCATGAAGCGGAATAATAGCCAAGCCACATAATTAGGTGGGGCAATCTTTAAGGAGAGGTGTATTTCAAAGGGTAAAGTCACGTGACGGGTAATCTTCTAAACGACTCCGTTATACAAAGGTCTACTGTCCAAAACGAAGCTATAGCGAGGTATTTTATTGGCGGTGTTTGTCGAACATCTGAAGGTTCTTCCACACCCATGAAATCGTTTCTGTTGCTAAATTTTACCTTCTCAGAGATTTCTCGCTCGTCAGTGACGTATTGTGGATCGGGCACGCTGGTTCACTTACAAACGGATTTCACATGTTCGCTGGTGCTTGCAGCGGGAATCAGAGCCAGCCTCATAGTTATTTGGCTAATCTTTAGAAGAAGGTGTAATTTAAAGAGTACAAACACGTGACGGGTAATCTTCTAAATGGCTGCGTTTTACGAGGTCTCTACTGTCGGAAACAGAGCTATAACGAGGTATTTAGTGACAGTGTTTGTCGAACATCGACACCCTTCAAATTGTTTCTCTTATTGTTTTCTAACCTCTCCCGGAAATATCCCACTCCCAGGGAATCTCACACTTGCCGCTCTGCACTTGACAAACCTCCCATGCTGAACGTTACGAACCGGGCCAAGGAAACAAACAACCCTGAAATCTCTGACCTGAGATTAAGCTAATCTTAAAGCTGCGGTCTACATACTCAGAGGTATTTTCGGGGGGTAATCTAAGTGCACACCCTTTGGCCCAACATGATTCGAGAGCGAAGTGAGCTTCTTCCCCAAAAACGTGTGCGAGAAATTCAAACACTGCTGGCGATGACAAACAATTTCGTAAGCTGGTTTGCTTGGGGGAAGTAATCCGTGGAAACGCGGAAGACTCTGCGCCCAACACAAACAACCAAGCGGAATAGAAAACGCGGGCCCTGATAACCATAGCTCCCAAACATGCAACTCTTCCACACCACTCTAGGCTGCAAATCCCTGCTGGGTGCAGGCAGCACGCCACCAAGTGACAAACTGTCGCGAAATACGCGAGGATTGCGTAGTGTAGTGATAAACGTCTGTTTCTCGCCACCCCGCTCAAACATGAACGATTCTGGCCAGGTGCGCGTAGCGTATCATCTTCTTCACGCCACCACGCTAAGCCGCGAATCCCGCACGCGACGTCTGTTTCGCATCCCTCGCGGAAGAGCCGCGATTCCCGCTAGTAGCATGGAGGTAGCGCCTGTTTCACGCCACCAAGCCACCCAGTTGCAATTCTCGCCATGTGCAAATGTCGTATCGCCTTTTCCACGCCACTGTTTTCTCTGCCGCGTTGTACTTGGACAGTAGTTATTGCACGTCGAAAGCCATATGCGGCGATCCACACTCATGAAGCCATATGGGATGCGGAGTGCGGCATGGGATGCCCAGCGGTTTCCCAGCGCAGCGCCATCGCCTGCTTGTCGAGTCGCCTTTGTCACGGCGTCCTCGCCACCTTAGGCCGCGAGTCCCTTTCCCCCCATGTCGCGAGTCCCTTTCCCCCCATGTCGCGAGTCCCTTTCCCCCCATGTCGCGAGTCCCTTTCCCCCCATGTCGCGAGTCCCTTTCCCCCCATGTCGCGAGTCCCTTTCCCCCCATGTCGCGAGTCCCTTCCCCCCATGTCGCGAGTCCCTTCCCCCCAGGTCGCACCTCACTTTCCCCCATGTCCTCCTCTCTTCCCCGTCCTCCTCTCTCCCCCTGTCCTCCTCTCTCCCCCGTCTTCCTACCTCCTCATTTCCCTCTCCCCACTGCTTCCTATCCCCTCCTTAGGCTCCCCCTTTTCCCTCCCTACTCTCTTCCCATCTCCCATTTATTCTCATCCTCCTCCTCCTATCTCCTCCCATCCCTCACCACCTTCCTTCTTATCACCCTCACACACTCACTTCCCTCTTTCCATCTCCCCCTTCCCTCTCCCACCACTCTCCAAAAAATTTCCCTTTCGTCCCCCTCTTTCCCCCCTCCAACCCCTCATTCCCATCCCTCCTTTCACTCATTTCCTCCCCTGCTCCCCCCATTTCCCAGTGCGCGTGGCTGCTGCTCGCTTCGCCCGCGTGCGCCAACCGCCCTTTTGCCTCTTGCGCCTGCAGGCGCGCGTGACCGCCATCTGCGCGTTTGACGACGCGCGCAAGATGTGCTCATTCACGAGCCGCGTGGCAGCAGCGAGAGGGAGCGAGAGGCAGAGGCGTGGCGGGTGCGGGTAACGGGAGGGAAGTGCATCTCGTATTCAACTGCTTTCGCACGAACCCTCGCATTCTTCCTCATTCCTCCAAACCACTATCCATTCCCTCAACCCCATCTTCCCATCCCCCGCAAACCCTCTCTCAGCTCATTCTATCTCCTCGGAACCGCCAGCTGCCAAGTGCATCTCTCACTCAACTACGCTCACAGGAACCCGCGCATTCTTCAACCTCCAATCCCCTTCTCCTCTGCCCATTCCTAGCACACCTGACTTGCATACCTTCCTCATGCTCCCTCACCCTCTCTCCCCCCTGTCCTCCACTCTCCCCCCTTTCATCCTTTCCCCCTTTTGTCCTCCTCCCACCCACGTCATCCTCCCCTCTCTCATCCCATCCTCCCCTGCGTATGCCCTTCCTCTCCTCGTTTCCCTTCCCCCCATTTCCTTTCCCCCCATTTCCCTTCCCCCCATTCCCCTTTGTTGGTCACCCCTTTCTGCTTCGTTACTTTTTATTGACCACAGATATTCCCCCTTCTATCCCCGTTTCCACCATAGTTTCCCAATCCTTCACCCTGCTTCCCATTCCGTTCCCTTTGCTTTCCTTGCACAGGCCATTGCTCTGCCACTCTCCTCTTTTTCCCGCGTGCTCGTCTAAGTGTGCTGTGCAGGCTGTAGTAGGGCAGCAGGGCACCATGGAGGGGAGGACATGGGCGCCCCGCTACCACAAGCGCCGTGGGGCGAGTGGATCCTGGGCACTATGGCACTCTCTATTCGCCCTGCCACCACACTCACCACTCATCCACCCCTCCTTCCCTCCTGCTTGGGCCTTCAACCTGCTGCTGCAGCTGGGGTGACTGCAGCAGCATGGGCACTAGAGAGCTAACATGTGCCCATGCTGCTGCTAACCTTTCACCCCAGCCACATGTGTGCCGAGGCAATAGTTGGAGTGGACAAACGCTGTCTTGTAACTCAAGTTATGTACCATGTAATACATAAATTTTCTCCACACTCACCAGCATTGCAAATGAGGGACCATAACAAATACCCACACATGACCACTGCTATCTTTATTGTATGTATCAAACCTAGAGTATTTTGCACCATAACTTGCTACGCGATGTTATGGTATGGCAAGGGCCCACATCACACTATCCTAAATCTAACTAACTTGTCTCCTTGGTTGCTTCATGCCTGATGAGCTGCACCACGGAAGAGAGAGCAGGGAGGGAAGAGAGAGCAGGAGGGAAACAAGGGGTAAGCGGGGGGAAACAAAGGGTAGGCGGGGGGGAAACAAAGGGTAAGCAGGGAGGAACAAAGGGTAAGCAGGGAGAAACAAAGGGTAAGCAGGGAGAAACAAAGGGTAAGCAGGGCGGAAACAAAGAATAAGCAGGGGGGAAATATGGGGGTGGCTGGCTCTCTAACGAGGTTTCCCCCCATACGAAACAACGCTTTGCCCCTTTGCCACACCTCCATCTCATGAACTGGGAGGGAGATGGTTGACTGCGGAATAGGGAGAGCCGGATGATGGCAAGCCAACGGCGAGACAACAACAGGCACATGAGGAGAGAAGGGAAGTTGCTGTTGGGGAATAGGAATAGGAAAGGGAAAACCTGGGGCTTGCCCACATAGGCAATGAAAGCGTGAGGACAAGGCACGTGTTCAATGAAGGCGGGTGGCATGGCACAAAAATGAAAGAGAACAAGGCTCGCATGCTATCCCCCCGTGCCTGCTCGCATGCCTGTCTCCCGCCTCTGCTCGCTTGCTATTCCCCGCGCCTGCTCGCATGCTAAACCCCCCCGCCTGCTCGCGTGCTCCCAACCCGCGCCTGCTCGCATGCTAACCCCCTCCCAGGTATGTCGCGTGCTATCCCCCCGCGCCTGCTCGCATGCTAACCCCCTCCCAGGTATGTCGCGTGCTATCCCCCCGCGCCTGCTCGCATGCTAACCCCCTCCCAGGTATGTCGCGTGCTATCCCCCCGCGCCTGCTCGCATGCTAACCCCCTCCCAGGTATGTCGCGTGCTATCCCCCCGCGCCTGCTCGCATGCTAACCCCCTCCCAGGTATGTCGCGTGCTATCCCCCCGCGCCTGCTCGCATGCTAACCCCCTCCCAGGTATGTCGCGTGCTATCCCCCCGCGCCTGCTCGCATGCTAACCCCCTCCCAGGTATGTCGCGTGCTATCCCCCCGCGCCTGCTCGCATGCTAACCCCCTCCCAGGTATGTCGCGTGCTATCCCCCCGCGCCTGCTCGCATGCTAACCCCCTCCCAGGTATGTCGCGTGCTATCCCCCCGCGCCTGCTCGCATGCTAACCCCCTCCCAGGTATGTCGCGTGCTATCCCCCCGTGCCTGCTCGCATGCTAACCCCCCTGTGCCTGCTCCCATGCCACGCCGCCTCTGCTCACTTGCTATTCCCCCGCGCCTGCTCGCATGCCTTTCTCCCGCCTCTGCCCGCTTGCTATTCCCCCGCGCCTGCTCGCATGCCTGTCTCCCGCCTCTGCTCGCTTGCTATTCCCCCGCGCCTACTCGCATGCTATCTCCCCGCCTCTGCTCGCGCGCTGTCCCCCCGCGCCTGCTCGCATACGACCTCCTTCGCATATCGCGGCTTACCCCGTCGCAAATTCTCGCTCCCGTCCCCCTCGTACCTCCGCGTCGCGAGACCGTGTCGCTGCTCACACCCGGCCGTTCGCCTCACGGTGGCTTGGGTGACGATGGTGACGATCAAGGGTCGGAGTGCCGACCGTGTCCGATCTTCTGACTGACGGTGACGATCTTCTGACGGTGACGAGGTGGCGGTTGAGGAAATTGCGAAATCTGACGGCGAGTTCTGAGACGGCGAGTTCTGACGTCGACGATCAGGGCGGATATTCCAAGGTCGACGAGCGCGATGGCGTTATTTTATGATCATGGCGGTCTCGGCGACGACGATCCGCGACGACGTTTTGCGACGACGGTCTGCGACGACGATATGTGACGACGATCCGCGACGACGATCCGCGACGACGTTCTGCGACGACGGTCTGCGACGACGATCTGCGACGACTATCTGCGACGACTATCTGCGACGATCTGCGACGACAATTTGCTGACATGGTGACGAGGAGGCGAGGATTGAAGAGACGATTGACAGCGAAGGACGTTGAGGGACGTTGCTGAGGTTGCTGCAGATGGGGAAGGCGAAGGGGAAGGCGAAGGCGAAGGCGATGCATCATGACGCTCAACCACCCACCCGCAGCTAAAGCGATATTAGGAGTGGACCGTAACACTGAAAAGAAGGAACATGAGCTTGGTGGGAGCGCTAGCTTAGAGAAGAGGAGAACGAGGCGACTGTAATCTCTGGAATCACAACTAGGGGTCTATCGAGTGAGCTTTGGCAACCATCATCCGCACCGTTTTGGTCTAGAAACCATCATGCGGGTCAATTTCTAATCTGGCGAACTGGTTTGGGCTCAGCCACACCCCCCTCCCTCTTTCCGCCCTGACTCTTCGTTTCTCCGCAAAGGGGTACTTTTGGGGACAGTGTTACCCTGTTTCCAAGTGATAAACCTTTGCCTATCGCTTGGGGTATGTAGACCGCAGCTTTAAGTTCTCAGTGGAAACGGACAATCTCTCTCCGTAAATCAACAGGTGTCTGAATGAACCATGAGAAGCTAGCTGTGGTAACTGGTGATTCGTGATTCAGCTACTCGTTGAGCCCACACTCCGCAAGCAGGCTGCTGTTCCGCCTCGGGAATGCACTCACGGCAGGAAAATGAGAATCCACAGTTTTTGTAATTTCTTAATCGTGTCTGCCGTATCATCTGTTCAATGGGAACAAAACGAGGTGGTCTATATCGACCCATTCCAAGTAGCCCCACCGGAAGTACACCTTGACTGGAGCAACCAGAAGCTCCTACTTGACGGCTGATGTATTCTCAACGCCAGGAGCAAGTCAAAACTGAAGCACACCATTTTTCCGCCGAGTTCCGCTGTGTATGCGCTATTCACGCGGGATAATGTACGGCTGTCCGAACTTTGAACGTCCATTTGCGTCTGAACCGTGTCTCGGAACCGAAATCTGTCCTGCGTTTCGCCTTTGCGTGGCTCGCTGATCATCCCGCGTGCACCGACTCCGTGACGCGGTGCAAGGTTTGCCGTGCGGAAGAACGGGCGGGGGGGAGATACGTCACTGCGAGAACGGAGCTATACTCCTTCCTCTTGACACGCTGCGAGAACCACGCCATTCCTCGGACGTTCCTCCTGACATACTACTATGTTTAGTATTAATAGCCATGCCGGCGCATGTCGTCCCGAACGGTTAAGGAGATGAAGAGGACTGGTTAGAATCAAGAAAATGTGACAAAATTAGTGTGTCGAGGCCACTAGAATAAGCGAGGAGAGTTGGCTGAGTGGCTTTAGTAGGAAAGAGAGAACGCAGTTTAGCGGGATGCACTGTAGCAGGAAACGCTGTCGCGAGACAACCCGCTGCGCTATGCTCTTTATTGGAACACAGTGTAGCGGGAAAATTTTCGCCGAAATGCGTAATAACCGAGCACATTATACTGGAATACAGTTTCAGATGTTCCGGTCCCCTTCCGTGGTGCCACGTGGCACGCTTCGCGGCAGCTGCTCGCTTCTGCTACTGCTGCTGCCGCTACTAGTGCTTCTCCTTCCCTCCTGCAATAAGTCGCCTGGCGCCGCTGCTGTTGCTGTCCTCTACCCGCAATGTACTTATCTTCTTGCTTGTCAGCTAAAAAACTGTAGGTGTTGCTGTTGCTGCTGTTCTCTATCGGCAATTTACTTGGTCTCCAGTCTCGCCTTAACTCCGTTCTGTGACTGTTACGCGTCGCCGATTGTAAGATGTGCGTCACGCCACCATTGTGGCCAGTAAAGTAACCCCTGTCAGTGTCACTACTACATTGATTCAACACACATACCCCCGAGTAATTGACGCAGAATCAGTTGAATAGTTGTTTTTTTTCAAAGCCCCTTGCTCTCCTTCCCTATCCGCCCATCATCCCCGTTACAGGGCTGGCTCTGGTTTCGATAAGAGACGGGCTTGATTTCCTGTACCCTAGTCGCAGCCCTAAGGCGTTTTGGACCAGCCGCTCAGACTGCTCCCTGCTCTTTGGGGCCGGCTGCGACTCCCTCGGGAACGTCGTGTCTCTGTGAGTGTGCCATTGTTTGTACTGATGGGTAACTGAGCCGACTTGAAATTAGACCAGCCGCTCGGACTGCTCCCTGCTCTTTGGGGCCGGCTGCGACTCTCTTGGGAACGTCGTGTCTCTGTGAGTTCTCTCATTGTACTGTCGTGGTTCGTATCATTGAATTGGGATATTTTCGGACTCTCATATTCTGCCTTTCTGCTCTCTGTTCTGCTCTGCTCTGCTCTGCCTGCCCTGCTCTGCCCTGCCTTGCCCTGCTCTGCCCTGCCCTGCCCTGCCCTGCCCTGCTCTGCTCTTCAATTTTCTGGTTTGCTTTGTTTTTCCCTGGTTTGCCCTGGCACCTAGCAGGTCTCTGTATGATGCGATTGGGACAATCCCTTCTGAGCTGGGGAACTTGACAGCGCTGCTATCCCTGTGAGAGAGCACACGGCACACACAGGCACGCACGCATTCACGCACGCACGCACGCACACAAACACGCACGAACGCACATGCGCGTGCGCACACACACACATCCAGTTAACTCTAAACATTTTCTTTCCTTCCCACCCTCCCTCTTCACATCACCATCTCTCCTCTTCCTTTCCACCCTCCATTCCTCCTCCCCCCCTCCCCTCCAACCACCACCCACCTACCAGAACTGCCAACGGAAACATCCCCAGCCTCCACAACACAGCTCACCTCACTTCTCACTCCCCGGCCATTTCCCCCCCAACCCCATCCAACCCACCCCCCCTCCTGCCCACCTTCTCCCCCGCTCTCCCTGCCCTGCCACCAGAACTGCCAACGGCAACATCCTGAGCCTCCCAGCCTCCACAGCGCAGCTCACCCCGCCCATTTCCCCCCAACCCCATCCAACCCCCCCCCCCCCCCCCCCCCCCCCCCCCCCCTCTCTCCCCCGCCCACCCTCCCCTGCCGCTCTCCCTGCCCTGCCAACAGAACTGCTAACGGAAACATCCCTTCCTCCCGGCCTCCACAACGCATCCTCACTCCACCACACACACCCTACCTCCCTCCCTTCCCCCCTTCCCTACCAACTTTCACCTGCCCTGCCACCAGAACTGCCAACGGAAACATTCCCAGCCTCCCAGCCTCCACAACGCAGCTCACCACGCTAACACTCCTGTAAGAGGTCGATTTGAAACATAGGGTTTTGAACTGCAGACAGACAGCTGTGGTGGCCTTGTGTTTTTTCGACCCTGAGCGATGCCTCTTCCGTGCTGTCCTACCACTGATGTCCTCGCTTTCTCACACTCACAGCCCGGCAGGTCGTTCAGCAAGGTCCGTCTCACAGGGCCGTCCCCGCCCACCCCTTCCTTTCGCCCTCCCCTTTCCGTGCCGTCTACCCCTTCCACCACACTCACCTCGTCGCAGGTCGTTCAGCAAGGCCGGTCTCACAGGAAACTTTCCCTCCGTAATCTCGGCACTTAAGAAGCTTAAAGACCTGTACGTTCGTGACATGTAGCGTGCGTGCGTTCATGCATGCATGCTCACCCCGTATCCTCTCACTCAGGCATGCTCATTCGCCCCATGCTGTCCCTTCCCCCCCCCCCCCCTACGTCCTCAAAATCATCTTGACTGTCACCGTTGTCGCCATCCCTCGCTTTCTTTTGGTATTTCCCCCATTCTCCTCGCCCTTCGACATCAGGAAACTTCCTAGCAACTCCTTGTCGGGCCCCATTCCTCCCTTCCTCTCCACGCTCACATTCCTCACCACCCTGTATGTAAGCCAGCTCTTGTTTCTGAGAGCTTTCTGTTTTGATTTACTCCCCACCCCAGCCCAGGTCCCCTTGTTCTTTTTTTATACCTTGTTTTTCATATCTCCCCGCGCCACTCTCCATCAACTTCTTTCACGACTCTCCATGCACCCCTCCATATTGGAACGCACTTCTCTGCACTGTTTCATACTGCTCTGTCTCGTTCCGCAGGCGTCTGGACTCCAACCAATTCACAGGCTCCATCCCGTCCGGCCTTTCAAAGCTAACAGCGCTAACCATCCTGTGAGCAGTTGTTACCTGTTCTGCCAACGCATTCAGCGAATTTACTTCTCTATAAGGCACCTAAGGCTTCCTGAAAACAGGTATATTAAACGCCATTTTAGTTTATTTCCTACCTCTCATTCCCCCACCCGTTCCGTCCATCCATCCCCTCCTTCCTCCGCTCTCAGATCCGTCCCCAACAACCTTCTTACAGGGTCACTACCAGCTACTCTCTCTGACCTCCGACAACTCGTTTCCATGTGAGCTTGCAATCTGTCTTCTCTACTAAATTCTGCCTACGTGCCAGCTCGATTGCTGTTCTCGAGAAGAGATCCCATGCGAGCTTCTTGACTTTGATTTGAGTCGACTTAGAAGTCACCTGCTTGCTGTTTTCGAGAAGAGAACCCGTGTTCTTGTACGAGCTTCTTTCTTCTTTAACTCTTCTTGCTTTTCTTGCAAGAAGGTGTTTTCCTGCTCTTCTTCCCCCCTCCCTCCGTTGTGCTTTGCTCGCAATGCAGTTTTTAGGGCCCTCAGCTCAGCCTGTTTTGGGGTCGACTCAGAAACAGGCCCTCGGCCCTGGCCGCCTTCGCATTGCATTCTTTTGGCATATAAAAAATCTCCGCGGCCACTGTCGCATCGCTCTTTTTCCTCCCCCCTCCCACCGGCTGTGTCCTCCTTGCAGAGACCTTCGTCAAAATAAACTCTCAGGCTCCATCCCATCTCAGTACAGCACCCTCACTGCGTTGGAGGCCATGTGAGCGAGTGAGGGAGTGAGTGAGTGAATGGGCGACTGAAAGAGATGTTGGAATGACTTGCTCACAACTAGCCCATGTTTCTCTCTCACAGTTTCCTGCGATATACACTTGTTCCGTTGACTCACCATGCCCCCGTGGCATGTTGCTCCCCTTTGTTTGAGCTTGATTTTGAGAATTCTCAAAATCAACTCACCATGCCCCCGTGGCATGTTGCTCCCCTCCCTCTTTCCCACTCCGCCTTCTCCCCTTCCTTCCTTCCCCTCCCTCTCTCCGGCTCGCTGCCCTCTGCTCTCAGCACGCTCACTAATCCCGCTCCATTATCCCCTCTCTCCCTCCTTCCTTCGCCTCCCTTCCCCTCCAGTCAGCTCAGCAACAACTCTCTCTCCGGCACGCTGCCTTCTTCCCTCAGCACTCTCACCAATCTGCGCAACCTGTAAGCCACATCCTTTTCCAGGCGCCTCAATCTGAGGCCCCTTCAATAAATATAGTGCTTCCTCTAATGCGATCTTCACATAACGGCGAGGCGAATAGTTCTGCTCTCCGTTGACAATCAATCACCCACCCACCCTCAGGCTTCTATTCCGATCCTCTTCCTTCTTGTGAACTTTCTCTTGCGTGCTGCCTCGTTATAAGCAGACTCGTTGACAACAACACCATCTCTGGTTCGATACCAGCGTCGTTTTCAGCTCTCGCTTCCCTCGTCTATGTGTGAGTATCCCACCCTTTCAATTTCACCCCTTTCCTGCCTTACTTCACCCTCTTCCTTGGCTGCACCCTAAGCCGATCTCGTCATTCCAACCGCCCCCCATCCCTGATTTTTCCCTCGTCCACCCCTGTCCACCCCACCCCACCTCCCCCCTCTCCCCTTCCCATTCCCCACCTCCATCTCTCATCCCCACCCTCAAACGCCCATTTCCCCCCTTCTCTACTGCCCTTGTTCAGCTAACCCATTCCACTCTCCCCACTCTTCTTCCACCCCCAACTCCCTTTCCACTTCCCCCCTCCTTTCCACTCCCCACCACTTCCCTTCCGCTCCCCCTTGCCCCCTCTCTACCAGTCGTGCCAACAACAACAAGCTATCCGGAGCTCTCCCTGCTGGTCTTAGCACCCTCACCACTCTCGATTCACTGTACGTTTCTGGCACCGTGGCTTTGAGAATATTCCATTATACCCTGCAATACGCGTACCTCTCCCTGCATACCTCAGCACCCCCATCACCACCCTCCCCTCAATTCCCTGTGCGTTTCAAGCAGCACGCTGTTTCTAAAAACTCTCAAAAGCACACCCTGCAATATCTGTATCGCTCTCTCCATCTCTCAGCACACTCACTGACATTCCTCCTAGGTACCTCGTGTGCCCATTTAGTAACTCTGCTCAATCATCACCCTGCTTCTCAGTACCTTCACTAACTCTTCCCATGCCAACCCCCATGCCAACCCCCGTGCCAACCTCCCATGTCCAATCCCACACCCCCACATTGCATGCCCCGCGCCCCATCTACCGTGCCCCACGCCCCACACCTCATGCACTTGACAGGATTCTCTCCCGCACGATATCCGGCTCCATACCCTCCGACCACTCTTTTTTAAACGTCTCAAGAAACCCACGCCCCATCTCCCACGCCCCACACCCCATACACTCAACAGGATTCTCTCCCGCAACACGATATCCGGCTCCATTCCCTCTGATTACTCCGCCCTTGAGTCCCTTGCCGTGCTGTAAGCTGTCTTCTCCCCCTCCCTCTCGATTTCTTTTGCTCCATTCCCTCTGACTACTCTGCCCTTGAGTACCTAGTCGTGCTGTGAGCAGCCTTGTGCCCTCCCCTCCACTCTCTCAACCCTTGAGTCCTTAACCCCCCTCTCCCCCAACCAGTCTACTTGACAACAACTTCCTCACTTACTGCCTCTCTCCCTCAAACGCCCCGCCCACCCCCCTCGCCCCTCGCCCCCAACCAGTCTACTGGACAACAACTTCATTATTGGCACCATCCCTTCCTCCCTCTCCACACTCTCCTACCTTTATCAAGTGTACGTGCTCTTCCTCCTTCACTGGACCTCTTCCCTCCCATCCCAACCCCTCCTCTCCCCCATCCCTCCCCCCCACCCTTCCCAAAACCACCTGTCCCCCCCACTCCCTTTCCTCCCCTCCCCTCTCCTCATATCTCTTCGAATGTATGCTCCCTCACGGTGCCCTTTCTTAGATTCAATATATGTGCTCGCTTCCCACAATCCTTCTTCTAGCCTACTGCCTCATGCATCAAATGCACCCACCAGTCTCGCTAATTTCCTGTTGTTCGGCCTCTTTTTTGTTGTTTTCCGGTGGTTGTTTTTCCTTCATTTTCTCCCTGAGACTTTGCTATCGGGTACGCTTCCTTCAATCCACAAAACAAACCCTTCCCTGCCTCCTTCTCCCACCTTCTTCTCTTCCGTTTCAGAGATGTGTCTGAGAACCTGTTATCGGGCACACTCCCTTCAATGTTCACCACAAACATGACCGACCTTAGATTCTTGTAAGGGAGCTTTGAATCTTTTGAGTCGACTCAAAAGGTGCATCTTGACTGGCTTTCTCAAAAGATGTTCACCACAAACATGACCGACCTTAGATTCTTGTAAGAGATATGCTTAGCACAGTCCAGATTCTCACAGTGAGTTGTGTCCATGATAATGAGTTAGTTACAGACTCTCACAGTGATTTGAATCCCAAATATTAAATTGACTATTATGTCTGACCTTCTCATCTTACCTTGTACCCACCTCCCCCATGCCCCACCTGCCCCACTTGCCACCTCCTCACTCTTGCCCCTCCGACGTTCCTCATGTGTCACCTCCCCTTCCCCCATCCTCCACCCAATTCCCTCACATGCCACCTCCCCCCATGCCCCACCCAATCCCCTAGTGTATCTCCTCCCCCACTCCTTCCTCCGTACCATTCCCAGCAACATCGATTTCAACTCTCTGTCTGCCTCTCCACCCCAGTCCCGCTCCAACCAACCTGCACGCTACTCACACTCCTCGCTTGCCTCCTCACTTGCCTCCTCAATTGCCTCCTCCCTTGCCTCCTCACTTGCCTCCTCAATTGGCTCCTCCCTTGCCTCCGCTCTCCCCTCTTCCCTTTCCTTCGCCTTACCCCCCCACGCCAGCAACGTGGCCTTCAACTCTTTCTCTGGTTCCCTGCCCAAGTCCCTCTCCAATCTGCAGTCCCTCTACTCTCTGTGAGTCTGCTTTCCTTTTCCTCAATTCCACTTTACTTGATCAAAGTCACCGTTGAGGATTCTCAAAGGCCAATCCCATTCCCAACTCCAAAGCCGCATCACAGTTATCTCCAATCATGTACTTTCTGTCCTCACCCGTTGTCTGTCCACACCACCCACCAGTGACCTCAGCAGCAACTACTTCAGTGGCCAAGTGCGCACTATTTTCAGCGCTCTCACTTCACTGCAATCCATGTAAAATTTCACGTTTCATCATACCTCGCCCTCCGTTCTTGTTTCATACCTCGCCTTCCTTTCTCGTTTCTCGTTGCATATCCATACCGAGGTTTCTAGTCTTGCGACGTCCTGTTTCATACCTCGCCTTCCTTTCTTGGTCCCATCCTCCCTCGCTCTGATCCCCTGCCCCCTCCCCCTCCTTCCCTTGATCCTGCACCACACGTGCCACCCTGTTTTTGCAAGGTATTTTCCCAAATTCCAATAACCCTTGAACCTCTCACCTTTCCCTCCCACCACCCACAGCAACATCTCCTACAACTATTTCACGGGGTATTTACCCAAGATCGGGTTTCTAGGCGAGCTAAAATCCACCGACCTCTCCAACAACTTTTTTTTCGGGTCAGCCAACGACGGCACCGACAGCATCGGCCTCCCCCTCTGCCCGGACCCCCCCACCTCCTCTTACACCGCCGCCCAAAACTGCCTCTTAAACCTCGCAAACACCTGCACAGCTATATCAGGGCTGACAGTGAATATAGTGGAGCCGCAAAAGACTGAGGACGAGTGCTTTGTGTTTTGTGGGACGAGCCTTGCGATGCCGATTTTTCCGAACCGGCAGTGTGGAGATGAGAAGGGGATGTGTGTGGCGAATCTGAGCGGCAACGGGGTGTTGTTCTACCAGTGCCAGTGCACGGCGCCGTTTGTCCGTTCTGCAGATGCCAAGTCGTGCGACCTTCCACGTAAGTCCCCATCCGTCCCCTGCCTGCCCTTTCTTCTGTTTACGAACATGAGTGGCAATGGGGGGTTGTTCTACAGTGCACGGCGCCGTTTGTCCGTTCTGCACGCGCCAAGTCCTGCGATTTGCCACGGAAGTCCCTTGTGATAGTACCAAGTCTTCCCCTCCACTTCCAGGTGTTAATACCAAGCCTCCGCCCCTTAACCCCCCACCTTTTTCTATGTATTTGTGAATGCTCGCTGCGTGTTCGTTCTTTTTATTCTTTGTTTGCGACGTCTCAGAGCTCGAGTTCCATTATAACCTGCGGCATAGGCTTTTCAGACCCAACACAGCTTCCTCTGTAACTGCCTTTTTGGATTCTCTCTCCTCACCCTCCCTGATCTTTGTGTGCTGCTTTTTTTTTTTTTTCCTCGTCTGTTCTGTGTACATGTTTCAGCCAGCCCACCACCGCCACCACCATTCCCTCCAGGTCCCCTCCCACCCTCTCCTCCCCCCCACCCACCTCCAAAATCTCCCCCTCCTTCCCCCCCGTCACCTCCTAGCCCTCCTCCTAGGCCTCCACCGTCTCCCCCTAAACCGCCCCCAAGCCCCCCACCACCCCCTTCTCCTCCCCCTCCCTCGCCCCCATCGCCTCCCCCTTCCCCTCCTCCCGCTCCTTCCCCCCCTCCTCCGCCGACTGTGCTTCCGCTAATCGATTGTTACATGTCCAGCCTTACAGACAGTTGCGAGTGTTTTTGCCCATTCTTTAACCAATGTTATTGCCAGTAACGTTTCAATGGGACCTTGGTTATTTTGTCTTGTTCATCAGCAGGGCCTGTGCTAGGATTTAGGGCACCCTGAGCCCTCAGGGTAACTTTTGAAAATTTTCTGAAATGCCCTGATTTTCCAGGGCAAAATTCCCTGGCCATCCTGAAATTTCAGGGCACCAGCAGAAATTCATCCGAATGATTCAGGGCAAAAAATACAAGGCACTAAAGAGGATGGAGGGGAAGGCACGAAAGGAGCAGGTTGCTCACTGGTTTCACTGCTGGCTGAGCAAAAACATTGGTGGGGGAGGGGTGGGGACAGAACTACTAGCACACACACCCTCCAGCCTCCTTCCTCCCCTCTCTCCCTCTCCCCCTCCACCCCTTCTCCCCTTCCCACGAGTCAGGGCATCCCTCTACATTCACCCTAACGCTTCAGGGCAAAATTTCACTGTTATTCTGAAATTTTAGGGCAAAACACATGGATCATCCTGACGTTGCAGGGTAAATTTCAGCGTCATTCTGAAATTCCAGGGCAAACTTAAAACACCATTCTGAAATCAGGGTAATCAGGATGTTTTGCCCTGATATCGTGGGCCCTGTCAGTCATTTTTATCAGTTTGATATGCACACTTGTGCTTTATCTGGTCATGAAGAGCTGCATATATCTATCAGTGCTCGCATAACGAATATTTTCGGTCCATACCCTTTTCGCCACAGCTTTGCGCGAAAGCTGGTGGGGCCTATCGCGGTGGAGGAAGAGATGCTTCACTGTGCATGACTCGTGCTTGGTTCCCCCACCTGCGGCAAGTTTTGTCTTGACACTCTTTGTGTGGCACGTCTGTACCGGACTGTCACTACGCGTAGCACCTATTTTGTTTTGCGGTAAGCAGAGCTGTACATTCTGTACCGCTGAAGGTAGAAACAACCCCGAATGTACTTGTTCCGAAAGTGTATCTCCTGAGGTGGGGCAGGTTGAAATTATCGTGCTCGTTGGGGGCTTGTCAATGGCAGTCGGGGGAGCAGAGTGGAATGACGGGCTTGGGGGGACGGGTGGGCGCTCAACGAATCACATGTGTCACATGCCGTCCGTCATCCTACATCATGTCGCCCTCGGTTGCGGCTGGCGCACAGCTGGAGCTGAATTGCGCACAGCTCCACGAGCGGAGGAGCAGAAGAACGAGAGGTGGCGGTGGGTGCGGTGGCGAGTTGAGTTGCATGCGGAGCGGATGGACGGATGGATGGAACTTGAAACTGCAGAGCCGGGCTCCCATGTGTGGGACACATGTGAGAGTTACTGTAATTGGCGGTGTGTGCGTCGTGGTTTTGTTTTTGTTTCACGCCCACCTCTTCATAGAAAAGCGAACCAGGTTTGGCACGAGGACTCATCGAAGATAGTCCCACCTCCTTCTAAACATCATTCGGGCGCCCGCGATGTCTAGTGACTGGAAAAAAAGTGGCTGCTTCCGTTGAGAAAATATACTGTAACTTCTCGATAAACCGATACACCCCATCAGCAAGGGACCATGTGGTGTTTGCCCCTATGAGACAATTGATTGCCTCGGGTTGGCTTGAACTCCAGTCAACCAGGCACACACCACCATTCAATGCCATCCAACTTCATGTGGCTCACCGTAACCTGTGCGACGCAATAAACGCAAATGCTGCTCCTCATCCGCACGTCTGACACCATCTCCACGTGGTTCATCCTCATCGGGTCGCCAGCTCGACCACGCGTGCTTCTGTTCCAGCGGATTTCACGGAACGCTCGTGACCTGTCCTGTCAACTGCTGTGCCTGCAATTTACTCATCCCGCCCGCCCCTCCTTCTGGCTCCAACAAAATGCTGGACACAAAGATTGGACGCGTACGAGCCGTGGATGATCAGGGCGCATTTCAGGCCTCGTAACAAGTGACTTCCGAACAAGTTGGTCGTCGCACACGACCAAACTTGTTAAGAGGTCGCTTTTTGCACCTTCGAACAAACAAGTCTGTTCACTGTCAAGATGGGTCGCACATACATATTGGTAGGTCGCAGCCAGTAGGGTGGCGTGAAATTTCACGCTCTACTACGACCTGCCACCTCCAGTTTTGACGGCCGAACCAACCGTATTCGTTTGGCGCTGCCCTAAAATGCATTTATTTGGTGGCAAAGGTAGATCTCCCCGATAGTGATCGCAACCCTTTCTTGATTGCATTGAAATGTGTCGACTTGACCCTACCCTTAAATTTTAAAGGGCAGCACCAAACTTTGAGAATGACGGGAAGTGGTCCTCTGGTGGCACGTAGACGGTGCACGACCACTGACACTTGATCGCAACCGTTTGAAATGCCTCCAGTGGTTAAAACAGAGTTGTTACGAGGTTCAGGTCGCAGAAATTCGCCCAACGTCGTGCAGAATCGGAAGGCAGTCGCTTGTTACGAAGTCGCTTGTTCGTAACCACCTGAAATGCGCCCTCAGACAACCACCACGCAGGCATTTCCTAATCACGCGATACCGTACTGCAATCTCAAGCAACACAAGCACACTACGGGGGAACATCACAAGCGCATCGACCCAGCAACATGATAGCTTGCAGCAAACAGAGCAGCTCCGTTCAACCCACCCGCTTCGTGCAAACCTCAAGTGAATAGAAGAACAAAATAGGCCAGCAGGATTCTGGAAACGAAGTCGTTGGAAGGCACTAAGGAAACCGCAGCACACTGGGTTCAGGCCTGGGAAAAACGATAGGAGCCATAGCTCTGCTACTGCAGGCATGATAGACTTCTTCTCAGCCAAGAGAATCCCCTCCCTCTCGCGCTGGCCGTTTCCATTTCTTTAGAGTTCTTGTGCAATTCCACCCAAATTTGCATCGCTTCAATAAGCATCATCCAAATTTTTATATGATTCTTTGAGCCAACATTTGCGCCACAGATGGATAGAGAAGCCTTATTAGCGTCTCTTCGTGCATTGTCCACGTCGCCGTTCCTTGCGCCAGGCGCTACAATCACACCGCCTTTAGTCCCCTTCGGTATAGCCACTCCCCCTTCCCCCTTCACTCCCCTCGCCCCGCCTTCGTCCCCTTTCGCCGCCGCTTTCCGTGCGAGCCCCTTCGCGACGAGTCCTATCGCGTGCGCCAACCTTGTAAATCTCCCGAATTTCGCAAATTTCGCTTTGCAGCAGCACCAGCCGATTCCAGATCTTGCGTTCCCCAGCCCCGCGCCCCCGCTACCCCCGCTCGGCCGGAGCTCCCCGCACGCGGACGCCTTTTCGAAAAGCCCGCAGCCAGCGCCGCCGGGCCGCGAAATTCTCGGGGCGGGAACGGCTATGATTCGAGACAACGCCGCGCCGCGGAAACCCCCCCCGCCGCTTCAGCCGCCGCGCAGATCTCCCTCGTCTCCTGCGCGGATTCCGCTGGAGGAAATGGCCGCGCCGCCGCTTTCCTCCCGTAGTGGCGCAAGTGACAGCTTCAGTAACCGCAACAGTGATTGGCGCAGTGGCGGAAGTGACAGCCCCGCCGGTGACCGCAACTGGCGCAGTGGCGGAACTGGCCGCTTCAGAGGCGGAAACGACCGTTCCGCCGGTGCCGCCGGCGACTTCGAAGGAGCAGTTCCGGCGGCGGGCGAAGGGACTATCGCTGGCGTGCGACATGCCGTGCGACGACGTGGCGACGACCGTTCGCTCGTGCGATCAGACGCCAGAGAACAAGCGGTGCAAGGTTCGGGGGACGGAGACGCAGAAGACGGAGACGGAAACGGAGACGGAAACGGAAGCGGAGACGGAGGCGTCGAGATGTTAGAGTGGCGACGCGGATTGGAGCAGCGACAGCACCATGAGCATCAGCAACAGCAGCGTCAACAGCGGCAGTTACCGTTGTTACCGCAGCTACCGGCGAGAAACGTTCTTGAGTCAGCTCACGCCTTCCCAGAAGCGGCTCCTCAAGCTAATTACCCTGGTACAAAACGGGCACAACATTGGGAAACCCTGGATAATCTGGGGCAACTTACCTCGGTAAAACGCGCAAGAGTGGAAGAGCGTGACCAAATTTTCCGTCGGGAGTGGGCTGGCCGTAACGGCGTTGAGGGAAGAGATTGTGCGGTTGAGATGGGTGAGAGGGATGGGCGGGCAGTGTCGAAACATTTGGAACGGGCAGCTGGGGCGAAAAAGGTTATTTTGCCTACAGAAAGCCTGCAGAAGCGGCTCGGGCAGCAAATTGAGGCGCGCATGAGGGGCAAGGGACCAGGGGAAGGGGGGGAAAGGGGAGGGGAAGGTTGGGCGCAAGGGGGAGGGTTTCACGGGGATGTAATGAGAGAGAGGAGAGGAGGGGAGGGGGGAAGGCCAGGGGAAGGAGCGGAAGAGCAGGAGGAAGGGCGGGGAGAGCGGCGGGGAGAAGGACGGCGGGAGACGCAGGGGAGAAGGGGATTTCAGGGACCCGCGCTGGGGCAGTGGGGGAGGGACGCGGCATGGGAGGGGATGTGGGGGGAGCGGGGAAGGGAAAGGTGGGGGCAGGAGGAGGAGCGTGACAGAGGAGAGGCGAGGGGGGAAGGGAGGGATACACACCCTTCTAATGTCCGTCCTGTTGTGACTCGCGCTCCTCCCTATCCTCCTCTTCCTCTCCCCTTCTCCGGTGCTCCTCCCCCCGCCCGCTCCCCCGTTTCTTTCCCCCCTGAGGCCCGGTCGTCTTCCCCGCTTCCTCCTCCTCCCCCTCCCCCTCATCCCCTTTCCAAAGACCTTCTCTACAATCCTGCTGGGGTTGAGAAGACTGGAAAGTCTGAGAAAAGGTGTTTTTCTTTGAATCATACAGCTAATACTATGTCTGATACGCCGGCTTTTGAGACTTCACAAAACGACTCTCGGCCCTCTCTGAATTGCGAGGCACGTGGGAGAACGGATGAGCGGCGAGCGGGGAGAGGTGGGGAGAGGAAGAGTGAGACGCGGGGAGAGGAGGAAGTGGGGGAGGAAGGGGAGGAGGAGGGGGAGGATGGAGGGGAGGAGTGGGAGAGTGAGGAGGAGAGTGAGGAGGAAGGGGAGGAGGTGGAGAAGGGGAGTGGAGGGGGGAGCTTGCAGCGAGATGCAGGCGCGGCAACAAGGGGAGGACTAACGCCCCCTCCTGCTGTAGCAGCAGCTATGAAAGAGCCAAGTCCGCTTTCAGTAGCAGCAGCAACTGCTGCAGCGGCAATGGGAGGGTTCACCCCCCCTTCAGCAGCACTAGCAGCAGCAATGAGGGCTTTTACTCCCCCCCGAGGAGCAGCAGCAGCGGCGGCGGCGGCAGCAATGAGGGCTTTTACTCCCCCCCGAGGAGTAGCAGCAGCGGCGGCGGCGGCAGCAATGAGGGCTTTTACCCCCCCCGCAGCAGCACCACCGTCGTCGCCGCTGCTATCCCCGGCAGCAGTAGCTGCAGTAGCAGCAGCAGCAGGAGGAGGAGGAGGAGGAGCAGGGGCACTATCCATCCCTCTGTTCCTTCCGCACGGCACGAGCCCGCATGCAGCGGCAGCGGCAGCGGTGCGCATGCGAGCACTCATGGGCATGTGCGATGAGTCCCAGCAGAGTAACTCAATACCCGTGCCTGGGGCGGGGGCTGGGGTTGTGCCTAATCCTCTGCCTGTATCTGCTCCAGGGACAGTGGGAAATGGTAACCCTGTTTCTGCTGCTGCTGCTGCTGCTGCTGCTGCTAATGGTGCTGGTGCCGGTGCTGCCAGTGCCGCTGTTAGTGCGGCTGGTGGGGCGTGGGGGGGAGCAGGACGAGGAGAGAGGAATGCTCTAAAACGCAACCAGCAGCAGCAGAGGCAGCTAGGCAGGCGCAAACTAGAAACACTAAATGAGGACGAAGAAAGGGAGGTAGCAGGGAATAAGGGAGGGGCAGGGGAGGAGGAGGATGAGGAGACAAATAGGGATGGGGTTGGGAAGGAGGATAGGAGAGGCGGGAGGAGAGGGGTCGACCAGGCTCGGGAACGTGTGAGCTCTGACGGCTCTGGTTCGGATGGCTCAGGTTCGGAAGGAAGTGGAGAGGTGAGGAGGTGGGAAGAGGAGAGGGAGGATGAAGAAGAGGAGGAGGAGAGGGAGAGGGAGGATGAGGAGAGAGAGGAGAGGAAGGAAAGGAGGGAGGAGTTGCAGAGGAAGGAGCAGGAGGTGTGGAGGCTGCTGAGAGAAACGAGTGTGCTGCAGCAGATGGCGCAGGTGCAAGCGCAGGCTCGGACGCAGTTCGAAGCGCAGGCTCGGGCGCAACTGGAGGCTCGGGCACGCATGGAGGCGCAGGCTCGGGCCGAAGCTGTGGCGCAGGCTCGGATGCAGGTCCAGGCCCAGGCTTTCATGGCTTCACAAGCAGCATTTATAGCACAGGCTCAAGCACAGACTCAGGCACAATTGCAAGTGCAGGCTCGGGCCCAGGCTGAAGCGCAGGTTCGGGAGGCTTTGGTTCGGGGGGCTCAGGTTCAGGCTATGAGCCCATTTGCTGCGGGACAGGCAGGTGGGGGAGTGACGTCAGCAGAGAGAGCAGCATCAGACGGACAGGAAGCGTCGGAGGAGCAGGCAGCTTTGGTAAGAGCGGGAGGAGCAGGGGGAAGAGGGGGAGCAGGAGGAGCAGGAGGAGCAGGAGGAGCAGGAGGAGCAGGAGGAGCAGGAGGAGCAAACGAAGGAGGAAGGGCGCTTGCTGTGTATGTGCCACAAAAAGACTCCCTCGCCTTGTCTGCTGTTCCTTACCGCCCTCTCTCACACCCTCCTCTCTCACATCTTCGTCAACACCAACTCCAACAACAGCAGCCTGAGCAGCAGCAGCAGCATGAGTCACTGCAAGAGAGTGAAAATGAGGCAGCAGCAGCTGCAGCAGCGGCAGCGGCCGCGGCGGCGGCGGCGGCAGCAGTGGCAGACGCGGTTTATGCAAGCGTGGTGGGGAGTAGGAGGGGCGAGAGGAGGGAAGGGATGAGGAGGCTAGAAGGTGGAGGTACTGAGGAAAGTTATGGGCAGCAGCAGCAGCAGCAGCAGGCTTTGCGCCGGACCAGCAACTCCAGGTCCGGAGGCAAGCTCGGGCTGAATCCGACGCTAAGAGGAGGTTCGGAATCGTGGAGTGTAACAGAGAGCTTTGATATCGAAGCCGCTGCCGAAGCTGCTGCCGAAGCTGCTGCCAAAGCTGCTGCCGAGGCTGTGAGGAGAGAACTGGGCGGGCGGAGGAAGAGGAGCAGGCAGGAAGGGAGTGAGGGAGGGAGTGAGGGAGGGAGTGAGGGAGGAATTGGGAGGCGGTTTGCTGTACAGCGTCGCATTAGTACAGATGGGGATGGGGACACGTGGCAGTCAGGAGGGAATAGGGGAGAGTCATGGCGTGGGGTAGAGTCAAGGCATGGGGGAGAGTTAAGGCATGGGGGAGAGTCAGGGCAGGGGGGGCATGGGCGAGCGGCGAGTATGGATCTCAACAATCCACCCAAGACACGGCCTCCTGATCATGGTAAGTTTCGATATTGCCCTCCTTTACTTGGGTAATGATCGTTATTGCCCTCCTTTGCTTGGTACTTTTCTTTTTTTGCCCACCTTTACTTGGGTAATGATGGTTATTCATTTTTGTGCTCCTTAACCCTCACCCTTCAGCACTTCCACCGTCACCCGCACCAGCACCACCACCACACACCGCTCTGCACCCTTTTCCACACACCTCGCCGAAAGCCCATCCACTGAGCCCTCTCAACACCCCTCCCTCTTCCCTGCTCTTTTCGCCACTCCCTTCCGTTCCATGCCCCTCCCCCGTCAACCCCGTCCCACCAGCTCGCCCACCCATACCACCTGAAAACACACCTGATCTTCGCAGGAATGCACCTGAGCTGCACAGAAACGCACCTGACATACGGGAGGGCACGCCTGAGCTTTCTCCTGAAGACCTGGCCATGTTCCACTCGTTTGCTCACTTTGAAGCCACGCTCCCGCCGAGCCTCAGCCACCCGAGCTTCCATTCTTCCGAACCTTGGTCTCCCAACTCATCCGCCAAACCTAGCAACGCCAATCCTAGCAATGCCGAGCCTAGCTGTGGTGGACCTAGGAACCCCAAGTACAGTGTCCCCGAGCCTCGGAGGCCCGAGCCTCGAAGACCCGAGCCTAGAAAACCCGAACCTCATACAAGAATCTCATCGGACGATGTGATTGGCCGGCGAATGGTCGTGGTGGGTGAGAATTTGAGAGGGAGAAATGCAGCAACCAGAGCAGGAGCAGCGCGATCAGGAGCAGGGGAAGGGGCAGGAGCAACACGAGAAGCAGCAGGAAGAGGAGCAGGAACAGCAGCAGGGGCAGACGTTGCAGCAGCAGAAGCAGCAGCAGCAGCAGTGGCGGCAGCAGCAGGCAGGAGCGATGGTTCCCTATGAGCCGAGGCAAAGATCGGCAGTGGATGCATCAGGAAGAAAGGACGCTTCCAAGTTAGAGGGGCGGATGAGACTTGGGTGTTTACGAAGAGACGAGGGAGAGGAGGGAGATAGGGAAGAGGAGGGAGATGAGGGAAATGAGGGAGAGGAGGAAAATGCAGAACAGAAGCAGGATGGAGAGGTGGGAAACACTGGACAGAAGGAGGATGAGAAGGGAGACGAGGGAGAGGAGGGGATGCCTGAAACGGGTACTATCCCAAACCTACCTGCGAAGTGGAGGCTTGTGTCGAGGCTCGGCACGAGGCTGAGCCTGATCGAGGACCGAGGCTCAGGCCAGAGGTTCGTCGTGCAGCGGCTGGAGGTTCGGGAACAGGCTCGAGAGGCGGCTCAGGAAAACTCTCAGCAAGAAAGAAGAGGAAGCAGAGGAGTTGAAGGGGGAGCAGGAAAAGGGGGTGAGACGAGGAGGCAAGAGGGTGCGGAGGGTGGGAGAGTGAGAGAGCTTCAGAGGAAAGTGGCTTTGCTGCTGAAGCACAGCCATGAGAACGTGGTGCCTTGTATTGGTGCTATCCGAGCCAACCCTGCCGCTGCTGTTGCTGCTGCTACTGGTGGTGCTGCTGCTGATTCTCCTCACGAGGAGTCGGTGGTGGTGTTTGCGGCCTTTGAGTTTGTGCCGTCGCCGCCGCTCTCCCAGCAGCTGCAGGAGTGTGGGCCCATGCCGGAAGACACGCTCGCCTTCTGCCTCCGACAGGTGAGAACTTGCGGTGCAGTGTGGTTCAGTACGGTGGAGTGTGGTGCAATGTGGTGCAGCGTGGTGTTCTGTGGTGGTGGTGGTGTATGGCTGTCGCTCTCCCAGCAGCTGCAGGAGTGCGGGCCCATGCTGGAAGATACCCTCGCCTTCTGCCTCCGACAGGTGAGGAATGGGCTGTGTTCAGTGCGGTGCACTGTGGTGCAATGTGGTACAGCATCGTGTGCTGTGCTAATGGTGGTAACTAAGTGCCGCTCTCCCAGCAGCTGCAGGAGTGCAGGCCCATGCTGGAAGACATGCTTGCCTTCTGCCTCCGGCAGGAGAGAAGCATGAGTTCAGTGCGGTGCAGCGTGGTGTGCTGTGTTAATGGAGGTGTTTGTTTGCTGCCTTTGCGTTTCTTCTCCCCGACCCCCACCAGGTGGTAGAGGCCCTTCACTCCCTGCATTCCCACGGCATCACTCACGGCAACGTCCGTCCCTCCACGGTCTTTGTCCCGGACGATGGGGTCGTGCGACTGGCCGGTGTCGCTTGGCTGAACTCCGACGGGCACGGGGCGGCCTGTAGACACAGCAGCAAGGACAGCGGAGTTTCTCGCCTGTCTCCTGAAGCTATCAGAGAGGTGAGAAGAGGGGAGGAACAGTGTCAGTAGTAATTGCAGTCATCAATGCAGACTGCAGTCATCATTGCAGTCACCATTGCAGTCAACACGGTTGTAAGAATTCTCAATAGGGCGTTGGGTCGTAGTTAATTGTGTGACTCTCTTCTTCTTACTTCTTTCTGATGCCATTGTTCCGCAGGAAGAGGTGGGCCCACCATCTGACATCTGGGCGTTGGGGTGCCTAGCTGTGGCCATGGCAACAGGAGCAGAGCCTTGGGCTGATATCACAGACAGCGAGCAGGTGAGCTTGGAATGCCATAGCAGGATTTCATATGAGGGCAGGGCACATTGTACAGCTAGAACTAGTCGCATTTTATTACCATTCGCCTTGCCTTGCTGTCATCTCCAGAAAATTATCTGAAGTACCTCCCTTACCCTGTTTGCCCTTTTTGCCCCCTTTCTTCCTTGTGTCAGGTGAAGCTGTTCATCGCTCACAGTCGAGGCCTACCTGAGCTTCCACCTGACTCTTCACCCGAGTTCACCGACTTTGTCGCATCCTGCTTGAACCGCGACCCTTCAAAGAGGCCAACAGCCGCAACCCTCATGAGCCATCCTTTCCTTGCAGCGTCATAGATGAGACAGTCACACACGATCTACTGCTCGCTACAGCACAGCACCCACCAATCCTGCTTCAGTCAGAAGAAAGGGATTTGGGTCAAGTCCCTTCTTAGAGGCCAACAGCCACAACCCTCATGAGCCACCCTTTCCTTGCAGCGTCATAGATCAGAGTGACACAGCATCTACTGCTCACCACGGCACAGCACCACCACCGATCCTGCTTCAACTGGAGTATAAAGATTCGGGTCAAGTCCAGTCCCTTCAGAGAGGCCAACAGCTGGAGCCATCATGAGCCATTCTTTCCTTGCAACGTCATAGATCATATCAGAGTCGCACAATCCACAGCTCTCTATGACTCGCTACGGCACGGCACCATCAGTCCTGCTTCAACCAGAACACAAGAATTTGGGTCAAGACCCTTCATAGTCCCACCACCCGAAGCCTCCTTGAGCCATCCTTGCAGTGTCATGGATCAGGGTCGCACAGTCTACAGCTAGCTGCGGATGGCACTGTCAGTCCTTGGTTCGATCAGAATATGGAATATAATGATTAAGGTCAGGTCCCTCAGCTGGCTGGGGCCCTCATAAGCCATCCATTCATTGCAATGACAATCTCTTATACACCAGGTAGCATGGTAGCTTGGCTTGTTACATGCCGTGTACACTCTGTACAGCTGTAAGGTGCCGTGTGTACATTTCTAGAGGAGTTGTGTATCCATGTACCATGTGCGTGTGCCATATACCATGTTCACATTCCTCCCAGTCAGCTTTGAGTGCAGTCTGCCCGAGAATCTACTTCAACAACTTGACCTTAGCGCAAAATAGGTCCCCAGCAACATCAATGAATCCTTGATATGACGCAAAATCCTTTTTGAGGGGTTGCGTGCATGCACTCCCCCAGTCTGCTTTAAGTGCAGCCTGGCCAAGCCTCTACTTCAACAACTTGACCTTGCCGCAAAACAGGTCCCCAGCAACATCAATGATGCCAGTGAACTGTGACGGGTGATCTATTACCCCCTGAACCAAGTCGTCCAATATGTCGCTAGAAGTCACAAACCTCCCCTCAAAATTGTAGCGCTTAAAAAATTTTCAACATGCTGGTCGTGCGATCTTCCCACGTGATTGATCCAAAAGGGTAAGCGCCACCTTCAGGCGGCGGGCAGTCCACTCCGAAATAGATGTATGTGTCGTAACAGAGACAGGAAAGCAGTCAGGATGTGTCCCGTGCATGGTACCACTCAGCAAGTTGCTCATGCTGTTAATATCCGTAGAAGAGTCAGAAAAATCCTTTGAACATTTAAAACAAACCAAACTCACTTGGAAGTCTTAACGCTGATCGTTCCTCTAGCCCACTCAGGAAGCGTCACGCGCCCCTTGTATCGGGCAGGACTAGCAACCACCCATATGTGATCTGCAGGAAGGGGGATAAGCAGGAAGGGGGATAATGGGAATCAGACTCATAAAAAAAGTCTTAACTTTGATCATTCCTCTAGCCAACTCAGGGAGCGTCAAGCGGCCTTTGCATCTGGCAGGACTAGTAATCACCGATATGCGATCTGCAGGAAGGGGGATAACGGGGAAGGCCAAGGATCCAATGAAAACGAACACTTAATACCTTTCACAAAGAGGGACACATAGTACACGGCTGGGCTCACCAGCGCTACTACGTGATCTGATATGGGAAAACACGTTGTAAGAGCATTGTACGAGCTAACCGTATTCCAAAAGCCAGGCTACCATTTTTTTTTCCAGTCCTGGATCTGTCCTGGATCTGCTCCAAGAGTTAGAGGACGAAGACGGAGGCGACGTCTAAAAATGTCTTTTGGAATACGGTGAGCTTACATTTTCGTTCTAAAAGAATCTAACAGAACACTCTTGGGAGAATTTGAAAGTTTCCCCCCTTTTTTTTGTGGACAGATCCAGGAAACAACGTGAAGTGACTGGGTTCGCTACAAAAGTCTCTCGAGAATGCTGAAACAGAAGAACTGTCACATCGCAGAATCATCACGCATATGGAGCCCATCATAAAGACACCATTTGGTGCCATCATGCGTATTCCATCCGAGAATGCACCATGCATATTTCATCAGTTTTAGCACGCGCCAACTGCATTGGCAAGGCTGTTATTATATTAATCATCGCGATACAGCTCATACAGCCGTGCAAGACAGACACTCACTCACGGGAGACTTTCCAAGACTCCAAGCTCCGCCGATTGACTTTTTGAGTTTTCTCAGCCACCCTGTGAATCATCGCAAAACAACTAATACAGCCGTGCAGGACTGACACTCACGGGAGACTTCAGCCAAGCTCCGCCGGTTCGTCTCTCCAAGAGCCGTTGTGACGTTCGCCGCCCTCACGCCCCCGAGAAGCGCCGCCGCACCTGCAAGGCACAGCTTCGGGAAAACAACCACCAGCTTCGGGAAAACAACCACCAGCTTCGGGAAAACGCCTCACAGCTTCGGGAAAAATAACCACCAGCTTCGGAAAAGCGCCTTACAGCTTGGTAAACAACCATCAGTGAACAAGATTAGGTCTATGGCAGCAAAAGGGGAAGGGCTCAGACGGCCACGGGCCGAGCCACAGGGAGCGATGATCTCAAGCATGAGAGCGCATACACTCACATAGTAGCAGGAAAAGTGCGCTCCTGGCGGCCATAGTAGCAACAGTCAAGTTGCCAGCATGACAGTCTGAATACGAAACGGGGGTGTTCCAGAACAGAAGGATAAGAGCTCTGAGAGAAAGTGGTGCTTCCGTCAGAGTCAACGCCTTATCAAGGGATTATAATATACTGTACTCCATCAGTCTCAAAACGCGACTCCCATCCCAGGTTCCTCACCTCAACCTCGTTCGAGCCATCCCAGCTATTCGTGGTGAAAGTGGCTGCGGCTCGAAGCGCGCCGGTGGGTGGGGTGTACTGACACCTGTGGGTGGATGGGAGGGAGTCGGCGTATTTAGGGTTTCCGGGCAGCACGAGAGTGACCGTCAGAATCGGGTGTGCAAGCTGCTGAACTCGCCACAGTAACTACATAAGAAGCATACACCACAGCTGCCCGGGGAAGGAATGGGGCAGTCACTACGTCATCGTTCATTCACGGAAAAGGCGGTGGGACGGCCAACTCGCTCGAATTTGGAAACGTCGAGATGCTAGGGAATGAGGTGAGGAAGCCGTGCATTCGGGTTGATGAGGGCAATCCGAAGGGGAGGTTCGAAGAGGTTCAGTGATTTCCAACATTTTAAAACGTTACTGAACGGTGAATAGCGGTAACTTTGCTTGGGTGAAGTTCCCGTGAGAGGGCAGCGGGAGGGGAACGTCGTTGTTGGGAGGGGGAATGTATGGGAATGGGAACGAAACAAACAACACCGCCAGTACAGCATGTGTAATGGGGGTGCCGTGACGCTTGGTTCGCTTAAAATAATCAAACCGAGCCGAACCGACGGAATCCGTCTTTTTAAGTTTTAGCACCGTGCCCCACTCCTAGAACAGCCCCTTCATCAACGGGCTCACACAGCTTGTACTTCACTTCTTCGGCCCCAAGCTTCATCCCAACAGAAGGGTTGTTGGTCGTTGAAGGTGTTTGTGAGGACCTTTGCTGGCCGAACAATGCCTGAAACGACAGAACTTGTACACTGGTTCGCCGAATCGCCGCCTATGTCGACGCATCTGAATTTCCTCCAACGTCGCCTAGCGGATGCACCGCCTGTCGCTTTCCCCCCCACGCGATACCTGGTTTCCCGCCATCTTTTGAACCATAGCAACCCCAGTGTCATCCATACAGTATGGTAAGATTTAGGGCGCGTTTTATGTCCGTTTCAAGCTTCTGTTTCAGCTGAATTGACACAAAACGTAGACCAGCTTCGGGTCAGCAGCAGCTTTCAAGAATGGGCGAGAGTCTCGCCACGCTTTACCGTCGACGCAACCTGTCGCGGAGTCGCGAAGTCGCACTGCCATCTGAATTTGTTCACCATCACACCTTTCGACATCTCACAATCGCGCAGTGAACCAGTATCCCGGGCAGATCGCGCTCGAGCACACATGCGAAGTCGCTAGTAGGCCTACTAAGACCATTGGCGATCGATCAGACCGAGCTTGGCCCGAAGCTTGTCGTCGACATCACTTTTGGAGAACCTCGAGATGCGCGATCGCATTCTGCCCTCCGGGCCGACAGGTGCGAACGTCCGGGTTGTTAAGCTTTTGAGTTCAACACGCAGCGCGGTGTGTTTCAGTCGTGTTAGGTCCCATGGCCGCCGCTCTCCCAGCAGATGCAGGAGTACGGGCCCATGCCGGAAAGTCTTTTGCATCCGAGAGGTGGAAACCGGACTGTGATGTCGTTCAGTGCGGTTCAATGCGCTTCAGTGCATGCATTTCAATGCAGTTCAGTGCGCTTCGATGCGGTTCAAGGCCGTTCCATGCGGTAGTGCGTTTCAATGCGGTTCAACGTGGTTCAATGCGGTTTAATGCGGTTCGGTATGGTGTAGTACAATTCAGCACGGCTCAGTGCAGTTCGTGCAGTTCAATGCGGTTCGGTGTGGTGTGATGCGTTTGAATGCGGTTCACTATCGTTTGACGCAGTTGGACGCGGTTCAGTGCGTTTGTGAGAGTGTGGATGTGCGAAAGTACTCATAAAGGCGAGACGCAGTGGTTCAGTCCGCAGCTGCCAGCTGCCTTTGTGCGCAGTTGCAAGCATCAGCCTTTAAATGAGGATGCCCAAAACTACTCTCATGAGAGTGTGGATGTGCGGAAGTACTCACAAAAGGAAAAAAATCTTGCGCTTGTCTTTGGCAGAGCAGATATGGAAGCTCCAGGTTGATCTGTGCCGATCAATGGTATGCTTGCCACATCACCCGCGGCAACATCCGTCCCTCATGCCCCCCTCCCTCATCTACCTTCTTGACTGTTCCTCTACCCACCCTCAAACCCCCCTTCCTCAGGTGGTAGAGGCCCCCTTCCTCCCTGCACACCCACGGCATCACCACGGCATCACCCACTGCATCACCCGCAGAAACATCCTTCCCTCGTGTCTCTCCTCCATCTGCTCTTGACTGTTCTCCTCACGTGATGAGTCAATTTTTTAGTCGACTCAAATCGACCCATCCTACCCTCGTGTCTCTCTCCTTCATCTGCTCTCTTGACTGTTCTCCTCACCCACCCTTCCTCTCTCCCACCCCCTCTCTCCCCCGCAACCCTCACCCGCACCTGCTCTCCAGCCCTCTCCCGTCATTCTTTGCACGCCCACGGCAACGTCCGTCCGTCCCTCATGCCTTCCTATTCCTAGCTGCTCTATTATACTGTTTCCCCCACCCAAGCCTCTCCCTCACCCACTCCCGCACTCTCTCCCTCACTCACTCCCGCACTCTCTCCCTCACTCACTCCCGCACCCTCTCTCACCCACTCCCCAACCCCCACCAGGTGGTCAGGCCCTTGATCGTTTGCACGCCCACAGCACCACTCACTTCAGCCCCTCCTTTTCCCCCTTTACTCCCCTCGCCCCTGCGCTCTCCCCACCCACTACCCAGCCCCCACCATGCAGTAGAGGCCCTTTCTCATAGCACGCCCACACCATCACTCACAGCAACAGTCGCCCCTCCTCTGCGCCTACTCCTCACCCACCCACTACCCAGCCCTCACCATTCGGTAGAGGCGCTTCGCTCACTGCACGCCTTTTGCTCCTCCTGCCACCCTCTCCCTCACCTATCACTCACAGCAACAGCCGCCCCTCCGCTGCTCCCTTGACTGGCTGGCCGTGGTTACTGGGGCACAGCCGTGCTGTGGGCTGATATCAAGGACAGTAAGCAGGTGAGCTTGGGCTAACAGTAATAGGAAAAAGGTGAGCTTGACCTGTTGTGAAGACTTCAAGTCAAGAACAGAGAGCAGGTGGGCTGGAAGTACGTTTCAGGCACCACAAAGGGCCTTGGGTTGGGTTGCCTGGCCGTGGCCAGGGCAACGGGACCACAGCCGTGGGCTGATACTGAGAACAGCAAGCAGGTGAGCTTGGACTGTTGTGAAGACTTCAAGTCAAGAACAGCAAGCAGATGAGCTTGGAATGCTCTAGCAGGAATACATGTCAAGGGCAGGGAACAGGAAGAGAGCTTGGATTAAAGATGTGATATCAAGGAAAGGGAACAGAGTAGAGCTCCAACTAGTAGGACCCAATTACCGTTCGGCATGCCTTACTCTGCCATTTCCAGATATTAATTATAGTCTGCATTTTTCCCCTCATTACCCGCTTTTTTTTCCCTTTTACGCTTTTTACCCCTTTGCGTTTTTCGGTTGTGTCAGGTGAAGCTGTTCATTGCTCACAGCCAAGACCCACCTGAACCCCCACCTGATTCTTCACCTGATTTCACAGACTTTGTCGCATCCTGCTTGAACCGGAACCCCTCAGAGAGTCCAACAGCTGCAGCGCTGCTGAGCCATCCATTCTTGGCTGCATCGTAGTCTCATAGAGCTGGGGACCTTTCAAAGAACGTCCAAGAAGTTGCAGCCCTCGTGATTAATTCATTCTTTGCGGCTTCATAGTCTCAGGGTACATTCCGCTGTGGACATGTCCCAATCGTACATGTCCCAATCGGGTGTACCGCTCCGAACCGAACTAAACCAGAGAAGCGAAAATTTTGAAACTAGGGTGTAATTCGGTGTAATGCAGTGCGGTAGAATCGATTGGGACACATCGATTGGGACGCTGTCCACAGCGGAATGTACCCTCATAATCTCAAAAAACCTTTCACCTGGAGCCCTGCTCAGCCATCTAGTATGTTTGTGGTGTGTGTGATTGCACATGGGCAGTGTATATAGAGTGGTTATACCAGCCTAGATTGGGCTTCAGACTAGGGACTCTCTGAAGAAGCTATCAGCTGAGGCTCTCAACCATCTGTTGGTTATAGGTATTTGTTATGTTCTGTGGCATTATAGTCTCATATACGTAGAATGTGTTGCGCACTACACGTGCACTATTTACAATGACTGCATTCATTCTGAACCAGACTCTAGGCCCTGACCAACCGCATCGATCCATTTTTGGTGGCCTTGTTAGTATCATATCTTGGTGGCATCATATCCTCCTAAATAAGCCTCCATAATCCGTACCCAAATTATGTAACAGTCGCTCGGGTCTTTCTCGGGTCGATTGTAACGAAGCCTTTCTTTTGCGGAGCGCCTTTTCCCTCCCGTCCCGTCCCACAACTTTCGGCCGCACTTCGCCGTTGCATAGCTCCCGCCAAACCTCCATTCACGAAACATTTCGCTGTTCACCCACCTGCGATGATTCCTCCATTGATTTCGTCGAACCTCTCGGCCCATCCCGTCCATATGGATGGATCCGCCCCCGATCTATGATCCATCCTTCCAGCTTATTTTGACAGAACCAGCAGCTTAGAAAGGCTTTTATTAGCGAACGCGTTACGTGTTATAAGAGGATTCGTTAGGAGGCTACTCGATATAATAATCATGATGGCTTCTTCGGGACCGCGTACGCGGGCAGGAGCCTCTGGTCCTGCGCAGGGCTCCATGTCATCATCTCCCTCCGCCAGCTCGATCCAGTTGCTATCGCAGGATTCGTCACGCGGTAATAATAACCGCGTTATAATGCTCATCGCCGCCTTACCGTTAGGCCTGGCCGCGTTCGCCTTTATCCTCCATTTGCAGGGTGATTTCGATATGTTAGACGATGGGCAGCCGCGGCTGCCCGGATGGCATCAGGTGGACTCTAGGAAAATTGACAAGAGCCTGGCGACGCCGTCAGACGTACCGTGCGATACAGCGAGGAGTTTTAAACCGGGGATGTACCCGAATCCGTCGATTAAAGTGTTCGGGAATTTACAGGATAGTCCGAAGCTACTAATAACGACGACCACGTCGGGTGGCCCGCAACAAATTCTGCCGTGGATTATGTACCACCGTGCGATCGGCGTTCACTACTTTATACTATTCGTGGAAGGAAAGGCCGCCTCGCCGGAAAACGTGGCGATATTCGAGTCCATGGAGGTCAGTTATCCACACCCCCAAATCTTAGTCCCACCTCTCTTTTCTTGTATTCGTTTCTTACTCCTCTAGTACCCTTCTCGTCTGTCGCTTTCCTTTTCTCCACTGTTTCCCCTCACGCTCTCCCGGCCGCCCCCCCCCCCCCCCCCCCCCCCCCCTTCACCTCTCCCGCTCTTCCCCTTTTCCCTTCCCACCCTCCCCTTTCCTCATCCCTCCTGATTCATACACATATATATATATATATATATATATATATATATATATATATATTTTTTTTTTTTGCCGTTCCATCCTTCGCTTCGCCTCCTCTTCTTTCTCCCCGTTGGCTTCCCTAGGGGCGTGAGTGGATCCTCACATGCACTTATTCCCGTCTCATCGCTCTTATCCTTCTTATCCTTCTCTTCCGCCCCTTCCACCCATTTCCCCCTTTTCCACCCCTTCCCACCCGCGACGCCCCCACCCTCTCCCTCTTTTCCTCTCTTCGTCTCCTCACCCACCCACATCCCCTCTTCCCATTGACCCGCAGGGTGTGACAGTGGTACAGCGAACCAAGGAGCTTGAAGATCAGCAGGCCAAGAGGTGAGTGCGCAGCTCCCCTCTGCTCCGCTCTCCTCTGGAACGAGACGTGGCTCGCTTTCTCCTTCTGCAAGCCATGCAACTGCCGGTTTTTTTTGGGGGGGCAGCACCATCCCTCCACCTCTTCTTTCCCCGTCACATTCCCCTCCGTGCCTCTCCCCCCAGTCGCGTGTGGAACGAGACGTGGCTTGCATTCTTCTTCTACGAGCAATGAAACTACGAGCTCTGTGTGGTCCCACTACTTCCTCCATTCCCGCACCTCTTCCACTTCCCCTGCCCCTCAATCCAGCCGCGTGTGGAACGAGACGTGGCTTGCGTTCTTCTTCTACAAGCCATGCAACTACGAGCTCTTTGTGCGACAGTCCCTCAACATGGAGATGGCCATCGTCTTCGCCAGGGTGAGTGGGTTACCATGGTCATTCAGTTCGCCAGGGTGGGTTACCATGGTTATTTCTTTAGCCAAGGTGGGTTACCATGTTCATTCCTTTCGCCAAGGTGGGTTGCGGTGGTTATTTCTTTCGTCAGGGTGCACAAATTTCTTCACACGTTGCCTTCACTGCCTCCCCTCCTCTGCCCCATCAGGTGTTGGGAGTGGATTGGATATTCCACGTTGATACAGACGAGCTGCTCTATCCTGCAGGCAACGCAGACCTCGTGCTATGCTGCTCACTGTGCTATGCTGTACCCTCCTGCATGCCTTCCCCATCCTTCACGCCTTCCAGGTGTTGGGAGTGGATTGGATATTCCACGTGGATACAGATGAGCTGTTCTACCCTGCAGGCACCGCTGGCTTCTCACTGTGCTAGTGCCCTCCCTTCACATCTCTCCCCGCCGTCTGTCTGTTGCACTGCTCCATCAGGTGTTGGGAGTGGATTGGATATTCCACGTGGATACGGACGAGCTGCTCTACCCTGCAGGCACAGCGGATTTCTCCCTCCAGCGCCTCATCCACGACCTTCCCAGCGACGTGGACCTTATTGTGTTCCCAAACTACGTGAGTGCAGTGTGGTGCAGTGCGGTGTGGTGCAGTGCATTGCAGTGCAGTGCGGTGCATTCACGCCCGGCTTCTCCCTCCAATGCCTCATCCACGTCCTCCCTAGCAACGTGGACCTCGTTGTTACCCAACTATGTCAGTGCAGTGTGCTATGTCTTTTGCGCATGGCTTCACACTTCACCTCACTCACTCACTCACTCACTCACTCACTCACTCACTCACTCACTCACTCACTCACTCACTCACTCACTCGCTCACTCACTCACTCACTCACTCGCCCACTTCTGTCACACTGGGTTCCCACCCCGCCATCCCCCCGCTACAGCTTCTTGCTCCAATCCCCCATCCACGACCTCACAGTGTTCTCAAGCTATGTGAGTGCTGTGAACTGCATTCCCCGATGCCAGTATACTCATTCCCCTGTGTGTTTGCGTGTGTGTGCATGTGTGCGTATTTGTATGTGTTGCGTGCGTGCGTGCGTGTGTGCGTGTGTGTGTGCGTGCGTGCGTGCGTGTGTGCGTGCGTGTGTGCGTGCGTGCGTGCGTGTGTGCGTGCGTGCGATCAACACAGGAGAGCGTGGTGGAAACAGCTGATGTGGGAGACTCATTCACTGAGGTATTACACCTTTTTTGGGTGGTAACAGAATTAGTCGACTCGAAAATAGACTCATTCACTGATGTATTACACTTCTTTTGGGTGGTAACACTCAATCTATGCATGCTGACCAAATTATTTCCTCTTCCAGGTGCCCTTTGTAAAAGCACCCGTTTCTAGAAGCAAGTTAAAGTTAGTATTCTAATTGTGGCATATGCTTAACTTATTTTGCTCATAAGTGAGAATCGCCCTCCCTGCTGTTACAACAGGTTTCACTGTTCAAGAAGAACTACGACCATGTTACAAGAGAAGCTTATTTTGCACACTACAGGGATGTGAGTTCCCTAGCGCTTGATTTTACCATTCCTCACCACACCTTTTCAATCCCTGCATAGATGTGTGGTATGCGCGCATTCTTATATGGCATTGGCAAGCGTGGGGTGAATCTCTTGCCTCTACCCATTCCACTGCTCCTGCTCCTCTGCACTTCCCTTCCCTTCTCTATTTGTTCAACAACACTCGCAGGCAGCACACGGCAACCCTAATTGCTCTCTCACGTACGGCAACGGCAAGTCAGGGGCGAAACTTATCAAATTCCTTTCCCTCTCCCCGTTGCCCCACCTGATTCCCTCACTCCCCACCCACACTCCCAGGCAGCACATGGAAACCCCAACTACTTTCTGACCTACGGCAACGGCAAGTCAGGGGCAAAGATGCAGGCTCATTTGCGACCCAATGGGGCGCACCGATGGCACAACTACATGAAGGTGCCCAAGTGAGTGGCATGTACCGCCTATGCAGCCCATGTAGCCTTGCGTTCAGTTTAACTTCGTCAGTGAATGGGGTTCAGAGTGGTGTAGCCAGGTGGCAAGTCAGGGGCAAAGATGCAGGCTCACCTGAGGCCGAAAGGTGCGCATCGGTGGCACAACTACTTGAAGGTGCCCAAGTGAGTGGGACTGCTTGTGTAGCCTATAGCCCAGCCTGTAGCCTAACCGTGCAGGTCGGAACTTATCCGACGTGTAAATGAGTCGATTTTTGAGTCAACTTAAAAATCAACTAACTACAGGTCGGAACTTATCCGACGTGTAAATGAGTCGATTTTTGAGTCAACTTAAAAATCGACTAACTACAGGTCTGAACTTACCCGACGTGTAAATGAGCAGCTCAAGTTGCTCCGGGTAAGGGGCCGAAGTCAAGAGATGCAGGGGCATTGGAGGCCAAATCTTTAAAGTTGAGAATATCTGGGGTGAGTCTTTCGTGAGTATTCTTAGCCTAACTGTTCCCCCACTTACAGGGAGGTGAAGCTGATGGAGGCGGCAGTGCTGCACGTCACCTACACACACCTTTATCATCTGATGCAACTTTATGGTTATCCCTGTAACCACCCACCCACTCTTCCACCCCGCACCACCCCCAGGGAGGTGAAGCTCATGGAGGCAGCAGTGCTGCATTTCACATACACTCACTTCTCTGACCTCACCTCTCGGAGGGACCGCTGCGGGTGCAAGCCCAACTCGGAGGACGTGAAGAAATGCTTTATGCTCGACTTTGACCGCCTGGTGAGAGTCTTTCATGCAGTTGCCATGTGTGTTGGCTGATATGTGTCTGTCTCAGCTGCCGCGGGTGCAAACCCAACTCGGAGGACGTGAAGAAATGCTTCATGCTCGACTTTGACCGCCTGGTGAGAGCTCTTCATGTGGTATGTGTGTAGTCCGCGTGTGTGCTTTGGCTGGCTCACGTGTATCCGTCTCAGCTGCCACGGGTGCAAGCCCCACTCGGAGGACGTGAAGAAATGCTTCATGCTCGATTTTGACCGCCTGGTGAGAACTTCCTGGTTTTTATATGTGATCTGCATGTGTGTTGGCTTAGCTATACACATCTCTCCATGCAGTGCTCGTTTTTTATAACACTCACAGAAACACTGGAACTGACTTCGCTCTCCCCTTTCTTACCATTGCGCATTCCTTTCTCTCCCATCCTCCTCCCATCTCCCATCTCCCATCATCGTATCCACGCAGACAGAGGAGCAGATGTTTCGATGGTTGGTGTGCAGTACGAATGGAGGGAAAGCGTTTTCGCCCTTCTCTTGTTCCTTCCCCTCCCGTCCCTTTTCCCCTGCAGGCGTTTATCATCGCATCCACACAGACAGAGGAGAAGACTCCCCTTGCCCAGTTCTTCACTCGTCTCTTGTGCCTTCCCCTCTCCCTTCTCTTCCTCTCACCCATCCCCCCACTGCAGGCTTTTATCATAGCATCCACACAGACAGAGGAGCAGATGTTCCAGTGGTAGGCGTGTGATATCTCTTTTGTTACACTGTGTCCGTTACATCTGCTGTTACATCTCCTGTATTTCATGTTCTATTGAATCTGTTCTGGTGCATCCCTTCAGTTACATCTCTTCTGTAACATCCCTCCAGTTCTGTGTCTTTATTTCCTTCTCTCTTCTGTTTCGTCTCTTCCATTCCATCTGTTCTATTTCATACCGTTTTATCGCATCTTTCCTGACTGCTTGGTCACGTTTACCTTTCTCCTCTCCACCCAACACTTGCCTTTCACCACATCAGGTATAAGGACCACGTGGTGTGGTCAGACCGTGACATGATAGAGAAGCTGCTTAAAAAGGGGATATTCGGTCGCATCCACACACCCCAGGTATGCTTATAACCTATGGATGTTACCTTTCACACCCTTGCATGGTATTTTTCTGAAAGTTCTCCTCTTTCCCACACTTGAAGTACGCACCTCAAAGGTGGTTCCTGTTGCCCCTTCCTTTCCCCGTTACCCGTTCTCCTCACCCTTCTCCTGCTCTTCTCTCCCTTTTCAGCTGATTCTTTGCAGCATATACGCGACCGCCATCATCAGCCGCATGCTGGAGGCAGCAGCAGAGAGGTGGAAGTGCCGCACCTTGCGAGTGATTTTTGAGAATTCTCACGAGTGATTTTTGAGAATTTTTAAAAATCACTCGCACCCAGCAGCAGCAGCAGATTATCCCTTTCTCATTTCTCCCTTCTCCACACCCTTGCACCCCTTTCAGTTGACTCTCCGCAGCATCTATGCAACCGCACACTAGAGGCAGCAGGAGAGAGATGGAAGCACCGCACACAGCCGCAACAGCAGCAGCGGCAGATGCTTTCTTTGAAACAGTTCCCCTTTCCTTGTTTTCCCCCTGTCCTATCCAGCTGATTCTCCGCAGCATATACGCCACAGGCATCATCAATCGCACGCTGGAGGCAGCAGCATAATTCCCCTTCTCCGCACCCCTTTCTCCGCACCCGTCTCCTCACTCTTGCATCCCATTTCAGCTAATTCTCCGCAGCATCTATGCCACGGGCATCATCAATCGCAGGCTGGAGGCAGCAGCATAATTCCCCTTCTCCGCACCCCTTTCTCCGCACCCGTCTCCCCACTCTTGCATCCCATTTCAGCTGATTCTCCGCAGCATATATGCCACGGGCATCATCAATCGCAGGCTGGAGGTAGCAGGAGAGAGATGGAAGCACCGCACACAGCCGCAACAGCAGCAGCGGCAGATGCTTTCTTTGAAACAGTTCCCCTTTCCTTGTTTTCCCCCTGTCCTATCCAGCTGATTCTCCGCAGCATATACGCCACAGGCATCATCAATCGCACGCTGGAGGCAGCAGCAGAGAAGTGGAAGCGGCGCTCCCAGCAGCAACAGCAGCAGCAGCAGATGCTTCAGCCGCAGCTGATACAGCAGAAGCTGCAGCAGCAGCAGAGGGAGCGTCTGCAGCAACAGCAGCAGCCACAGCAGCCGCAGCAGCAGCAGCCTCAGGAACAGATGCAAGAGCAGGCGCAACAGCAAAAGAGTCAGCGGCAGGGGCAACAGGAGAGTGACAGGCAGCAAGCAGGTTTGGAACATGGAGGAGAGGAGGCAGGAGGCAGGGCAGGAGGCAAGACAACAGCACAGCTGCTACAGCAGGCAGTGGAAAAGGAACAGCGGGAGGAGCAGAAACGCGGGCTTGCGCTTGACAAAGTCTCTCACTTTGTTGCCAACAGCGTTCGGGGCGTAGCGGCAGCAGGGCAAGGCCTCTCTAAATTTGTTAGTAATAATGGCCAGAGACGTTCGGGAGAGGCTGGCACTGGTGCAGGTGCGGCGAGATTTGGCGGTGGTTTGGGGGCAGCAGGTGCGGGCGGCGGTGTGGAAACTGGTGGAAGTGGTGACAGTTTGGCTGCTTCTGCTGGTGGTGCTGGTGGCGCTGGTAGCATCGGTGGTGGTGGTGGTGGCGCTGGTGGTGGCAGTCGATTGTTCAGAGGAGACGCGCTTGATTCAGGAAGGCTGGCAGATAGAGCCAGTGCAGAGAGGGCTGCAAGCACAGGTGCTGCTGCTGCTGGTGTTGGTGGTGGTGCTAGTTCTGGCGGTGGTGGTAGTGCTAGCAATGCTGGCGGTGCTAAGAGTTCCGGCAATGCTGGTTCTGGTGCTGCTGACACTGCCACACACACAGGCCCTGACTTGCAGGAAATGCACACACGAGCGATCGCACGAAGGCGACTGCTGGCAGCGCAAGAGACACAGCCTACTCTGGTAATGCAAGACTTGGTCCCTGGGGAGAAAGGTCACAGGTTTGGAGAGGGGTGGAGTGCGGTAGGTACTGAAGGGATGGTGGTGGGAGCTGGGGGTCAGTTGGAGGCTGCTGCTGTGCCTCCTCTGGCTTCTCCTGATCCTGACGAGCTGTAGTTGTAACACTGTTATGGTGTTATGGAACAAAACCACTGTAAAGGTTTTTTTATGCCGGTGTACTTCATGGGATCACTTGTATGGATTAGTTTGTTTCGTCGTTTTTAACGCATAGGTATGGTTTCTTCTCTTTTGGAGGTACAAACTACAGCTACGGTACATCAATTCTAAAGACGGGAAGCCCTATTCTTCACATCCAAGTCAAAAACAGAAATGCATACTACTAGAGCTACTGTTGTCAAGCTTTTCCCTTCAAACCTCCCAACCCAACCGTCTACTCTACACCACAGGGTTACCACATGCCACACAGGGTTACCACATGCCATACAGGGTTACCATACGCACATTTCTGCAGCAGTGTTTATAGCTCGGTAGCAGCAGCAGCAGCAGCAGCAGCAGCAGGCGCTATACTGGATCAGCATAGGTACAAGCTTGTAAGGAAAAAGGGCCTATAGTATACTAATCCCCAGTATCACCCTCACCCATGCAGCACACCATGCCTCTTCCCTGTTTTGAGATATCTTAAGACTCACGCCACACCTGACAACCAAAACATTCCACAAAAACAGCACCAATGGCAGCAGCAGTGGTGGTGCCAGCAAAATGGTGATTCGATTTAGAACAGCGGCAGAGTACCGGTATTGGGCCATTTCTACCGGTATTTTCTGCCAACGGTCCGAGGCCGTCGCTCCTGTACCGTTTCTGTCGCCTTTTAGATTTTGACATCCCATCCCATTGCAGACTTTGACATCTCTGAAGCTCGACTTTTAGGAACGCTTTGAATCAACTCAACGATCCGCAGAAGCACCAACCACAGCCCCACCAACAGCAGCGCCAGGCACCAGAAGCACAACCCGCAACAGCACCACCAGCGGCAGGGACACATGTACCAACCAAGAAGAAGCACCAGCAGGCTTTTGTGGATATCAGCCTTAAAGGGCAGCAGGAGCACCAGCCACAGCCACACCAACACCACCAGCAGCGGCACCGCCCCACCGTAACGCGGAGGACAAGGGGAAATCCACATGCACCCAGAAGAAGCAGCGCCCGGTCTCCCTCGTATACACCACCTCTCCCTTCATGCTCTTCAGCATCCTCCTTATAAGGCTCAGCGACACGCCCTCCGCGTTGCTCCTTAACGCACCGCTCCCGGTGCTCATGCCTCCCACGCTCATCCCCCCAACACTCCCCCCATCGCTGCTCGCCCGACCAAAGCTTCTATCGCCAGCAGAAACAGAAGCACTGGCAGCGGTGGGGGTGGTGGCGGTGGTGGTGGTGCCAGTGGCAGTCGAGGTGGTGGCAGCATTGGAGTCAAACATCTGGTTGATTATCTCCTCTGGTACACCCCGCCCCGTGTGGGAAATTCTGGGAAGGGAAGAGAGGGAAAGGGAGGGGAAGAGGGAAATGAGAGGGTGAGAATGGGAGTGGCAGTAGAGGTGGTGGCAGCATTGGAGTCAAACATCTGGTTGATTATGTCCTCTGGTAGACCCCGCCCCGTGTGGGAAATTCTGAGAATGTAAGGAGGTTTGGGCGGGGGGGGGGGGGGGGGGGGGGTGGTGGCAGGGGGAGAGGAGGGGAGAATGAGAATAAGTTGATGAGGGAAAGTTGGAGTTGAACATGTGGTGGGTGATTTCCATCAGTAAGCCCCGGCCCGTGTGGGAGATTCTGAGAATGGAAAAGAGAGAATGAGAGTAGGTTGATGAGGCGAGTCACGAGCCTTACTTACATCAACTTTGTTACTTTTCTTACATAGACCCATTATACTCTAACAAACAGCTAGCCATCGTGCACCTACATAGCACCCACGCATAACACACCTTCCATCGCGTTCTGTACCTTATATCAAGTTCTGTACCCTATATCAAGTCATGTACCTTGCATCGAGTCCTGTACCTTATATCGAGTTCTGCCATAGTTGTCGTCCCGCGGAAGAGCCGCGACCCCTTTTGAGTCACCTCCAGTTTCACCAGCCCAGTGGCCTGCGTGTGGCTCACTGCAGCGCACAGCAAGCCGCCCAATATCTGAAAGGAAAAAAGCATGAGGGCGTGAAAAAGAGATAGTTGGATTATCCCAGCACGAGAGTGCTTGCGCATTGGCGAGTGGCAAACAGGGTGGCCTGGCGGAGGCTTGGGTTGATGAATGTCCCACCCACCCTGCAGCTCACTCTACTGGCTCGTCCCTCTCTCACCTGCTGCAGCCTGGGAGCATCGCCGCACAGAGGCAGCGTCTTCACGTCACTGCCCAGCTCGAGAGTCAGCTTGGCGCCCTTGCGCGTGGCCAGCAGCGTGGCCTGGCTGATGACTGCCCCACACACGACCTCCATGGTGAACGGCAGCGTGGCGAGCAGTGCTTGTCTGGGGGTGGGGACAGGCAGATGAAGATATAAAGCAATGGCTATGAGCACGTGCAGCGTGGCCTGGCTGATGACTGCCCCGCACACGACCTCCATGGTGAACGGCAGCGTGGCGAGCGGTGCTTGTCTGGGGGTGGGGACAGGCAGATGAAGATATAAAGCAATGGCTATGAGCACGTGCAGCGTGGCCTGGCTGATGACTGCCCCGCACACGACCTCCATGGTGAACGGCAGCGTGGCGAGCGGTGCTTGGCTGGGGGTGGGGACAGGCAGATGAAGATATAAAGCAATGGCTATGAGCACGTGCAGCGTGGCCTGGCTGATGACTGCCCCGCACACGACCTCCATGGTGAATGGCAGTGTGGCGAGCGGTGCTTGGCTGGACGGGAGGATGCAGGAGGGAGGACAGGGAGGGAAGGGATGGGTGAGGGAAGAGCTGTGCATGAGTTTGAGAGCAAGCAGCGTAGCGCAGCACTCACTCGCTCACTCACTCACTCACTCACTCACTCACTCACTCACTTGCTCACTCATTCACTCCCTCACTCACCCGTCCTGACTCACCCCTATTCCATGGCCAGCATGTCAGTGTCTCCTCATCTGGGTCTCCAGGTGCTCCCAAATATTCACTCGCTCACTTCCTCACATTCACTCCCTCACACTCGCTGCTTCGCACTGACTCACTCCACTCCAAGACATTCCAAGACGCTAATCACAACGCCATAGAACTCACCCCTGCTCTATCGCCAGCATGTCAGTGTCGCTCGCAATCTTCCTCAGCTGCATCTCTCAGTGACGGTTGAGTTGATTCACCCACTTTCCTCATACCCCCAACCCCTCAGTCACACACTACACCACTCCGCATCACTCCAAGACGCTAAGCAAGACGCCATAGAACTCACCCCTGCTCTATCGCGAGCATATCGGTGTCGCTCACGATCTTCTGCAGCTGAGTCTCCAGAGCCACGCCCCTGCGCACCCACGGCAGCTGCTTGCCCGAGGGTTCATGGCTTTCGGGGTACTCTCCCTCACTCACTCACTTTTTTCGCTTCTGCACTTACTCCCACCCTCTCTCACACCCTCGACCCCTCATCCACTCACCCCTGCTCTATCGCCAGCATGTCAGTGTCGCTCACGATCTTCCGCAGCTGAGTCTCCAGCGCCACGCCCGTGCGCACCCACGGCAGCTGCTTGCCCGAGAACCCCGCGCCCATCTGCTCCATGCGCGCAAACGAGTATGCCAGCCCATCCAACGGCCCTCGGCTCATCTCCCTCACGTACGCCACCTGCCTCGCCTTGTCTGAGGCGAGCTTTTCAGCCGTCTTCTGCCGGTCGACGGCTTGCCGAAGCTCCAGAGAGGCCGTGTGGAGGAAGCAGAAGGCGCCCACCACTGAGTTGCCGTCCGCTGAGTGCCTGGGATGCACGGATAGCAGCAGCTCCATCAGGGTCCTCTGGAGGTGGAGAGTGGTGGAAGGGGGTTGGGAGGACGGAAGTAGGGGTTAGGACATGGGAGTTCTCTGGGGATCGGGGTGGGAAGGTGTGGAGAGAGGGGTACGGGGCGGTCAGAAGGGCAGCTGATGCTGATCCAGCCATGGTCTGACTCATCACAACGATGATGACTTGAGCTTCCCCATGACATCACCCGCTCTCCATGCTTCCACCTCCCTTCAATCAACCCTCTACCCTTACCTGGCGATTGAGGAAGGAGAAGGGGACTTTCACAGCCTCATGCCCGGCCATGGCCTTGCTAATGACGATCATGAGCTACGTCATGGCATCGCCACTGCCCACCACTGCCCCTATCAATGCCTAAGAACCCTCACCTGGCGGTTCAGAAACGAGAAGGGGACTTTCACTGCCTCATGCCCGGCCATGGCCTTGCTAATGACGATCATGAGCTTCGTCATGGCATCACCACTCTCCATGCGGCAGAGGGAGCCGAAGACGTCCCCGATGAGCATGCGCTCCCACACCTCAAAGCGCGTGAACCCCGTCACCTTCTCCATCGCCGCGTTCCACTCCGTGCACAGCCCAAACTCTGCGCAGAGAGACATGGGAGGGGGGGAAAAGGGTGGTGAGAAGGGGAAGGGGGAAGGGGGACGAGAGTGGGGGAGGTTGAACCCCTTATCACTTGTTCCATCGCCGCGTTCCACTCCGTGCACAGCCCAAACTCTGTGAAGCGAGAGGAATCGGGGCACAGGGGCAGGAGGGGGGGTGGATAGGGAAGATGGGTAGAGGGGAGGGTAGGGAAGGCGAAGGGGGAAAGGGGGAGATTGAATTAACCCCGTCACCCTCTCCATCGCCGCCTTCCACTCCGTGCACAGCCCAAAATCAGTGCACCCAAGAGGGCCATCGGGGCACGGGGGAGGGGGAGATGGGGGAAAAAAGGGGGGAAGTTGAACTTGGTCGCTCCCTCCAGCGCCGTGTTCCACTCCATGCAAAGTTTAGAATCTGGACACTACCTGCCAACCCCACACTCCCCCACACCCACACCCCCCATCCCAATCATCACAACCACCACAACCCCAGGGCGTTCAATCCAACTCACCATCACTGCCGAAGATGGGGGGGATGAGGGAGCTGTGCGCGTGCACAATGGCCTCATAATCCCCCTTCACCTTCCTGAACTTGTCGCTCACCACCCGCTCCACCGTCACGTCCTGTCCCACGAAGCACACCCCCTGCATCTCCTGCTGCTGCTGCGCCCCCCCTTGCCACTCCCTGCCACTCCCCCACTCCCTGCCACTCCCCCACACACCCACCCCCATTCCAACCAGAACCAACCATCCCAGCCCCACGATACTCCACTCACCATCGCAGCCGAAGATGGGGGGGATGAGGGAGCTGTGCGCGTGCACAATGGCCTCATAATCGCCCTTCACCTTCCTGAACTTGTCGTTCACCACCCGCTCCACCGTCACGTCCTGCCCCACGAAGCACACCCCCTGCACCTCCTGCTGCGCGTCGCGGCTCACAAACGTGTTGGCCAATAGGATCACAGACGACCCCACGTCAATCCCAAGGGCGTCCGCTGCAGCACCGGCAGCACCGGCACCAGCAGCACCAGCAGTGCTACCAGAAGTACCAGCAGCGGCAGCGGCGCTGCCAGTGCTGGCGGTGCGTGCAGAGGGGCCGGAGAGGCTGCGCTCTGTTCCCCACGAGTGCAGGCGCAGCTGAATGTTGTGTGCCTCGCGCCCTGCATGGGAGGGAATGGGAGACGGGGAAAAGGGGAGAGGGTTTTTCCTTCAAACCCCTGCCCCTGGAGAGGCTTGCTCTGTTCCCCACGAGTGCAGGCGCAGCTGAATGTTGTGTGCCTCGCGCCTGTTTAGAGAAAAACCTGTGAGCGTCACCACCTTGTTGTTCCACCCACAACACCCCACCCCTCCCCACCGCACTCCATCCCACCCACTGTGTGACAACAGAGCATACACACACACAGCCATCCACCTTGGAAGGCGAGGTCGAGAGCCGCGTGAAGTTGAGTCTTGGACTGCACGTCTGCTAGGTCGTCCACGAGAGATTTCCCGATGGCAGCCGAGAAGGGCAGCCCTGTCAGGGTTGCCACCTTGTTGTTCCACCCCGTGATGCACCCCTCGCGATCAACGGCCAGGATTGGCGCAGATGCCGTCTCGATAAAGTGCACAAGCTGATCGAACGTTGCTGCGTAGAGCTTGTCGAGCTCCTGGGATCGTGATAGCAGGGAGGTGCGGTGCGTGCAGTGGGGAGGGATGGGGAAGGGGTGATGGAGGAAAGAGAGGAGGCATGAAAGCGTGGAATGAAGTGCACGAGCTGATCAAAGGTTGCTGCATACAGCTTGTCAAGCTCCTGGTGGTGTGGAAGAGGGTGAGGAAAACGGGGAACCGGGGAGGGAAAGGGGAGAGGAGGAGGGGAGTGGAAAGAGGAGACGGTAGAGATGATTGAGATGAGATGAGATGTTGTGCACGAGCTGATAGAACGTGGCTGCATACAGCTTGTCCAGCTCCGGGTGTCATCTGGAGGAGGGACGGAGAGAGGAGTATGGGGGGAGGGAAGTGGGGGTCAAGATGACTCCAAAGTACACGAGCCAATTGAAGGTGCGCGTACAGCTTGTCGAGCTCCTGGTGGTGTTGAGTGGAGAAGCAGGGTGACATGCACAGAGTCGGAAGAGGATGTGACATGACTTGGTTGAAACGAAGTGCACGTGATAATAAGGACAAGGTGGGGAGTGGTGGGAAGGAAGGAAAGAAGAAAGAATGATGGAGGGAGAGGAGATGCAGAAGCAGCCTCGACGAAGGTCACGAGCAGATGGAACATGGCTGCTGCGCACAGCTTGTTCGGATTCATCTTCTTGATATTATCCTTCAGGGCCCCGGCAGCCGGAGAAACAGGGGAAAAGAGCAAGAGTCCGGATGGTAAGGAGGGGAGGACAGAAACTCACCTCTGGAGAGAGAGCCATTTCAGCAGCAGCACCGCCTCCACCTCCCCCAACAGGCACACCAAGGCGCATCCTGTGCACAGCATCTCGCAGTATGATCTGCACGGAGTGAATCGCGTCCACCTCCAGGTCCTGCCACGGCGCCGACCGATGCCTCACCACCTCCAGGCCAGGGGTGGGCTGGGCACTTGAATCACCGGGGAAAAGACAGAGAAGACCTACAGGAACTCACCTCTGGTGAGAGAATCATCTCAGCAGCAGCACCACCTCCTCCTCCCCCGCCGACAGGCACCTCAAGTCGCATCCGGTGAACAGCGTCCCTGAGAATGATCTGCACGGAGTGAATTGCGTCCACCTCTAAGTCCTGCCACAGCGCCGACCGATGCCTCACCACCTCCAGAAACGCCTCAAACGACTGCCGCAAATTCATCCTCTTTATGTCGTCCTTGGGTGCCTTCCCCGGAAGGTGGAGAAACCGGGGAAAAGAGCAAGAGGTTCCGGAAAGGAAAAAGGGCGGAAACTCACCTCTGGAGAAAGCGCCATTTCAGCTGCTGCCCCACCTCCTCCTCCCCCAACAGGCACCCCAAGGCGCATCCTGTGAACGGCATCCCTGAGAATGATCTGCACGGAGTGAATCGCATCCACCTCCAGGTCCTGCCACGGCACCGACCGATGCCTCACCACCTCCAGGAACGCCTCAAACGACTGCCGCGGGTTCATCCTCTTTATGTCGTCCTTGGGTTCCCCGGTAGCCAGAGAAACCGGGGAAAAGATCGAGAGGGTTTGGAAGAGAAGGAGGTCAGAAAGGGACGGAAACTCACCTCTGGAGAGAGTGCCATCTCGGCAGCAGAACCTCCTCCTCCTCCCCCAACAGGGACCCCAAGGCGCATCCTGTGAACGGCATCCCTGAGAATGATCTGCACGGAGTGAATCGCATCCACCTCCAGGTCCTGCCACGGCGCCGACCGATGCCTCACCACCTCCAGGAACGCCTCAAACGACTGCCGCGGGTTCATCCTCTTTATGTCGTCCTTGGGTGCCTTCCCCGGAAGGTGGAGAAACCGGGGAAAAGAGCAAGAGGTTCCGGAAAGGAAAAAGGGCGGAAACTCACCTCTGGAGAAAGCGCCATTTCAGCTGCTGCCCCACCTCCTCCTCCCCCAACAGGCACCCCAAGGCGCATCCTGTGAACGGCATCCCTGAGAATGATCTGCACGGAGTGAATCGCATCCACCTCCAGGTCCTGCCACGGCGCCGACCGATGCCTCACCACCTCCAGGAACGCCTCAAACGACTGCCGCGGGTTCATCTTCTTGATATCGTCCTTGGGGGCCTTCCCGGGCTTCTGCTTCGCGCCGCTCCAGTGGATCTGCTTCTGCACGTGCGATCTCAGCCACAGGATGAAGTCGGACTCGCCGATCTGGGCCATTGCCACGCCGCAGACGGCGTCCCCGAGGGAGGCGGCGTGGGGGTAGCCAGCTGCTAGGAGGCTGTCGATGGTGAGTCCGGTGGTGTTGGGGTGGGCCGTTTGGATCCACTCAATGATGGAGAGTACCTGGGTGGAGTGCGGTGACAAGGGTTTGGAGGGGAGTGAAGAGGGGTTGGGTGTGGTGAAGAAGGGTGAAAGGGAGCGACGCAGGGTGGAGGCTGCGTGGGGGTAGCCGGCAGCCAGCAGGCTGTCGATGGTGAGTCCGGTGGTGTTGGGGTGGGCCGTCTGGATCCACTCGATGATTGACAGCACCTGGGTGGAGTGCGGTGACAAGGGGTGGGGTGTGGTGAAGAGGGATGGAGAGGAGTGAGGCAGAGCAGAGGCTGCTGCTCAAAAGACATCTTGAAACTCCATAAACTTTCCCCATCTCACACTCACCGCTTTCTCAACTGTTCCTTGGTGGGCGCGGTTCCACAGGAGTAGAACTCCCCGTCCACCAGCAGAGCAGCTCCATCACACTCCACCAAATCGCGTACGGAGGGGCGGAGTTCGGGGGACATGAGGGTGTGGAGGAGCATGCAAGGGAGTAGTCCCTGTCTCGCTCACCTGTTCCTTGGTGGGTGCAGTCCCACAGGAGTAGAACTCCCCATCCACCAGCAGCGCAGCGCCATCGCACTCCACCAGATCGCGCACGGAGGGGCGGGCATCGGGGGACATGAGGGCGTGGAGGGCGCGGACGGAGGAGGAAGAGAAGGGAACTCACCGTGTTCCTTTCTCATTCTCCCAACAACTCACCTGCTCCTTGGTGGGAGCAGTCCCACAGGAGTAGAACTCCCCATCCACCAGCAGCGCAGCGCCGTCGCATTCCACCAGGTCGCGCACGGAGGGGCGGGCGTCGGGGACATGAGGGCGTTGAAGGGCGCGTTGGCGAGCAGAAGGCAGTGCAAGGGCGCGGAAGGTAGGCACTTCGAGGGCAACGGCCAATCTTACCTTTTCCTCTGTGTGTCTCGCTCACCTGTTCCTTGGTGGGTGCAGTCCCACAGGAGTAGAACTCCCCATCCACCAGCAGCGCAGCGCCGTCACACTCCACCAAATCGCGCACAGAGGGGCGGGCGTCGGGGGACATGAGGGCGTGGAAGGGCGCGTTGGCGAGCATCATCTGGCACAGCTGCGTCTGCAGCTGCAGGATCTGCTGCTCCCTCTGCTGCGCCTGCAACTGCAGCTCCTTGGCTAGCTGGAGAGTGAACACCTGGCAGGGTAAAAAGAGGAAGAGTGAGAAGGGGGGTTGACTTGAGCGATGGGAGCGGGGGATGAATGGAAAAAACAGCTACAGTTCTTTTCAGTAGATGCTGCAGTGGGAACAGCTGGGGGGAGGGGGGTGGGGGAGGCAGCAGCACAGCAGGGGGCGTGGAAGGGCGCGTTGGCGAGCATCATCTGGCACAGCTGCGTCTGCAGCTGCAGAATCTGCTGCTCCCTCTGCTGCGCCTGCAACTGCAGCTCCTTGGCCAACTGCAGTGTGAACACCTGGCGGAGTGAAACGGGGAGAGACAGAACGGGAGGTGAACGAGGGAAAGCGGGGTGGGGAACAGCTGCAGCTCCTTGGTGAGTTGCAGTGTGGACACCTGGCGGGGTGAAAAGGAGAGAGGAAGGAGAGGATGGGATGGGAGGTGGGTGGGGGATTGGGGCAGGGGGCAACATCAGGTGTGGAAGGCAAGCTAAAGGGCACACAGACACGTGTGTGAATACCCCTCTACTCAACGCAAATACAGGCTAGCACAAGTAAACGCAAATCAACAAATCACTCACTCTAACCACCAGCGTCACAACCCCTCCTGACCTGACCCATTAGCACCACACGCCCTCCCTCTCAACTCACCTGCATGAGAAAGTCGCAAGCAGAGCGCACGGGGAAGGGCACATAGCGCGGAGACGTGTGGTGGCACACAATCATCCCCCACAGCCGCCTCCCTTTCACCTCATCCAGCGTCGACAACACCCCCCCTCCCCCTGCTCCTCCCCCTCCCCCTCCCCCTCCTCCACCTCCTCCCCCATCCTCCCCCTCTGCCCCGCCCCCACCCGGTCTCCCCCCAATCGCCGCAGGCAAAGCCTCCTGGTCCCGGAGAACGATAGACAGGCAGAGAGACGCGGAGATCCCCATGTTCTGCATGTACTGAGCATGGCACCCATGCACCGCCCGCAGCGTGCTCGTCGACAGGCTCACTGGTTGCTTCAGAAACCCCCGCTCCTGCACCACCTTCACCGGCTTCGACTTCGCGTCGCAGATCATGCGGATCCGATTTTTCAGGAATAAAATCCGCGACGCCTTGGGAATATCCGTGGACGGGTAGTGGAGTCCCAGGTAGGATTCTAGGGGCCGTTTCCGGTCCTCTGCAATCACCTCCCCATGCTCGTCCTCATGGAATTTATACGCCATGACTCTATCATACCCGGTAAGAAGCCGAATCTCTTCTACCAGCGCCTGGAAGAGTAAATCGAGGCTGCTTCCAGAGGGGATGGCTTGCAGGCGGGAGACGGCGTGTGTGGCGAGCTTGTGGGAGTGGAGAGCTCCGGCACCGTTCACAGCCGGGTCGGAGGGGAGAATCGGCTCGAGATCGATCAGAACGGTGCCGCGCTTGACCTTGCTGCTAGTGGTACCCGCGTTGGATTCCCCATTGCCGTTCGCCGCACCACCACCAGCAGCGGCGGCGGCGGCGGCAGCAGCTGATTGGCGGTGCAGAATGGCGTAGAAGGGGCGGCAGGAGAGGGAGGACTGCACGAGAACGGGGTTCATGAGTGCCATGTCCCGCGCCCCCATCGCCTTCTCCAGTGCTGTTACACTCTCTGGAGTGAAGAGAATGCGCGCGTCCGACCCCAGGCCTGGATGGGGGAAAGGGCAGGGTGGAGAGGGGGGTGTGTGGGGGCAATTTGCAAGTGTGAGTGTTGATCCGGTGGTGCTTGTTGCTTGCTGCCATCGCTTTCTCGAGCGCCGTCACGCACTCTCTCTCAGGACTGAACAGGATGTGTGCGTCCAACCCCCAGGCCTGGATGGGGGGGAGAGAGAGAAGGGTGAGGAACGGGTGGTGGTGTCTATAGCTCCCATCGCCTTCTCGAGCGCCGTCACGTCACCCTCTCTGGGGTGAACAGAACGTGTGTGTGCGACTCCAGGCATGCATGATGTAGGGCAGTGCGTGTGCGGGAGTGGGAAGGGCAGGGGGGTGGGAGTGCAGGAGTGGTGCCAGATTCGACTTGAGAATCACCACCAGCACCACCACCAGCAGTGTCATAACCAGCAGCAGCAGCAGAGGGGAGCTATGAGGGCAGTGGTGTCAGTCAATTGCTCTACCTTGTATTGTATCATGGCCCCACGCTCTCAGGGCTGACAATCATGCCCTCCCTCCAAGCTCCTGCGGTGCAGTCAAAGTCCCTCTTACGCCCTTTGAGACATGGCCACCGCTATATCTGTCCTTTTCAACGCTCTAGAAAACAGATATTTTTGAGGCGCCTCAAAAATCGTCACAGATATTTTTGAGGCGCCTCAAAAATCCTTTGAGACATGGCAACCGCTATATCTGGCCTTTTCAACGCTCTAGAAAACAGATATAGCCCCAGTCAAGTCTGCTTCTGCCATTGCCACACCCACCTAGAGCCTGACTTTTAAGTCGACTCAAAATTCTCTTGTAATGCAGTGAGTGTCCCTCTTACGCCCTTTGAGACATGTCAAACGGTATAGCCCCTGTCAAGTCTGTTTCTGCCATTGCCACACCCACCTAGAGCCTGCAGAGCAGCCAGGGCAGCAGACGTGCAGGGCGATCTCCTCGCGGGAGTCCCTTTAAATGCTCGCCTTGAGACTGCCGATACCCATCCCCTCCACTGCGCACCAGCACAAACCCATCCACGCAAAACTGTTTCCCCCACACCCACCTAGAGCCTGCAGAGCAGCCAGGTCAGCAGACGTGCGGGGGGATCTCCGCGTGTCATTCCCCTTGATGCTCGCCTTGGGACTGCCGATGCCCGTCCCCTCTGCCGGATCCGCACTTGCCACAACCCCCAACCCCCTATCCCTCCCTGCCCCCTTCCCCCCCTGCCCCCTTCCCCAAGCCCCCAAGTCTGTGACAGCAACAAGACACACCCACCTAGAGCCTGCAGAGCAGCCAGGTCAGCAGACGTGCGGGGCGACCTCCGCGTGTCATTCCCCTTGATGCTCGCCTTGGGACTGCCAATGCCCGTCCCCTCTGCCGGATCCGCAGCTGCCGCCCCTGCCGACGTCCGCGACAGCAGCCGTCGGATGGAGAACGATCGTACGGCCGAGGTGGGTCGGCCGACTGAATTGGAAATGTCAACTTCCCCAGGGAGAGTGGAGCTCGAAGAGGAGTTATCCCCATGCCCAGAGGAGGAAGAGGGGCGTGAGGAGGGCGAAGCAGGTTCGTCCAAAGACATACACCCTACTCCCACCCCCACCCCTCCCCCTCCTCCTCCCCCGCCGCCACTGCTGCTTCCCCCGCCTCCTCTCCCGATAGCCGCGCTGCTGTCGTTGGCTTCCGCGGGGAGGGGGGGCGCGGGGGTTCTGGCGGAGCGGGAGGTGGAGCGCAGGAGCGCGCGGTTGGAGCGGTTGATGGCGCGCATTACCCTGTCCATGACGAACCCGAGGGGGCCTGGGGGGCGGAAGAGTGGAGGAGGGGGCGGGGGTGGGAGGGGAAGGAGCGGTTGGAGCGGTTGATGGCGCGTCCGTGAAGAACGCGAGGGGTCCTGGGTGGGAGGAAGGAGGGGGCAGAGGGAACTTGGATTAGCGGTTGGAGCGGTTGATGGCGCGCGTTACCCTGTCCATGACGAAACCGAGGAGGCCTGTGGGCGGAAAAAGCGGGGATGGGAACGGGGGGAAGGAAGGAGGGGGCGGAAGGGAGGAGGACATGCGGGGAGAGTTGGATTAGCCGGGAGGATACGAGGGGGGAGAGGTTGATGAGCGGTTGCGGCGATTGATGGCGCGCATTACCTGGTCCATGACGACCCGTGGGGACCTGGGGAACGGGGAGGAGGAAAGGGGGGTGTGGGGGGTAGAGGGGGATAGGATGAAGTGTTGGGTTGGGGGGTGGGGGGGGACAGGGAGGACAAGACGGTCCATGGCAAAGCCGATGGGGCTTTTGAGTCGACTCAAAAGTCGGCTGGAATAGAGGGATGGGGATGAACGAGGGGGAGTTGGTGGGTGCGGGAGCTGAAATGGGAGAGATACACCGGGAATTGCGGGAACGAAGTATGCACAGTAGAGGTGGAGCCAATCTAAGAAGGGTAAAGAAGGGGGGGCTGAATGGGAAAACAAATCGACTTTGCGATATCGGACGTCAGGGGAGCATCGAGACAATGTAAGACGGGTGAAGCAAGGGGACATAATGGTAGTTGATTTTTAGAATAGCCGTTCTCTTAAGGTTTATCGCATTAACCTGGGCGATACGGGAAGAGGATGTTGAGAGGGCTTTGGGAGATCACAGCTACAAGGACGAAGCGTTCGCTCGCACGCCACCAACACTCCAACCCAGAAAGGTACGATGCCAACCCATCCCAAACTATCGTACACGCGAGCGTACGTACGTACGTACCGGCGGAGGACTTTTGGGGAAGGCACAGCACTTCCGGTACATTGTCACTGTACGCCAAGAGACGAAACGTCCCTTCCTCCACCAATAGGACGCAGCCGAACGACTGAATCATCCCGCCGCGTTCCATCTTGACCAAGAAGCTGCTCACGTCCTTGTCTACCTCCTCCATTGCTGCTCCTGCGCCTGAACCTCCTGATTTGGTCTTTCCGCTCTTGCTCTTCTCCTTTCCCGACCCCGACCGTTCCTGTGTCTCCATTTAAAAAAACGGCTACTTGATGAAATGAAGTGCTAAGAAGCGACAGGTATAAAGGGTTAATTTGGTTGATGGCCTGTGATTGTACGAAAAATCTTCTCTATCTAAGGCTCATGCTGGAGCACCCATAATGACCTGTTCGCAGATATTATAGGAGACGACGACACCCGGACGTCAGGATGTGAGACTCCCTAGCTTTATGATTACCACCTGGCATAATCTACTATCCGTGAGTGAAGCTTCGACGATCAATCCGTCGTTCATTCGACCCGAAAGGTCAAACTCAGTCAAACCTGTAACGAGCAGAAATGTCTCGGGTTTGTCAAACGCCTGTCTTCACTAAATTACGGAACTGACTGGACTTCCGACGCATAACTTATGACGTTCTTCGGTGGGTATATTCCGCCATGGAGCGCCATTTCGCAAGGAAAAATGTACTGGTGTTACTTGTTCTACCACCAGAAACAGACACGTTGTGACGCACGACCGTGGCTTCCTTTAAAGGCATTTTAAAAGTAAGAACGAGCCGCGTTTTACGGTAGAGAGGCCTTGCGAAAATAGCCTCCTTTCCTAAAACTTGGTCCTAGGACAACGTCAAGGCGAGCCTAGGTAACTTTTGGCAACGCAGAGCAACACCCCTCGACCTTGGGCTGGGTTGGGTTGGGTCACTTGCATTCCATTGCAATGCAACTCGACTCGACTTCTGGTTGAGAAGGCAAATTGGATCTCCTTTGGATAAAATGCTGTCGCTCGTACGTACGAGGAAATCGAGATGACTGCCTCTTCCCCCAGACCAAGCTCTTTTGCAGGGCTGCCTTTCTTGATATTTTTTACCCGAGTGATTTCTTCGGATACGGGTGTTGCTCTTAGAGCCCGGTTAAATCCGGATCCTGTCTGGTTACGCCACGCCCTTGTTTTGTTTACGCGACTGAAGTCGGGTTTGGTGGTTAAGGTACAGCTCGATACGTGTAATTTACTAAAAAGTGTGGGAATGAAATGTGAGTGGTCCTATCGAAATGGAGATGTTAACGTTACCTCTAGGTGTCCACCCGCCACAATCAAGTGTAGAGACAGGTTACCTCCCTCAACCTGGGTTTCCTTATCCGCCCACCCAGCTCCTTTGTCCGTGGTGCAGCCGAGCCGACTGTATTAACGGTTTGGGCTGCCCGCGATGGGGAAACTCCACTGCGACGTCAATAAGAAGGTTCCATAAGCGGCAGAAGCACTATTGTGCTGTGCTCCGCTTGCTGTTGTCATCAGCCTCGGTATTAGCAAGTGCACAACGAATACGATTTGAACACGGCATAGATTGCCAGGAGATGTGCCGTCAACCATACGAGGGGTGTACGTAGCTCCAAATCAAGTCGCCTTTTTCCCCGACGCGCCGCGTATTTCCCAGCCACGAGTGTCATCAAAATCACGCCACGAAAACTCCTTGGGGCCAAACCAGAGAGAATCCATACCGAACCTCAGACGAATTAGGCAGCCACTAGCCGGTTTGCGAAGATTTCCTTGTTTCGGGAGGACCAGTAAGCAGCAAGCACATCGATAACGGGAACCAAACAGTGACGTGGCTAACATAGCCATCCCGTTATGACGTAAGAAAGTCCACTGTATACTTACACTTCATCCAATTATACACACAACTCTTAACATCCACTGCACATCCATGCTATATTTGAAGCTTCTCAGCAGGCTTGTAAATTAATTTGTCTAGCGTGGGCCTGTTCCCTCCTTTAGTAATGTGCGCCATCCCTCTATACTTGCATTCCAACAAAACCTCGTGTTCAACATTTGAACAATATACCATGCATATATAGTAGGTATGTATACTGTTGTGCTAGAATGCATGTGCCTGTACAAGTGACCCGCAGAGACAGCAACCAAGTAAAGTGGTAAGAATAGGACGCTACACAAAATAACCCACAGTTGAAGATAGGTCATTGATAACCTGCACACAAAAAGAAAGCGCAGGGCACAAAAAAGGGTGGAAAACTCAAGATGCAAGTTCGCTTACCCATGCTATAACTCTACCTGCCATGCAACTAAAGGCATCCTAGTAGCTGTATCATGTACAACCTTACGTTAGCTACAACTTCCCATCCTGGCAACCACTTTTGCCATCACCCCTCTCACATCACACCTCTCGTATTCACCACTACTCACCTCCAGCTGCTCCGCACTAAAAGCCTCTGTATGGATGTGCCAGCTGTCAGCGTGTGTGCACAACACTTGAACACCCCCCTTTCGTCACCCCCACCACTTACGTCCAGTTGTTCACCCTTATCACCTCCAGCTGCTCAGCAGTGAATGCCTCTTTATGAATGTGCCAGCTGTCAGCGTGCGTGCGCTTGAAATCCCCCCCAACAACCCCACTACTCACATTGCTACTCAACCCCAGCTGCTCTCCACTCACCTCCAGCTGCTCCGCACTGAACGCCTCTTTATGAATGTGCCAGCTGTCAGCATGTGTGCGCTTGAAGTCCCCCAGTGCCTTCCCCACCGCAGGCCCAACTGGGGCAGGCTCTCCTGCCAGGCTGGCGAGCGACAGCAGCACGTCTGGTAACCACCTGGGCAGCAACAAGTGGCGGAGAAACGGGAAAAAGGAAAGCGGAAAAATAAAAGGGGAGTGAACCTCTCAGTTACACACCCAACGGGGCAGGCTCTCCTGCCAGGCTGGCAAGCGACAGCAGCACGTCTGGTAACCACCTGGGTAGAAACATGTGCTGGAGAAACGGAACAAATAAGCTGGAATGAACACTCTAGCTCACACCCCCAACTGGGGCAGGCTCTCCTGCCAGGCCGGCGAGAGACAGCAGCACGTCTGGTAACCACCTGCAGAGAAGCAAATGTTGGGGAAATGGAGAATAAAAGGGCGTGGACCCTCTCAACTACAGGCCCAACTGGGGCAGGCTTTCCTGTCAGACTGGCGGGACAGCCACCAGAACACCCGATGATGCCAATCTAAATGCCGGAGTTCCACTGTGGTTTTCACGGCAAAACAACCAGGCGACTTTTACATGCAAGTGAGCAATGAACAGTGCACGCTTCCGCTATTGGAACAGCTCTTACAGGGGAACATCGTACGGTGCTGATCGCACGGCAGCAGCAAGCCCTAGCGCCGATCCATGCATCTTGACCGTCCGTGCTGCTGCTTTGGCTGCTGACTCAGCATCTGACGGCTTTCCCCCATTGGCCCGTCTGCGGGAGGCTCTCGAGGCCTTGAGCGTGGATGCAGCTGATTGGATGAAGCTCTGGCGAATGGCAGCTGGCCACGTGTCACCCTGAGGCGCTGCCTTGAAAAGGCCTGCCAGCGTGGCAGATGCCATGTCACGCAGCTATGGCAGACAGGGGGGGGGGGGGGGAAGAGAAAACGAGATGAAGGGGGAGGAGGGACGAGAGGTGAAGAGGAAGGAATTAGACTGGCAGAAGCAGAAAGCAACATAACAAAAGCAGACAAGAAAGAGATGTGAACGGCTGGCGGCAGACAGAGCAGTGGTGGAGAGGAGTAGAGTGGGGTAGTGGAATGAAAGAGAGGTGCGTGCATTAAAGAGCAAGACCAATTCCGTTGCCGCGCATTATACGGGGCAGGCAGTGACGGCTTGTGAGAAAATTACCGGAGTGTCAAAGTTCAACGTTCATGTCTTCTTACCTCTGGCTGTGGGTTTTGAGTCGACTCAAAACATGCATTAAAGAGAAATTCCAATTCTATGCCGCGCATTACCACAGTGACGGCGTGTCAAAGTTCAAGGTTCATGTTTGCTTACCTCTGGCTGTGGGTCTTGCAGACAGGTAATGACTGCTTGACGAAGAAACGAGAGGTCGGCGGGTGAGAGCAGGAAGCCATTGCTGCAAAAGAAGGACGAAGATGGGAATACGGTGGCTATTAAAACGGGTTGAAATCTTGCAGGCAGGCAATCAGGGCTCGACGAAGAGAAGAGAGGCCAATGGGAGAAAGAAAGAAGCCATTGTTAGAGGGAAGGGATGGAGATGAGTGATGGTGGTGAAGATGGAGACAGCACAGCCAGAAAACCTTGTGAGATGTTTGTGCAGACTTTTTTTGCATGTGTGCATTTGTGCGTGTGTGTGTGCATGCGACACAAAAACTCACCGGAAAACAAACGACTGGCAGAACGAGAGCGCAGCAGCCCTTTCCTTCCAGTTGCTTGACTGTGCTGCTGCTGCTGCTGGCATGGAGACTGCTGCTGTTGCTGATACAACCAAAGCACACACCTTGAAACACAAACTCACCGAAAGACAGAGGATTGGCAGAACGACAGAGCAGCAGCCCTTTCCTTCCAGTTGCCCGACTGTGCTGCTGCCAGCACAGCTGCTGCCGCTGCCAGCACTGCAGTTGCTGCTGCTGTTGCTGATACAGCCAAAGCACACACCTTGAAACACCAACTCACCGAAAGACAAAGGACTGGCAGAACGAGAGAGCAGCAGCCCTTTCCTTCCAGTTGCCCGACTGTGCTGCTGCCAGCACAGCTGCTGCCGCTGCTGGCACGGCGGTTGCAGGAAGGGGAAGGTACTTGGTGTATGCGAGGCATTGCTTGGCGAGGAGTGAGAGATCCGTGTTGGGGGTTTCCTGTAGAGAGGGAGGAGAGAAGGTACAAAAGTAATGTGGAGATTTGATTGAAGGAAGGTTGCAGGGAGCGGCAGGTACTTGGTGTATGCCAGGCATTGCTTGGCGAGAAGAGAGATGTCCGTGTTGGGGGTTTCCTGCAGCAAAGGAGGAGTGAAGGTACAAAGAAGAATTGGGGATCTAACAAAGAAAGGAATGCGGGGGGGGCAGGTACTTGGTGTATGCCAGGCATTGCTTGGTAAGGAGAGAGAGGTCCGTGTTGGGGGTTTCCTGTAGTTTGGTAGGACGAACAGGTTGCAGGGAGGGGCAGGTACTTGGTGTATGCCAGGCATTGCTTGGCGAGGAGTGAGAGATCCGTGTTGGGGGTTTCCTGTAGAGAGGGAGGAGAGAAGGTACAAAGAAGAATTGGGGATCCAACAAAGAAAGGAATGCAGGGAGGGGCATTGCTAGGCGAGAAGAGAAAGATCCGTGTTGGGGGTTTCCTGCAGTGAGGGAGGAGGAGATGTACAAAGTAATGCGGAGATTTGATTGAAAGAAGGTCGCAGGGAGGGGAAGGTACTTGGTGTCAGAACTTAGGCTTAGAACTGATACATTAGTAGTGAGCTCAAAGCTCTTTAAGTACATCAGGAATGAGCAAGGTATGGATGAGAGGGGAATCAGGGGGCAATCCTAGGGAATCAAGGGTAATCCCAAGGCAAGCTCCAATTGGTGGGTTGGAGATTGCTTGGAGATTACATTTGGGTTTGGTTGGGATGTGGGTGTACACCCAACCAAACACAAAGTGCAAACTACACTAAACTAAACTAGGATATAAAAGTACAAGTACAAATTGTGAGATTGAGGGCTAACACCAACACTTGGTATATGCCAGGCATTGCTAGGCAAGCGGTGAGAGGTCTGTGTTGGGAGTTTTCGAAGGAAGAGAGAGACGAGGAGGAGGAAACTCCCAACACGGACCAGTGAAGGAAGGAGGGGAGTGAGGGAGTGCGGACATGAGGGAAGTGAGCTGAACGTACAGCAACCTGTAGACTAGATGAACCAAGGGAATGATAGGAACACGTCAAGTCTGTTTTTTGAGGCGCCTGAACATGAGGGGAGTGAGTTGGCCATCAAGCAACCTGCAGAATAAATGAAGAGAGGGAATGGTGGGAACGTGTCCAGCGTACCTGAATGGAGAGCAGAGGTGGCAGCAGGGAGACGAGGGTTGGGAGGAATGGAGGGGCGTCCCCAGACTTGACAGCAGACATGAGGAAGTAGAGAACCTGATGCGGTGAAGAGGGGTTGAATTGAGAGGAGTGGGGTGGAGTTGGGAGGTTCTTATTTGAGTCAATAAAGGAGAAACAGCAGAGGGGTGTCTCCCGACTTGACAGCAGACGTGAGGAAGTAGAGGTCCTGAGGGGGTGAAGAGCGGTTTGGAGGGGTTAGGAGGAGTTTGGAGCTTGCCAGTCAACAAGCGCGGGTCGGAAGGAGGGTGTGGGGGGGAAGGCGGAAGCTATTTGAAACCAAGCACATGCGTTGCCTAAAGACTTTTCCAAACACAAGAGTTTTGTTAAGAGAAGCACTTACAGATTCCATCGTCCACACGCTCCTGTCCTCCTCAGATCCCTCCCTCCCGGCTTCACTGCTCCCCTCATCCCCTGCCTCCTTCCCTTGCACTCCTGCCATCTCCTCCTCTTGCTTCTTCGCACCACCCTCCTTTGTCTCTTTCTGCTGCTCGGTACTGCTTCCCATGGACTTGATCACTGTAGCACATTTGGCAGCTTCTGCCAAGATATGATTCGACAGGCTGGCAGCAGCAGCAGCAGAAGGGGAGGGGGAAGAAGCGGAAGCGGAAGAGGAAGAGAATCTGGTGCCGAGTGTAGCCAGAAGCGCAGATAACACCTCCCCCAGAAGCTGACGAACCTGCCTCGCACTATGAGCCATCAGCACCTTTGCTTCCTCTGCCAGTCTCACAAGGAATCTAATTTCCTCCTCATCCTCCTCCTCCTCCTGTTGCTCCATTCTCTCAGCCCTTCCCTCCCCTTGCCCCATCTCCCCTACGGCAACCGCCAGGAGCATAAGCCGTTTTGCCTGCTGACCCGAGGACGCATTTCCTGGAAGCTTCTTCAGAAGCTTCTCCCGCACGAGCCGCTGAATCCTGCCCCTCACAAACCCTCCACCCTCCCCTCGCCCTTCTCCTCCCCCCTCTGATTCCCCTGCCCCGATTCCCCAGCTACTCCCATCTTGCCTCCTCCTAGTCAGGACATATCGCACACACGTAGCCCACTCAGGTTGGGACTCCACGGAGCAATACAGAATGGCCTGATGAAACAGACTAGCCAGCCAACCAGGAGCAGGAGGATTCAGGGATTCAGAACCAAGAGGAGCCTCTGCTTCCGCCCCGGCCCGAGCCTGGAGCTCAGCCTCGGCCCGGGCCTCGGGCTCAGGCTCGGCGCACCAGGCGTGCAGCACAGCGGGGTGTGCGGGGGCGAGGAGGCCGGCAATGATCTCTGCTGCTGTGCTCTGTGCTCCCCTGTCAGTTTCTTTCGCAACCAAGTCTTGTAAGCATGGTTGGAGCGCATGTAGGAAGGCTGTCACTGCTGCTGTGCTGCCAGACACGGTGTCAGCAGCAGCAGCATGCGTATTGGCAGCAGTGCTTGCAGCAGCAGCGCCAGCAGCAGCGCCAGCGGCAGCAACGGCTTGAACAAGCAGCTCAAAGAGCATTGCATTCGCCACCACAAACGAGGACGACTGCGGACACGACGGCACCAGCCCCCGCGACTTGCTCCTCGGCCAATCCGAGAGCAGCGCTGACGTGGCAGACGCTGCCAGACCCGCGCTGAACAGTGCGGATACTGTAGCTCCGGGATTGTCGCTTCCGCCCGCCCCATTCCCCCCTCCCCCTCCGCCGAATAGACCTGCTAGCCTTCCCCCCCCGCCCCTGCCCCTCCCCCGCCCGTTTGCTCCTGTGGGGAGGTCTCCGGATTGATGGTCGAGTGAGAGATGTGAGGTGAGGGCGGAGAGGAAGGAGGGGGATGTGAGGAGCGAGAGGGGGAGAGGAGGAGTGAGTGGAGGCGAGAGGAGGGGGAGATCAGCAGTAGAAGGTGTGGCGGATGGAGGAGAGGAGGGGAGGAGGGGGCGCTGGAGTGAAGGGGGGAGGAGGAGGAGGAGTGCAGTTGTGGCGAGAGGGCGGAGGAGGGGGAGAGGGCCTGCAAGGAGGTTCAGGTAGTGCAGTGGTAGGTATGGGGTCTGCTGTTGTTGAGTGATAGAAGAGGATGCGGCAGCAAAAGGAAGAGGAGGAGCGAAAGGAGAAGGAGGTGAGGTGGAGGTGACGGAGGAGGAGAGGAGGGCGAGCAATGCATTGGCCATGAGAGAGTACCTGGGGGGAGAGCACGGATAGGGCGGGGACAGAGGGGGGTTAGAGGAAGAAGAGAGAAGGAAGGATGCATGGGAGGGAACAGGAGAGAGGTGCATGGGGATGGAAAAGGTGGTGTGTGCAGGGACGTGGGAGGGAAGTGCAGAAATTGTGTTGTGAAGCGAAGTTAAGGGTAAAGCAATGGGAGGCAGCATAAACAAAAGACATCAATTCGCATCTTCAGGAAAAGGGAAAAACATGGGTAAAGAGAGGACTTCGAAATTGGAAATAAAACTTGAGAGAGGGGGGGGGGGGGGGGGGGGGGGGGGGGGGGGGGGGGGGAAAAGGAAAATTCACCTCCAATGCGTGGCTGCAGAAGCCATTGCACCACTATCAGCAGCAGCAGCAGTTACTGCACTCGCACCACCACTAGCAGCAGCAGCAGCAGCAGCAGCAGCGATGGTCCAGAGGAGCGCGAGAGCTCCCTGTGCTTGGGAGGCCACGTCACCATCACCACCACTAGACTCCCACCCGCTCTCCCACACACTCTCCTCTTGACCTTGCTCCTCTCCCGTAGCAGGCACCCGGCGGGGCCGGATTGGGTTCACCCCAGCGAAGCGAGAGACAAACGAGATGAAGAGCTGACGGGAGGAAGGAGGGGATGCATGGGGGCTGTGTTCAATCGAAACGAGAAGAGTTTTGAGGTGCTTGCACAGGCATGCAACGCATGAGACAGAGGACGTGATTCCTAGCTTTGAGTAAAGAAGCCAACAATTTCGAAGCACATGTTTTTCTCAAAAACCAAGAGTAGATAGACGTGTGGGCTTGGCTCCACCAGTCCCTCAGGTCTTGGTAAAAGAAATAAGGGAAAAAGGGACAATGTGTCATCGCAAGGCACGCCACAGCTGTGCTGCTGAGCTGTTCAAAACACAGCAGAGCCACAGCCAAGAGACTCTGAATCTGACACACTGAGTTCACAAAGCAGTTGCGATCTCGTCTTACCTGGTTGATGGTGTTAAGAGCCTTCAGAGAATCAATGGAATGCCTGGGGTGGGTGCAAAAGGGGAGAATGATAGGTGGCGAGGAGGGGGGAGGGAACGCAGGACTCAGGAGTGCAAGAGAAAGAGCAGAAAGAGAGTTATGTGGAGCTAGAGCCTTGAAAAAGACGATACGACTGTTACAAGACACCCCCCCCCCTCCCCCCCCCCAAAAAGCCCTGAAACTGAGAGAAAGTTGCAGAAGCTGGGGATTGGACGTCGGGAGACGGCACAAGTGGTTGCATGGAGGGTGGCTCACGACGCCAGGAGAGCAGAGAGGAAAGGAGCCAACGCCCTCCAGTCATAAGCGATCTTGCGCATGATTGGCCGGCTCACGAAGACCTGACATGCCCCCACTGCTGCCTCCTCCCTGTCCTCCTTCTCCTCCACCTCCTCTCCCTCCTCTGCCGTTTTCATCTCCTCCACCTCTTCCTCCTTCACCCTGTCACCATCACCATCACCATCACCACCATTGCTGTTAGCACTCTTCCCTATCCGGATTAGCCTTGCCACTGCGCCTGCCTCCCCAGCCACACACGGCGCCAGCTGGCGCAATGCCGTGTCGACAGCTGGCGGGAAGCGCTTGAGAAGGAGCTCCAGGCTGGCTCGCGCAACACTGAGATGCAGGCAGATAATTGCGACGGGGAGAGAGTGAATGGAGAAAGAGAGGAGTTTTAGGAGGGGGGCGGAGAAACAGTAACAGCTGGAGGAAGAAAGCGCTTGAGAAGGAGCTCCAGGCTGGCACGCGCAACACTGGGAGGTGGGGAGAAGTGTGATGGGGAAAGAGCGAAGAGAGAAAGAGAGGAGGTTTAGGAAGGGGACGGAGAAACAGCGACAGCTGGCGGGAAGCGCTTGAGTAGGAGCTCCAGGCTGGCATGCGCAACGCTGGGTGGTGCAGGTAGAGAAAGGTGATGGGAAACGAGCAACAGAGTGGGTGGGGAGGGGGGAAGCGGGGTGGGGAGGGGGGGGGGGATGGGGGGGAAACGCTGTCAGAGGTCCACTGGAGATCCCCGATGATCCTAGGGAAGGGTTACAGGCACGTTGGCCTGGGGGGTTATGGGCGCACTCACCCGCTACACAAACAAGCCTTTTTATCCCAGTGGTTAGTGGTTGGGATTCTGACATGGTATCAGAGCGAAGGTCTCGGGTTCGAATCCCGGTGTGTGCACCTCGGGCATCCCAGTGCGGGGGGGTGTCAGAGGTCCACTGGAGATCCCCGATGATCCTAGGGAAGGGTTACAGGCACGTTGGCCTGGGGGGTTATGGGCGCACTCACCCGCTACACAAACAAGCCCTTTTATCCCAGTGGTTAGTGGCTGGGATTCTGACATGGTTTCAGAGCAGGTCCTTCGCTAGGACCGTTCTTAGGGCCCACCGCTACCTACCTACCTACCTACCTATCGTGCGCCCTCGTGCGCCTACGCGCCCCAGTGCGCCTCCTACCTACCGCGCGCGCGCAGCCCGCCAGCCAATCGCGCGCGGCTCGTTTTCTATTTTTTTTTATTTTAACCGCGCGCGACCCGCTAGCTGCCCGCGCGCGGCCGATTTCTTTTGAGCGCGACCGGCTAGCCGCCCGTGCGCCGCTCGCACCGCTATAGCGCAGCCCGCAGCGGCCCCGCAGGCCTGCACATTGCCGCCCGCCCGCTCGTCGCCCGCTGCTGCTGCCGCCCGCTCGTCGCCCGCTGCAGCTGCCGCTCGCTCGTCGCCCGCTGCTGCTGCCGCCCGCTCGTCGCTCGCTGCAGCTGCCGCCCGCTCGTCGCTCGCTGCTGCTGCCGCCCGCTCGTCGCCCGCTGCAGCGCCTGCCCGCTCGTCGCCCGCTGCAGCTGCCGCCCGCTCGTCGCCCGCTGCTGCTGCCGCCCGCTCGTCGCCCGCTGCAGCTGCCGCCCGCTCGTCGCTCGCTGCTGCTGCCGCCCGCTCGTCGCCCGCTGCAGCGCCTGCCCGCTCGTCGCCCGCTGCAGCTGCCGCCCGCTCGTCGCCCGCTGCTGCTGCCGCCCGCTCGTCGCTCGCTGCAGCTGCCGCCCGCTCGTCGCCCGCTGCAGCTGCCGCCTGCTTGTCGCCCGCTGCAGCTGCCGCTACCACGGGCCCGCCGCTGCAGCTACCGCCTGCGCGTCGCCCGCAGCCGCTCCCGCTCGTGCGCCGCGGCCGCTACCGCCCGTGCGCTCCTGTTGCGCCTGCTACCGCTGCCGCTGCTGCACTCGCTCCCACTGCGGCCGCCGCTTCTGCGCCCACTGCCGCTCCCGCCCGTGCGCATCAGCTGCTGCCGCCCGTGTGCTGACACTGCCCACAGCTTCCCTGCGGCCTCATTCTTACTGTTTCTACCGCTACTGCTACTGCCGCTATGGCTACTCCTACTGTACTTACTTTCGATGCTGAGGGCCGTCCAGTGAAGTTCGAAACCTGGCTCGATGACCTCCACCTCTTTCTACAGCTCACTGCTAAGGAGGACGTTTCACTGTACGATCACGCCCTAGGCAACGCTACTGCCCCTCCTACCACTGCTGACAGCACTCAGCGCTCACAGTGGCAGACTCGTGATGCCCACGCTCGCTTCGCTATTCGTAACTCCCTACCGATCGACGAGCGCGAGCACTTTGGCCAGCACAAAACTGCTAAGGACCTGTACACTGCTGTAGTCGCTCGCTACTCCTCCCCCGCTTCTGCCACACTAGGCCGCCTCACTCTCCCCTACCTGTTCCCCGACCTGGCCTCCTTTCAGACAGTTGCTGACCTCATCACCCACCTTAAGACCAGTGAGGCCCGCTTTCGCGCTGCTATGCCTGACGAGTTCCTCACCAGCAACCCCCCCCCGCTCTGGATCACTCTCTACCACATAGTCACCCGCCTCCCCGACTCCCTGCGCACAGTCAGGGACCACTTCCTCTCTCGCTCCCCCACTGAACTCACCATTGCCCTCCTCGAGAAGGAACTGCTTGCAGCTGAGGCGAGCATCGTCGCTGTAGGCACCTCTCGTGGCGACCCCCGCACCCCGTTCTTTGAGGGGTGTTCCCCTTCCCCTCTCCTCCCCTCTGTCGCCTCTGCTGCTGCTGTCGACCTCCTTGGTGCTGAGAAGGTCGGGGCCGCGTCTGCTTCGAACGGGTGCCGCAAGAGCAAAGGGGGCAAGGGTGGAGGTGGCGGCGGAGGAGGTGGGGGTGGAGGCGGTGGGAGTGGAGGAGCGGCTGGGGAGGCTAGTGGCGGCAGTGGGGGTGGTGACAGCAGCGGCGGGAGTGGCGGCAGGGGTGGAGGCGGCAGCGGAGGCGGAGGTGGTCGTGGCAGCGGCAGGGGTGGAGGTGGCCGAGGCGGTGGCGGCGGCAGTGGTGGTCGTGGAGGCGCTGGCGGTGGCCAGAGTCAGCAGCCCGCCCCGTCGCTTCAGGCCGCCCGTGAGTGGTATGCGCAGCGTGGCTTTACCTGCACGTACGTCATTCGCACTGGTGACCGCACTGGCCAGCAGTGTGGGAGGCCGCATCCCACACAGCGCTGTTTCGCGCGCCTTACTGACGCGTGGCGTGCCCAGTTTCCTGATGCCTGGACTCAGGTGCTTCTCGCTGTTTCTTTCGTGACCGCACTGACCTTGAGCCGCTTGCTCGGCCAGTTGCTGTCTCCCTCGCTGACCCCTCTGGGGGTCCGGTCGTTGCGACCTCCTCCACTGTCCTTCCTTGTCCTGCGGTCCCGTCAGGCACACTGTCAGGTCTCTACCTCCCCTCGTTCTCTACGAACTTGGTGGCAGGTAGTGCGCTCCAGGACGGGGGTGTTCACCAGTTCACCCCTGCTTACGAGCGCGTGACCCACTGCACGTGTGCTCGGACGGGCCGTCACCTGGCTACCTTCACTCGGCAGCCGGGGTCGGACCTGTACACACTGACCACTGAGTCCCCTCAGGTAGCTGCGTCCGCGTCTGCGTCTGCGTCAGGTCAGCTGTCCGCCCCCTGCTCGTGTCGCTCTCTGGCGCATGAGACTGTCCTCTGGCACCACCGCCTTGGTCACCCGTCTGTGCAGCGCCTGCGGGCCATGCACAAACGGGACCTTGTTGCTGGTCTTCCCAGGGTTCTCCCTCCCCTCCCACCCTCGCCTGCTCCTCCCTGTCTTCCCTGTGTCGAGGGGCGGCAGCGCGCCGCTCCTCACTCCTCCTCCTTCCCCCCGACGACTGCTCCTTTGCAGACGCTCCACATGGACGTGTGGGGCCCAGCCTGCGTCCGTGGTCAGGGTCAGGAGAGGTACTTCCTGATTGTTGTTGACGACTTCTCGCGCTACACCACGGTCTTCCCCTTGCGCACCAAGGGTGAAGTCCCTGATGTCTTGATCCCTTGGATCCGCAGATCTCGTCTCCAGCTCAGTGAGCGTTTCCGCTCCGACTTCCCTGTCCTGCGTCTGCACTCTGACAGAGGTGGGGAGTTTTCCTCTGGCCTCTTGGAGGCCTTCTGTCAGCAGGAGGGCATTGAGCAGTCGTTCACACTTCCGGCCTCTCCACAGCAGAATGGGGTTGCTGAGTGCCGCATTGGCTTGGTCATGGAGGTCGCTCGTACCTCCTTGGTTCATGCGGCTGCCCCCCACTTTCTGTGGCCGTTTGCAGTCCGATACGCTGCGCATCAGCTCAACCTCTGGCCCCGTGTCTCCTTACCGGAGACTTCTCCGACACTGCGTTGGACGGGAGAGGCTGGCGATGCGTCGCGTTTTCGGGTCTGGGGATCTCGAGCTTTTGTTCGCGATACGTCCGCGGACAAGCTCTCCCGTCGAGCTGTCCCCTGCGTCTTCCTTGGCTTTGTCCCGGACGCGCCTGGTTGGCAGTTCTACCACGCCACCTCGCGTCGTGTCCTGGCCTCTCAGGACGTCACTTTTGACGAGTCCGTCCCCTACTACCGCCTCTTCCCCTACCGCACTGCCCCGCTCCCCCCCCCGCCTCTCTTCCTCGCTCCAGGTGCTGCGGTACCAGACCCCCTCCCCCCTCAGGGTGCCGCTCCCTCAGGTGTGTCCCAGGTAGACCCGGTTGAGCCTGTCGAGGTAGCTGTTGACTCTAGTCCTGCTGGGGGTGCTGAGCCTGACCGTGAGGAGTCTGAGGGTGCTGAGCCTGGGGGTGCGGAGCCTGGGGGTGCGGAGCCTGGGGGTGCGGAGCCTGGAGGTGCGGAGCCTGGGGGTGCTGAGCCTGGGGGTGCTGAGCCTGGGGGTGCTGAGTCTGGGGGTGCTGAGTCTGGGGGTGCTGAGCCTGAGCGTGCTACACCTGGAGGAGCCCTCTCCTCCCGGCAGCTGCAGGAGAGGTACCTACAGTACTGCCGCCTCCGGAGAGGTGCTACTGGAGCTCGTACCAGTACTTCTCCTCCTGCCCAGGAGCTCCCCCCCATTCAGCAGATCCGAGAGTGGTACACGCGGCGCTGCAGTCTTCGGAGTGGTGCTCCTGGTGCTGCGGACCCTGGGGGTGGCGCTGCTACTGGTGCTGAGGACCCGGGCGTTGGAGCTGCTGCTGGTGCTGCGGACCCGAGCGGTGGCGCTGCTGCTGGTGCTGAGGACCTGGGCGTTGGAGCTACTGCTGGAGCTGAGGACCCGGACGGTGGAGCTGCTGCTGGTGCTGAGGACCCGAGCGGTGGAGCTGCTGCTGGTGCTGAGGACCCGGACGTTGGAGCTGCTGCTGGTGCTGAGGACCCTGCCGCTGGTGTCTCTGCTGGTTCTGGAGACGCTACGCGGCCGCGACCGTACTTCGTACCGCTTCTTCAGCAGGTTCTTGGTCAGGCTCCTCCTCCTTGTCCTCCTCCTTCCGTAAAGTGTCCTCCGCCTGTCCAGTCGCAGTCACAGTTCCCGCCTGCCTCGCCTCTCCCTGGTCCCTCTCCTTACACTGGTCCCACAGGAGGTCTTACAGAGCGTCGTGAGCCTGAGTCTCGTCCTGCGTCGCCTGTTCGTACTGCTCGCACTGGTCGTCGTGTCCCACGTGAGCGTCCTCCTCCTGTCCCTGGCACTCACTACATGACTCTGCATCCCTCCACTGCTCCTCAGCGTGTTCCGCTGCCGTCTCCTCCTGCGTCCTCTCTGCCTACTCTTCCTGATCCGGAGTCTGACTCCCGTCGTGCTGCCAGTCCCACTGTCACCCGTCTCCTCGCTACTGTTGTCACTGACCCTACCTTTGAGTCCTCTGCTGCGTCTGCTCTGGTCGCTGAGTTGATAGACTTTGCTGCCCGGTGTCGTCTAGACTACGCCACTAGCCTTGTTGCTGAGTCTGAGTCTGAGTCTGTCTGTCCTCCGTCCGTCGGGGGTGAGTGTGCTCTTGGCACGGACGTCCTTGAGGACAGACAGGAGGAGTTCCAGTGCTTTGCTGCTGCTTTACCCCACCTCGTGTCCATGCTAGTTGCCCCTGAGGGAGACCCGGATGCACCAGACATCCCGACCCGCCGCACTTACGCTGAGGCGATGGCGGGTCCCTACTCTTCTCAGTGGCAGACAGCCATGGACGCAGAGATGGCTTCCTGGAAGTCCACAGGCACCTACGTCGACGAGGTTCCCCCACCTGGGGCGAACATCGTCAGTGGCATGTGGATTTTCAGGGTGAAGCGGCCACCGGGTTCTCCTCCTGTCTTCAAGGCGCGCTACGTGGCTCGAGGCTTCAGTCAGCGAGAGAGAGTTGACTTCTTTCAGACCTTCTCCCCCACCCCGAAGATGACCACTCTTCGGGTGCTGCTGCACATAGCCGCTCAGCGCGACTACGAGCTTCACTCACTTGACTTCAGCACTGCTTTCTTGCAGGGCAGCCTGCACGAGGAGATCTGCCTGCGCCGCCTTCCTGGCTTCACTGGGTCAGTTCCTCCTGGTACCCAGTGGAGGCTTCAGCGGCCGGTCTACGGTCTTCGCCAGGCACCGCGTGAGTGGCACGACACACTGAGGACGACACTTGCGGCTCTTGGGTTCGCTCCCTCTACTGCTGACCCGTCACTGTTTCTACGCACAGACACCTCACTGCCGCCGTTCTACATCCTCGTGTACGTCGACGACTTGGTCTTTGCCACTGCTGACACAGCGGCACTCGCCCACGTGAAGTCGGAGCTGCAGAGGAGACACACGTGCACAGACCTGGGTGAATTGACAAGCTATCTTGGCTTGCGGATCACCCGGGACAGAGCACGGCGCACCATCACCTTGACTCAGTCACACATGGTGCAGCAGATCCTTCAGCGCTTCCGCTTCACGTACTCCTCGCCTCAGTCCACTCCTCTGCCTACCGGTCACTCGCTCTCAGCTCTGCCTTCGGATGAGTCCGTAGAGCCGAGTGGCCCATATCCAGAGCTTGTGGGCTGCCTCATGTACCTGATGACCTGCACTCGACCTGACCTTGCATACCCTCTTAGCATCCTTGCACGCTATGTCGCTCCTGGCCGTCACAGGAAGGAGCACATGGATGCCGCTAAGAGGGTGTTGCGCTACTTGTGCAGTACGTCGGGCATGGGGCTAGTGCTTGGAGGGCGAGACCGAGTTGTACTTACTGGACACTCAGACGCTTCTTGGGCGGACGACCAGGCTACTCAGCGGTCGTCTCAGGGTTACACCTTCAGCCTTGGCTCCGGCTCAGTTTCTTGGCGTTCTACACGCTCTTCTTCTGTTCTTAGCTCCAGTTGTGAGGTTGAGATCTACGCCACAGCCATGGCTGCCCAGGAGCTACGCTGGCTGACCTACCTGCTGACCGACTTGGGAGAGCGGCCTCGTTCTCCTCCAGTGCTGTACGTCGACAACCAGGCTGCCATTGCCTTGTGTGAGGAGCACAGACTGGAGCACAGAACGAAGCACATCGCCCTGCGGTACTTCCTTGCTCGAGAGCTACAGCAGCGTGGTCAGCTTCGTCTGCGTTACGTGGCCACCGAGGCCAACCTTGCTGATGTGTTCACCAAGGCGCTTCAGCCTTGTGACCATCAGCGTTTCTGTACTCTTCTAGGCCTTGTGCCTGCTGGACCTCACTTACTTACTTCTTGACTCTGCTTGTACTGTGATCTTTATATATATGCCTGCATGTTTACACTTGCTAGGTTGTGATCACTGTATCTCTTATTATATTATCAACCTGCATGTGAACTGGTCTTGTGACCACTTGCTTGTGCTCGGAATTTGTGTGGTATCCTTGAGATCCACCCTGAGCTTGTTTTGCTTTGCTTTGACTGGTCTTGTGACCTCTTGCTCTCCCCCACTTTGCCTATGGGGGTGTGTCAAACATTATATATGTTGTGTTTGTTTAGGCTACAGTGGGTTAGCCTATAGGGGGTACACAATTCTAGGGTTAGGTACTTGTACTGATTTCACTGTTAGTTCAATCATTCCTGTCTGTTGATTCCGACATGGTATCAGAGCGAAGGTCTCGGGTTCGAATCCCGGTGTGTGCACCTCGGGCATCCCAGTGCGGGGGGGTGTCAGAGGTCCACTGGAGATCCCCGATGATCCTAGGGAAGGGTTACAGGCACGTTGGCCTGGGGGGTTATGGGCGCACTCACCCGCTACACAAACAAGCCCTTTTATCCCAGTGGTTAGTGGTTGGGATTCTGACAAACGCGGGTGTTGAGGTGTTGTGATAAGGGAATGATGGGCCCACAGACAAATGGGAATTGAGCTACATAAATCCTTTGCCCCCAACCCACACTTGCATGGATTCATATCAGTGCACTGACGGCAGCAGCAGCAGGTCCCCCCCCCAGCACCTGCACTCCCTCTTTCCCTTCCCCCCTTCTCCTCCCTCACTCACCCCTGCACGGATTCAAATCGGTGCACTGACAGCAGCAGCAGATCTCCCAGCAGCACCTGTCAGTAACATACTTTCCCCCCTACAACACACCCCCCTTTTTCCCACACCACTACTCCCCCTCCCCCTTCCAACTCACCCCTGCACGGACTCATATCGGTGCACCGACAGCAGCAGCAGATCTCCTCCCAGCAGCACCTGCACTCCGCATCACTCTCCCATCTATACCCTTTCCTTTCCCCACTTCTTCACCCCCCACTCACCCCTGCACGGATTCATATCGGTGCACCGAGAGCAGCAGCAGATCCCCCAGCAGCACCTTCACTCAGCTTACTTTCCTCCTATAATACACCCCTTCTTTCCCCTCTCCCACTTCCCCCCTCCCCCTTTTCAACTCACCCCTGCACGGATTCATATCGGTGCACGGACAGCAGCAGCAGGTCCCCCAGCAGCACCTTGACCGCTCTAGGGAGCGGCGGCGGGCGGCGCTGGCCGGCGTAGATCGTCTTGAAGTGCGCCTGCGACGCCCTCCAAAGGAGATGCTCGTATGCGAGTTCGGCCAGCACCCAGGGCGGCCTGAAAGGAGAGCGAAGGAGGTGAAGGGGGGGGGGGGGGGGGAAGGAGAGAGGGTGGTTAAGGTGGTTCAGGAGGGGGGACTGATGCATGAAAGGCCCTCTACAGGAGATGCTCGCATGCCAGCTCTGCCAGCACCCCGACCAATCAGGAAAGCGCATAAGGGAAGGGGAGGAAGAGAGGGAGACGAGGAAAGAGTGGGGGAGAAGACACACACAAGGAGATGCTTACCTCCTCCCCCCCCACCCTGTGATTACCTTATTCCCCTGTCCGTACCTGCCCTGTCCGTCCTGATCTCCTTACCTCTCCACTTTGCATCAACAGCGATACATTGAGATTCGACAGCAGCTCTGCCTGCTGCTCCTCTTCCGAACACAAACCAATCGAACCCAGCATCCCTCCCCTCACTTCCTTCTCTGCCCTCTACCCCCTACCACTCTTCTCACCTTCTCCTCGTTTCCCCAGCTTTCATCCACGGCGACCCCTTAGACTCTGACAGCAACCCTGCCTGCTGCTTCACCACCCTGAGCCCGTGCAGCGAGTCAGAATACTCAAGAGTTCCTGGGGTTAGGGACGGGACACAAGGGCAGGAACTGGGATATGACTTGACGCTCACATTCATTATACAGGAAGCTCCTCGTGTGGGTGCCACACCCTCCCCCTCACCTGAGTTCAATAAAGTCCTTCCACTACAGCCAGCAGTGTGAGGGTCTGAGTGTCGTCCCTCTGCCACACCCACACACACACCTCAAAAACCACCTGTATCAACCCAACACATTCGTAGCACCCATCCCCCTCACCTGGGTTCAGCAGCAGCCCTTCCACTTCAGCCAGCAGCGCCAGCGTCTGAATGTCGTCCCTCTGCCACACATACACGCCTTACAACCATCCCCCGTGACACTTATTCCCTCACCTGGGTTCAACAGCAGCCCTTCCACTTCAGCCAGCAAGGCCAGCGTCTGAGTGTCGTCCCTCTGCCGCCTCACCAGCCACACACACGCCTCATGAAGCTCCCCAGAAGCTTCCTCCCGCATAGTCACATTGCCTATAGTCACGCCCGACCGCCCCACCACTGCCAGAGGGGTGCCTGGTGCCGTGGTGTCGGTGGGTGCGCCGGAGGCTTGGCTCCCGAACCTGGTGGTCAGGTCCGGGAGGTTGGTGCGGGTACCGGAGAAAACGGCCCAGAGGCGACGAAGGGCCACTCGCCAGGCGAGTTTGGCTGGAGGGGCGGAGGCAATGTGGGGAAGGGAAAATGAATGCAAGAGGAGAAAACGAAGTGAATGGGGGGGGGAGGAATATGAAGGGAGGGTGAGGGGAGTGCGAGGTGGGTGAGGTGAGAGAAGCAGAGAAAGGAGGGACGCAGGAATGAGGATGGGATCCAAGAGTCGTAGGGCAGAACGGAGAGGGCTGTGGGGGCGTTCATATCAAGTGGCACCAATTTGAAAACAGATGCTGAGAAAGTTCCCATTGGTATCAACACAACTCACCTCCAACCGCTGCTGAGCTGGCTGATGCTGACGTGGCAGGCCTCGACCGCAGCCACCGAATGTCCCTCAATGCGCCGCCCAGGTACTTGTCGATAAGCTGGGTGGCAAGCGCTGTCTCTTCTGTGGACGGCACGTGCCACTGGAGAGCCCCTGCTGCTGCCACTTGTCCTGCTGCCATTGGAGGCTCTGCTGCTGCTGCTGATGCTGTTGCTGCTGCTGCTTGTTTGGAAAACCACCTCTCAACCCCTGGAGCTGACTCCTCCCAGCCCAAGAAACTGTGGATAGACAGGAGGGTGACAGCATGAGAACAGACATCCAATGCAACGGCACAGAATGCCTTCGTTATCTGCTTCTTAAAAGTACAAGAATCGGCAAGAACAAACAGTTTTGCAAGGGGGAGAGAGAGAGGGCATGGCTTACGAATTGAAACTTGAAACCTACTTGTATTCATTCAAGGGGTAGTAGAAGATGAGTGCGAACAGGAACTGACTTTTGAGTCGACTAAGAAGTTAAACTTACGTGTATTCATTCAAGGGGTAATAGAAGATGAGCGCGAACAGAAGCTTCTGAAGCAGATCTGCTGCTGCGTCAACCACCTGTAAGGGAGGGTAACCAGGGAAAAGAAGGGGATGGTCGCTGAGTAGGCACATATCAACGGAATCTTTATTAGCTGCTTTGATGAGACAAAGATGTTGCTACCGCACGCATTGTGTTTTAGAGATACGATTTTCCAGGAATTTACGGAGCAAATTTGCAAAACACACCTTCTGGGAGGTGGATGAGAAGGCAGCATCGATAAGTGCGATGAGGCGGTCCTTATGTGCTATCAGAGCAGAGCCACTAAAGGGGACAGCGTTGCTGACGAGGTGCATGTGGAAGAGAACCGTGGCCTCCTGAGTTGTCGACAGCTGATTGGCTGGCAGCTGCGCAGGAGCAAGAGGGGAAGGGGAAGGTTGGCATGGCAGACAGCAATAAGGAAAGAGAGATGATGGAGATGGTTGGGAAACGCATGAACTGGGGATGAAAGTCACAGAGATGTGAAAGGAAATATTATGCAGGCAACCACTACTGCTCTTTTCTTTACTGCTCGTCCCCACCACTCTTCACTGCTCAGCACCCCACTCTACCACTCACTTTCAGCGCCTCCCCTGCATCCGCGGCAGCAGCAGGAGACTCAGAGAGCCCCAGGAATGACGTGGCAGGCAGCGATTGGAGGAGGGAGATGGCGGAATCCATGACTCCAGCAAGGATCCGAGTGCACGTGGGCTCAGGAGCAGCATAGGCGAGTGCTGCCAGCACTGTACCGATTTCCTCCTCACATCCACGGACGACAGAGCTGGATACGTATCGTTCGACCCTTGAGATGACCTGGAAAGCACGAGGCGGGAGCAGTGGGGAAGAATGTGGGCTCAGGAGCAGCATAGGTCACCAGTGCTGCCACCACTGTGCCGATCTCCTCCTCACACCCGCGGATCACAGAACCAGATACATATCGCTCCACCCTTGAGATGACCTGCTAGGAAAACAGGGCAGATAGTGGGAAGAGAACTTCCATATTATAAAGGCTCGGGAGCAGCATAGGCGGGAGCTGCCACCACTGTACCGATCTCCTCCTCACACCCACGAATGACAGAGCTGGACACAAATCGCTCCACCCTTGAGATGACCTGCTGGGTGGACAAGGTAGGGAGAGGCAGCGATTGGAGGAAGGAGATGGCAGAATCCATGACTCCAGCGAGGATCTGATTGCAGACGGGCTTGAAAGCAGCATAGGCCAGCGCTGCCACCACTGTGCCGCATGAGTGCGATGTGAGAAAGGGAGCGAGTGAGAGGATAGTAAGGAAGGGAATGAAGGAAAAGAACGAGAAACTGGAGAGTTACCTGATTGAGGAGAGGAGGAGAGAGGCGGGCGAAGAGAATGCTGACGGTGGAGCGGAAGGTTGAGCCCTCTGCCTCCTTCATGAGGAAAGATCTGATGGATGGAGAGGAGAGGAAGGCGAGGAGCAAGAGGCAATGAGGAACATGACAAAATAACACATAGAAGATAGATTTCTGAGTGGAGCGAAAGGATGAGCCCTTTGTGTAACCATCCGTTCCGTGGACTCCAGGGTCACTGGTCGAGCATCAGCGGTGACAGGGCGAAAGATTCATCGGTCGCGTGTCGTGAAAAGCTGCGCCAGCGACGACTCTCAACTGTCGCCGAGCTATCCCGCACTCAAAATATCCGTCATCTCATCATGGTGAGGTGACTCAAGGCATCATAGCATCACCATAGTGAGAGAAGAGGGAGAAGAGGTGGAATGGGAAAAGGTATTCTCCACACCTCCACAACTTCTCACCTCTCAGCACCTGCTGCAGTGCTCGCGACAGTAGCAGTGGGAGCAGCACTCTCCAAGTGAGAGAAGAGGGAGAAGAGGCGCGAGAGAAAGTCCTCCAGCCACGCGGACCAATCAATGGAGAGCGCAAAAGGGCTTTCCTCGTCCCCAATTGGACCGACCTGAGGGGCAGAAGTACATAGAGGAGCACGGGAGAGTTAGTAGAAGCGGTGGTGGGTGAAAGGAAGCAGAGAGGGGAGGGCGTTGGTGTGTTTCACGGCGAAGGAAGGTTGAGAGAGAAGAAATGCGGCTCAAGGAACATCCCAACACACGTAGACCCCATGATACATACAGAAGAGAAGACAGAGAGGTAGAGGTGCAAGGTGGCCAGCGTATTGGGCGGATCGTTGGCATCAATTCCAGGAATTGATACGTTGCAAAGGACATCCCAATAGACGTACGGAGGAGAAGACAGAGAGGTAGAGGTGCAGGGTGGCAAGCGTCTTGGGCGGGTCATTGGCGTCAATTCCAGGGAGCGTCGCCACCAGCGCTTCACACACCACCTCCCTCGCCCACCCAGCATACATTCACCACGCCCAACAAACGTACACCCCAGGATACTTACTGAAGAGAAGACAGAGAGGTAGAGATGCAGGGTAGCAAGTGTCTTGGGTGGATCATTGGCGTCAATCCCAGGAAGCGTTGCCACCAGCGCTTCAGACACCACCTCCCTCGCCCGCCCAATCATCTCCTGCCACGTGCCCATGCCACCACCCTCCCCGTGCCCCACTGCTCCTGAACCATCCACCTCCATAGAGTCAAGTGCGCTGTCTTGGTCTGAGGGGGGTTGAGCAGCAGCGAGCAGCAAGGGACGGACGGAGAGCGCGAGGGTAGAGAGGGCGGATTCGAGCTGGTGTGTGGCCGTGACCTGATGGTGGGTGGGGGGAGAGATGAGGGGGAAGAGAAAGGAAGGAAAGGAAGGAGCAGAGAAGGTGTGAGAAAGGGAAGGGCAACAGTGGACAGCATGAGCGCGACGGTGGCGAGCGTAGCGAGGGCTTTTGAGGCGCCTCAATAGGCGAGTGTGGTGATAGGGGCGCACTTTAAGCTGGTGTGTGGTTGTGGGCTGATGGTGGGCGGAGAGATTTACGTGGCGGAAAAGAAGAGGGGAGAGGGGAGAGAAGTGGGGGAGGGGGGCGTACGTATGTTAAGTCTACAGAGAGGTGAAGAGAAGCACAAAGCAGTGGGTTGCAGAACGGTACAGAGAGGCACCAAGGCGATGCTACTCACAGTGGTCAGCGCCCCCTGGAAGCTCTCTAGGACCACTGGCAGGGTGACACGTGGCGCCAAGTAGGACAGCGAGGCAGCCACGCGGGAGGCGACGGCAGATAGGGTGGGGCTCTTGCTGAAGAGAGCACGGTTGTGGATGAGCCGGGTGAGCAGACGGATGAAGGCCGTAGTGGTGGCAGGGGACAGGGAAGAAGCAGCATGTGAGGGGTACCTGTGCACGGGCAGTGCAGCAGTGAGGATGGGATGGGATGGGATGGGATGAGATGGAAAAAAGAAGGGGCTTTTGCTGAAGAGAGCGCGGTCGTGGATGAGCCGAGTGAGAAGGCGGTTGGAAGCAGCCGTGATGAGACTCGACTGTCACCATGATTCATGGTGCGCACACACCCTCCCGCTCCCTACACTCACTCACCTGTCGCCATGAATCTTCTTCTCTGCAGCAACTCTCTTCATGAGATGGTATGTAGCTCTGACAGCCCAATCCCACACCCTCCCAGTCCCCCTGCATGCCCCCAATCATAAGTTGAAAAATAGTCGTCCTTTCTCACAATCCCTGCACTCACTCACCTGTCGCCATGAATCTTCTTCTCTGCTGCAATCCTCTTCATCAGGTGGTAGGTTGCCGAGTGAATCATCTTCTCCAGCAGCCCTGTCCATTCTCCACCGTTGGATGGGTGAAAGAACTGCTCCAGATCGTTCGATAGCTTATCAAACAGCTGTAGCACCGACGCCTCTCCTCCCTGCAATTCCAAGGCTCGGTCCGAACCCGAAGCAGGAGGTTCGGCATCCGAACCATGGCCGGCTGGTTCGGGGTTTGCTAGCAGCCAGACGACAAGCTTGGCGCCAGCTACGGCCCGAACCACCTGCTGTTGGTGCGGCACTCTGCGCTGCTGCCACCTGTCAAGCAGCGATAGGAAGACACGCGCGCATGCTGGAGAGACGGGGCGCTCAAGCAGCGCTGACGTGGCAGATGGGGATTGGCCGATGGGGAGGGAGAAAGACTCGAGAATCTTCTGAAAAAGGAAAGGAAGGTGAGGAGACCAGAGGGAGAGAGGACGGGAAGCGGGAGGGGAGGTAGAGGAGGGAGGAGGTGGGGAGGAGGAGGTGGTTTGGTGCTGGTGGCGTAGCTGCTGGTGTTTAGCTAAGCGTGCAAGGAGAGAGATCCACTGAGCGTCCCAGAAGGTGCAGTGGAAAATGGACGACCACAATGACAGCCACTCCGGCACCCAGACACTGCAGCAGGGATAAACGGTGAAACGAAAACAGGAGGAGAAGAATGTGAAAACAGAAGGAGAAGAACGAACGAAAATAAGCAACAGAGTAACAAAACAAGATGAGTGAAGACATAAAATCAAAACAGGAGAGAAGAAAAGCAACGCATCTGCCCCACACACTGCACTGCACTGCAATGCCACAACCCCAGACACTGCAGCACGGAGAAACAGTAAAACGAGAACAGAAGACGACGAGAAGAACGAAAATAAGCAACAGACTAATAGCGTAAGGAAGAAAGAATTCAATGCATCTGCCCCACACACGGCACTGCAATGCCAGAACCGCAACCCTCACCTCCATTCAGCAGAGGCATCATCCTCGCCTGGTGCCACGTGGCGGCACGTGGTTGGCAGCAGCAGATTCAGCAGAGCCGCTGCCTCCAGAGCATCATTGCTGCTGACGTCAGCGAACTGTGGCCTGAGGAGGGAAGAGAGGAGGGCGGAAGGGGAAGCAGAAAGGGGAAAAAAGGGGGTGGGGGGAGGGCGGAGAGGACAGGGAGGTGGAAGGGGAGGCGGAGGTGGGAGAAGGAGGGGGTGTTGTACATGTGCATGGGAGGAAGGCAGGGAGGAGAGAGAAATGTGATCATGGAAGGCACAGACATGCAACACCATGACGCAACACAAGTGCACATGATGGTGTGATGGTGGTGGGTGCCAATAATACGTTACAGAGATCAGGTTTCCCCTCAAGAAGCACCAGATATCGTCAGGTAGAACCACCTGAAACACACCTGGAAGCACCTGAGAGCAACAGTGGCGCACCTGAGAACCACCAAGGCGCACCTGAGAGCAACAGAGGCGCATCTGCGGAACGCCCAGATGTCAGCAGCAGAACCAGGCGGAAAGAACCTTCTGGCCCGCCTGATGAGCTGCACCTGGGAGCAGCAGGGGCCCATCTGGGAGCAACAGAGGCGTACCTGAGCAAGGCCCAGATGTCAGCAGCAGAGCCAGGCGGGAAAAACCTTCTCGCCGGCCTGATGAGCTCGGTGATGGCGTTGATGTGAATCTGCAGCAGCGCCGCTCCCACGTAGCCGGGCAGGGGGGTGGACCCTCTGTGGGGATTGGAAGAGTGGGGTTTAGGGTGGAACAGTTTAAGTAGAGAAGAAACTTCTCGCCGGCCTGATGAGCTCTGTGATGGTGTTGATGTGAATCTGCAGCAGCGCCGCTCCCACGTAGCCGGGCAGGGGGGTGGACCCTCTGTGGGGATTGGAAGAGTTGGGGTTTAGGGTGGAACAGTTTAAGTAGAGAAGAAACTTCTCGCCGGCCTGATGAGCTCTGTGATGGTGTTGATGTGAATCTGCAGCAGCGCCGCTCCCACGTAGCCGGGCAGGGGGGTGGACCCTCTGTGGGGATTGGAAGAGTTGGGGTTTAGGGTGGAACAGTTTAAGTAGAGAAGAAACTTCTCGCCGGCCTGATGAGCTCTGTGATGGTGTTGATGTGAATCTGCAGCAGCGCCGCTCCCACGTAGCCGGGCAGGGGGGTGGACCCTCTGTGGGGATTGGAAGAGTTGGGGTTTAGGGTGGAACAGTTTAAGTAGAGAAGAAACTTCTCGCCGGCCTGATGAGCTCTGTGATGGTGTTGATGTGAATCTGCAGCAGCGCCGCTCCCACGTAGCCGGGCAGGGGGGTGGACCCTCTGTGGGGATTGGGAGAGTTGGGGTTTAGGGTGGAACAGTTTAAGTAGAGAAGAAACTTCTCGCCGGCCTGATGAGCTCTGTGATGGTGTTGATGTGAATCTGCAGCAGCGCCGCTCCCACATAGCCGGGCAGGGGGGTGGACCCTCTGTGGAGAGAAACATTGGGTGTGAGAGTTCAGGGTACAAGGTTCAGGGTTCAGGGTTCAAGGTTCAAGGCCCACAGTACAAGGGTCAGGGTAAAGGGTACAGAGGGTTAGGTCCCAGGGTACGACAGGCACTCCAGTTCGCAAGGTGCGGAGCGACAGATAGGGGTTAGAATCTCCTTGACTGCCAGTTACGGTAATCATGTGAGTGACTCTGTGGAAGAGATATTGGGTATCTTGCAGGGCGAGATTGGAGAGATAGGAGATGCAAAAGAGAGGAGTAGAACGCGTGGAGCAGAGGGGCGGGGTGTGATGTATGGTGCAGAGGGGTGCTGTATCACGTACAGAGCAGAGGGGAGGTGTATAGCGAGGATGGAGTAGAGCGGGCGCCAGGGGATGGAGAGGGAGAGCGAGTAGCGGTGCTTGCGGAGGATGCGGGAGAGGCACTGCGACCAACGAATCTGAGGCACACAGCCAACAAGGTGGGGGGTTGTGGGGGGGGGGGGGAGGGGATTAATGAAACGATCCAGAAACGCAACGAGAAACATAGTTCACGTGACCAGAAACGTTGTAAAAGAGAATACCTGAATGAGGACAGCCGGACGGAGATGAAAAAGAAGCTAAGGAAGCTATATGTTGGATGAGGAGAAGGCATACCTGAATGAAGAGATCCCTAGGGCCGCGGCAGGTTGTGATAATATCGAGGGCGGTCTCTGACACGAGCTCCAGGTCAGCCACCTCCAGACGAGACTTGGACGCCACGAAGCTGCAAGCCGGAGAGCACAGGAGATGCCGAAAGGGGAATGAGGTGTGACGCATCATTACTGCAGCATTCTCGAGAATTCTCAAACGACGACTCTGACACAAGCTCCAGGTCAGAAACCCCCAGACGCGACTTGAACGCCACGAGGTTACAACGGCCAGGAGAACAGGACAGGAGATGGGCAAAAAAATGGACATAAGGTCTTCTGAAGCATCACTACAGCAATTTTGCAGCATAACGTAGCATGAATAATTAATTAACGCCTCCAGTTGCAACAAACGGCTGCTATAAGTAGTTGAGTTGTCTGAGACTGCAAAGCTGGCTGTCAGTACCAGTTCCTGACAGCCCGAAACGCAACAATCACTGACAGAATCAAGTCGTCGAGAGATGCGAGGTTCCATTGCCGGCGTTTTACTACAGGAATCCGCCAAAAACATTTGACAAAGACCACGACCCGTCTCTCCGCCATGACCCGGCTCCTCCCGCTCATCCTGACTAATTCAGCGTAAAACCGAGACAGTACCTATTGACGACGGAGACCCATTTCAGAGTCTCTCCGCCATGGCCTTGCTCCTTCCCGCGCTTCCACGCAGCCTGAACCTCCTCGGCAACAGCGTGAAATCTTCCAGGCTCCTCGCACGCCGCCTGTGCCGCCACGTCAGGCGGCAACCAGCTATTGTTCGGATGGACGTACGAATCCATGGCAAAAGCCTCTTGTTTATCCCCTTTTTTTCCTTTCCCCCCCAATAAGTTTCTCCAACTGCTCGTCTCAAATGTCAATTCCGCTAGAAAATCGAAGGACTCTTCCTTGCTCCTAACATATAATCGAAGACGAGCGGTACACGGGGGAAACGAAAACAGAAGGGCGTGTCAACTCTAGTTCGCAACCTGCAGATCCCCACTATCGGCCGAACATAACCTCCCGGAAAGCTTGCCCGAAAGGGCTAGCGAATCACCTACTGAGTTTCGCAGCGAGGCTAGACAAAGCAATCAGATCTGGAGCTAAGCTTGTTTAGGCCGAACAATCATGAAAATCAAACTTTCTGGCTCTGAATCTGCAATGTCGACGCGCTTTATAGTAGCCAGGCGCTCGCCTGAAGAGCCTCAAGCAGGCGGAATCTAAATCAGGAATTGCTAATTTCTGTCTAATCGAAGGGAAGATGCCATGCCAGTGCCACACAGGTTCGAGATTCAGAAGTTGGGAGTGAAATCTGAAGGTAGCGCTGGCGAGCGTACGCGACTTTTGACGATACGGTAACCTTTTCGTTGACCACTTGGACCCTGGTTGCGTGTTGGCTCACCCAAGTCTTTTCGGTGATGGCTGACATGCTGGTGGTGGAAGTATGCGCGGACTACCCTACCCAACCAGCTGTTGTTTTATTTAGACCGCTCTGGTTCAAATCTAAACCTTTGTAAAACGCACTCGGACGTACTCTTCGGACTTCAGCGGAGCTACAACGATAACTGCAATCGTCATGCTGACGAGAGCTTGTGACAGCAGACCCTCGAGGAAATTACAACAGCCAGAGAAGCTTCTGCCTTACTTCGCCAGTAGTTTGCTCCTATTCACGCGCAGTCATCCTGCTACAAGCGACGCGGGTTCCGCGGTCGCCAGCGTTATTCTCGAGATCACACCGCAGTGATTGCATCGTATAGCCCTTCGCGAAGTGTACTAGGGAGCTTTTCTTCGCGCCACGACTGCGCATAACGCACGAAGGAACGTCGTTACCAGCACCTCCTTCCTTTTTGTATGCGCATTCAAGCTTTAGTAACCTGTAGTAATATCTTCGCTTGAAGGATGGTCCAGGCTCACCGGGTTTCCAAACGCAGTTATTGGTTACCGATGTGCTTGTAACGAATGGCGCAAGTGACGCCTTCCAGAGTATCGACTGAACCAACGCAGAAAATTATCCCTTCAGGTTCCGCTGCCAGAAGCATCGCTATTGCCACTCCTAACCAACCGGCTACAGAGGGTCGCGACGCGAGAAACACAGCCTGTACATCAAACGAGGAAGCCAATAGCGAGTCAGACGCAGCAGAGAAAGCAGTGGAGAACCCTAGGTTCTCAGACGAACAGACAAGTTCAGTAGCTTCTCCGAACAAGGCTCGAGTCGCTGAGGCGACTTTAGAAGCCGAGGCGAATGGCCTCGAGTCGCTGTCTAAGCCGCTGTCGGACATGATGGCGAACCCTAGGTTCTCAGATGGGCAGGCGAGTTCAGTAACTTCTTCCAACAGAGCTAAAACTTCAAAAGCCGAGGCGACTTTAGATACCGAGGCGGATGGCCTCGAGTCGCTATCCAAGCCGCTCTCGGACGTGATGGCGGCACTTTCTATTGTGGTGGAAGGAGAATTGCAGGTGAGGATGACCTGGCAGGTGATGATGACGTGGCAGGTGACAATGACGTATTGAGTTGTCATGTCAGGTGGAGTAGAAGGTAACTGATTCAACAAACAATGCTAGCAGCATCTGTTCAAAACCCCAAGCCATGGTGTGGCTTTGACTTTTGAGTTCCCTTCTTCTTCCCCTCCCCTTTCCACTTCACCCACCCCCCCTTTCCCCCCACCCACCTTCACCCACCCCCCTTTTCTCTTCCCCCCGCATCCTTGTTCTCTACCTATTCAGGCCCACACCACCTCTCGTTCCGAGGTCTAGCTCATTCGAAGTTACAAGCCACTATTGATGCTGAGTCATTTCTATGCCCAAACTCCTTCTCTCCCTCCCTCTCCAACCTCCCCCCGCCAGGCCCACACCACCCCCTCATACCAACACCTCACCCGTCTAAACCTAGAGGCATCAGCAGATGCCGAGCGGCTCGCTGACCTGGCGGTCGGCGTGGGCGTGTTTGTGCGCTGTCAGCTGGCGGCGCGGGCGGCAACGCTTCGGCAGCTAGTGGCGGAGGCGGAGGAGGCGGAGCGGCAGCTTGCTGACCTGGAAGGGGTGGTTGTTGAGCTGGATAGATTCACTGGGAAGCTGGAGAGAGCTGTGGCGAAAGCCATTCTAGAGGGGGTGTGATTGTAATGAAGGGGGAGGGAGGGGTGGTGTGGTGGGGGTGGTGGTGGGATGTGACTGTACTGAAAGTGTAGCAGCTGCTGTATGGTGGTTGTTGAGCCGTGTAGATTCTCTGGGAAGCTGGAACGAGCCGTGGCAAAGGTCTTTAGAGAGGGGATGTGATTGTTACATTAGCATGGGTGGGTGGGGTGGTGTGTGGTTCTTGTTGGGGAAGGGGGAAGAGGAGAGGGTTGGGTGTCGGACGGTTAAACAGGGATTGTAATTGTGAATGTATAAGGGGGTTTCGTGGCCTGTATATTTCATGGTTCACTAGTGCCATTATTGTTCCAGACAAGCACCAGCAGCAACCGACCCTGTGCATATTTGGCATTCTACGGTACCCTATTGCAGGCCTCTGGATAGGATTTGGGGTACTCTTCCTCGTAAGGCCAACACCCAGCTGTTACTCTTTCAGTAAGGGTGCTTCACAGGAACTGCTCTTAAAAATCAGGGTGCAAACAAATTAAAGAAACTGTCGAATAATTTTGTTGAGCGTACTATTTACGGTGTTAGTGTTGCAGTATGTTGAGGCATCGTTGTTATGTGGAGGACCCAAGTTCGATACCTGTCGGGTTCATCAGCCGTAGGAAATGTGTTTTACGCGACCAATCCTGGTATCCTCTCTTAGATCGAACTCGATTTCATCAGTGCTACTACACCACATAGCTCTGAAATATCAGTGTCATACAATCGATCACTTTTTTTGGTAAGGGTCGAAAACAAAACCAGTCTTGTAAAAAAGGGTGCATCGTAAAACCCGCCCTTATAGTAAGGGTCATAAGGGTGAATCACCCTGATATCGAGAGGCCAGCCCTATTGCCTTTCGCAAGACGATCCAATGGCTTGCCCATGCATCGCGAGCCCAACTCTTTCCAGCACCCTTCTATGCTGGTAGGAGCTGGTGTTCCTGGTCCATCGTACCCTTAGCACACAGCGCATTACACAGCGCCAGCGTCAAGGCTGTCTATACGGGAAACATTTGAGTCGACTCAAAAGTTTGCCCCTGGTTCATAGTATAATTTACACACTGCGCATTACACGGGAAATGTGGTGTGGTGTGATGTGAAAGTAAAATAATCAAGGTACACCAGTTACACCTCGTCCCTATCTACTCTAGTGCGTGGCAGCTCCCACAGCAATACCTCAAACTCCTCTTGAGCAGCAGCCACCAGGTTCCACTCCACCCACTCGTCTCGATACGACCCTGGGAAGGCCCTCTGCTGCAGTCACTGCTTCACTGCCTCAGCGGCTCTCTGGTTCCCGCAACAAGCCCTCGAACTCCTCTTGTGCAGCAGCCACCAAATTCCACTCCATCCACTCGTCTCGATACGACCCTGGGAAAGCTTTCTTCAGCCGCCGCACCGCTTCGTACATCTCCCTTCGCCATGCTGGGAGAGGAGAGCCCCCGCAATCCGTGCTGAGGCTGTCCATGTAGGGGAACTGGTGCGGTGGGGTGCACAATTAAAAGCAATAAATAAACATGGGTTTCCGTCAACCCAGGCCTTCTTCAGCCGCCGCACTGCTTCGTACATCTCCCGCCCCCATGCTGGGAGGGGTGAGCCTCCACAGTCCGTGCTTAGGCTGTCCATGTAGGGGAACTGGTGCGGTGGTGAGCGGTGGAATGCGGTGGTATGCTCAATCAAAGAGAACGCATGGAGATAGCTGTAAGTTAGCCCACCACCACAGTGGTAGGGTGAGCCTCCACAGTCCGTGCTTAGGCTGTCCATGTAGGGGAACTGGTGCGGTGGGGTGCGGTGGGGTGGGATGGGATGTGGTGGAATGCGGTGGGATGTGCTGGGATGTGCTGGGGTGCAATGGGTTGCACAAGAAAAAAACTACCCATCCTCCCCCCCATTTGTGCGCTCTAATCAGCCCACCTTCCACACGCTGCACCTGCTCCCCCAGGTCGTACCTCCCCCAGGTCGTACCTCCCCCAGGTCGTACCTCCCCCAGGTCGTACCTGATCCATATCCAGCCTGTGGGCGAATCTCTCAGGCACGCCCCGCTCCTCTTAAGTCACGCAGTCCTCCCTCACACGATACCTCCACTCATCATTACCTCCCCAAGTCGCATAACACCCAAGTCTACCTCTCCCAGGTCGCACCTGCTCCATATCCAGCCTGTGGGTGTATCTCTGAGGCACGCCCTGCGCCTCCATGCGCGCATACAGACGACGCACGCCGCCCTCCATATCGGACCTGGGCGGCACGGGCACCTGCTGCTCCAGGCCATACCTGTTCCATGTCCAGCCTGTGAACATATCTCTCTGGCACGCCCTGCGCCTCCATGCGCGCATACAGACGACGCACGCCGCCCTCCATATCGGACCTGGGCGGCACGGGCAGCTGCTGCTCCAGGCCATACCTGTTCCATGTCCAGCCTGTGAACATATCTCTCTGGCACGCCCTGCTCCTCCATGCGCGCATACAGACGACGCACGCCGCCCTCCATATCGGACCTGGGCGGCACGGGCACCTGCTGCTCCAGGCCATACCTGTTCCATGTCCAGCCTGTGAACATATCTCTCTGGCACGCCCTGCGCCTCCATGCGCGCATACAGACGACGCACGCCGCCCTCCATATCGGACCTGGGCGGCACGGGCACCTGCTGCTCCAGGCCATACCTGTTCCATGTCCAGCCTGTGAACATATCTCTCTGGCACGCCCTGCGCCTCCATGCGCGCATACAGACGACGCACGCCGCCCTCCATATCGGACCTGCGCGGCACGGGCACCTGCTGCTCCAGGCCATACCTGTTCCATGTCCAGCCTGTGAACATATCTCTCTGGCACGCCCTGCGCCTCCATGCGCGCATACAGACGACGCACGCCGCCCTCCATATCGGACCTGCGCCTCCATGCGCGCATACAGACGACGCACGCCGCCCTCCATATCGGACCTGCGCGGCACGGGCACCTGCTGCTCCAGGCCATACCTGTTCCATGTCCAGCCTGTGAACATATCTCTCTGGCACGCCCTGCGCCTCCATGCGCGCATACAGACGACGCACGCCGCCCTCCATATCGGACCTGGGCGGCACGGGCACCTGCTGCTCCAGGCCATACCTGTTCCATGTCCAGCCTGTGAACATATCTCTCTGGCACGCCCTGCGCCTCCATGCGCGCATACAGACGACGCACGCCGCCCTCCATATCGGACCTGGGCGGCACGGGCAGCTGCTGCTCCAGGCCATACCTGTTCCATGTCCAGCCTGTGAACATATCTCTCTGGCACGCCCTGCTCCTCCATGCGCGCATACAGACGATGCACGCCGCCCTCCATATCGGACCTGGGCGGCACGGGCACCTGCTGCTCCAGGCCATACCTGTTCCATGTCCAGCCTGTGAACATATCTCTCTGGCACGCCCTGCGCCTCCATGCGCGCATACAGACTACGCACGCCGCCCTCCATATCGGACCTGGGCGGCACGGGCACCTGCTGCTCCAGGCCATACCTGTTCCATGTCCAGCCTGTGAACATATCTCTCTGGCACGCCCTGCGCCTCCATGCGCGCATACAGACGACGCACGCCGCCCTCCATATCGGACCTGGGCGGCACGGGCAGCTGCTGCTCCAGGCCATACCTGTTCCATGTCCAGCCTGTGAACATATCTCTCTGGCACGCCCTGCGCCTCCATGCGCGCATACAGACGACGCACGCCGCCCTCCATATCGGACCTGGGCGGCACGGGCAGCTGCTGCTCCAGGCCATACCTGTTCCATGTCCAGCCTGTGAACATATCTCTCTGGCACGCCCTGCTCCTCCATGCGCGCATACAGACGACGCACGCCGCCCTCCATATCGGACCTGGGCGGCACGGGCACCTGCTGCTCCAGGCCATACCTGTTCCATGTCCAGCCTGTGAACATATCTCTCTGGCACGCCCTGCGCCTCCATGCGCGCATACAGACGACGCACGCCGCCCTCCATATCGGACCTGGGCGGCACGGGCAGCTGCTGCTCCAGGCCATACCTGTTCCATGTCCAGCCTGTGAACATATCTCTCTAGCACGCCCTGCTCCTCCATGCGCGCATACAGACGACGCACGCCGCCCTCCATATCGGACCTGGGCGGCACGGGCAGCTGCTGCTCCAGGCCATACCTGTTCCATGTCCAGCCTGTGAACATATCTCTCTGGCACGCCCTGCGCCTCCATGCGCGCATACAGACGACGCACGCCGCCCTCCATATCGGACCTGGGCGGCACGGGCACCTGCTGCTACAGGCCATACCTGTTCCATGTCCAGCCTGTGAACATATCTCTCTGGCACGCCCTGCGCCTCCATGCGCGCATACAGACGACGCACGCCGCCCTCCATATCGGACCTGCGCGGCACGGGCACCTGCTGCTCCAGGCCATACCTGTTCCATGTCCAGCCTGTGAACATATCTCTCTGGCACGCCCTGCGCCTCCATGCGCGCATACAGACGACGCACGCCGCCCTCCATATCGGACCTGGGCGGCACGGGCACCTGCTGCTCCAGGCCATACCTGTTCCATGTCCAGCCTGTGAACATATCTCTCTGGCACGCCCTGCGCCTCCATGCGCGCATACAGACGACGCACGCCGCCCTCCATATCGGACCTGCGCGGCACGGGCACCTGCTGCTCCAGGCCATACCTGTTCCATGTCCAGCCTGTGAACATATCTCTCTGGCACGCCCTGCGCCTCCATGCGCGCATACAGACGACGCACGCCGCCCTCCATATCGGACCCGGGCGGCACGGGCACCTGCTGCTCCAGGCCATACCTGTTCCATGTCCAGCCTGTGAACATATCTCTCTGGCACGCCCTGCGCCTCCATGCGCGCATACAGACGACGCACGCCGCCCTCCATATCGGACCTGCGCGGCACGGGCACCTGCTGCTCCAGGCCATACCTGTTCCATGTCCAGCCTGTGAACATATCTCTCTGGCACGCCCTGCGCCTCCATGCGCGCATACAGACGACGCACGCCGCCCTCCATATCGGACCTGGGCGGCACGGGCAGCTGGCCGGACAGCAGCTGCGCCACCCACCGCGCCTGCAGCTGACACAGCGGGAAGGGGACGACCTGGGGGATGGGGGAAGGGACAGAGGGTAACGGGGAAAGAGGGAGAAGTTGCACCAGGAACACACGTACAGGAGGAGAGCCGCTGGGTAGCTACTGAGTACTAGTTGATGCTGGCCGGACAGCAGCTGCGCCACCCACCGCGCCTGCAGCTGACACAGCGGGAAGGGGACGACCTGGGCGGGGGTGTGGGGGGGCATATGGAGGAGAGTGAGGGAGGAAATGTTCGCCTCACCAAAGAATGTTAGCTTGCGTTGCCTAATAGTTCAATGAATATAATCAAGTATGAGACTCTTTGGAAAAACTAACAGGAAAAACCATGCGAGAGATATAGAGGGAGGAAAGGGAGATTTACCTTCCAGGGGAGGCCGATGAAGGAGAGTGAGGGGCCGAATGCGGGAGGGAGGGAGGAACAAGGGGAGTCACTCGACTGATTGAGAGAGGGGGGTTTGGAATAAGATTTACCTTCCAAGGGAGGCCGATGAAGGAGAGCGAGGGGGCGAGCGCAGGAGGGAGGACGTGGCGGAACAGGGGTGTCACGCGACCGGTATCGACAGAGAGGAGAGAGGGGGGGAGGGCGAGGAAGGGGAAGGAGTAGTGGTAGCTGCGTTGGGGGGAGGGGGAGCAGGGGATGCGGGAACAGGGGGAGGGGGAGCAGGGGACGCGGGAACAGCGGGGTGGATGGGGAGATAGATGGAGTGAGAATGGGAAACTGAGAGGGGAGATAGATGGAGAGAAGGGGAAACTGAGAGGGGGAAAGAATGGGAAGGACTGGGGGAAAACTGCGTATGACGCACCTCAAAACACCTATCTGCACACAGGGTGGGAATAACGAGTCGATATGCCATCAGCACAGGTGCAGTAGTATCATACCCAGTACAGTGCATGATGACGTCAGCATGACATGCGAACCCGTCTTCAAACTCCACTTTACCATCGGGATTGGCTTGCTTGATCTACACTTGAATCGCACGGAGGGAGGTGGGGAAACGGAGGGAGGTGGGGAAAACGGAGGGAGGTGGGGAAACGGAGCGGGTGGGAGGAATCGTTCAGGCGCCAAAGGAAATCCCAAGAGGAAAAGCGGTCAAGTGGTGGGGAATGACCCTCTCTGAAAAAGCAAGTAAATGAGAGGGTTTTGGGGTCGGGCACTACTAACCATGGGGTGCTGCTGCACTCTGCCTCTGAGATCCTCGAAATACCCCGTCTCGATTGCTCCCGTGGCCGCCCCAGCAGCAGCGGGGGAGGAGCGCCAGCCTCGCGCACAGATGTGCACCTCTCGTGCCACTGCTGCCAGCTCCCTCGCTATGTCCTGCCCACTCGCCTCTGCCCCCACCACCACCACCACCTGGGAAGGCATGGGGAAACAGGCATGCAAACGAGCAGAGCAGCAGAGGCGGCAAGTTCAGGAGACTGTCTTCCTTTGCTAGGGAGAAAAGAGAAGAGACGTCTTTGATAGAAGAGTCTAAAAAAAAGCGTCTTGAGACCCCTCTTTCCTCTTCGACAAAAGACAAAAGTCTCCTTTTACAGCACAGTGCTGAAAATGGTCAAACCCCTCTCCTCTCACCTTGCCTGCAAACCCCTCTGGGTGGCGGTAGTTATGGCTGTGTATTTGAATGCCTGGCCACGTGCCTACTCCTGGTTAGTTGGGACAGAAAATCAGAAAATAGGAGCATGGGAGGGTATGACAGGGGGTATAGCTTCATATATCTGGTTTTGTGAAATTAATCACCCTCTATCTCTTTTGTTTGAAGATTATAACGAGCCTAGTTCACAACTGGCCTACTGACTGTCTCACCTATCCGTTCGCCACTCACGCATTAGCCCATCTGCTCCCATTACAGTCTCACCCGCTATAGTTGCAATCTTGGGCTGTGAGTAGTGACCGTTACACACCACCAACGCATCAAACTCCCTCTCCTCCTCCTCTTCCTCCCTCCCTTCCACCCTCTCCCCATCCCCAACCCCTGCTGCTGCACCTGCCAGACCTCCTAGACTCCCTCCACCCGTGCTAATACTCCTATGCGGTCTAGAACGAGCAATCTTAAGACGCCATCTCACAACAGGAGCCTCAGTCCCTTCCGCGGACGCCTCTAGGAGTTCCCAACCCTCCCCCTCCCCGTGCGCGTTCCCCGCATTCCCCACCACTTGACCGCTTTTCCCCTCTTTCCTCGCTTCCGCTCCATTCCTCCCCTCTCCGCCGCCTCCCCCGTTTCTTCCGCCCTCCCCACTTTCTTCAACGGCTGCTTGGCGGGAAATCACAGGGACGGCCGAGATCACTCGAGTGTGGAGTTCCACGCGATTCGAGATCCCGAATCGCTCCGCGTACCGGCGGAGATATCGCAGCACCTCCCTGTGCGACGGAAACCGTCGCAGATCAGCGTCGTCCTGTCGCGAATCCGCGCTATTTCCGTCGCGCGAGTCCACGTCAGCATCGGGACAATCGCCGGGCAATGGCGCGGAGAAGGGAAAGTCCAAATAACCCATTAATTCTCGGGGTAAATTCGTCCTTAGCGACGCGTACATGCTGCTATGGACCTGCTGCCGGTTCGGATCTAACCCTAATAAATCCTCCGTTTCTATCCGCTCGTCATAAGCCCACACGCCGCCTATTTCACCCCCCGCTTCAATCACAGTCACGGCGTGTCCCTCTCGCATCAGCTCGCGCGCAGCGGCCAGTCCCGCGGCGCCTGCGCCGATCACGGCGACGTCGAGTCGCCGACGCCAGAGCGACGAGTCGGCTGTTGGTCGAGTCGACTCGCGGCTCGGGGGTGTGTTCTCTGACGAGACTGCTGAAGCCATTCCGACTAGCCCGCTTCGGTTACGCGAGTTCAGTGACGGTATAGCCTTATCGGGGAAGACTGAGACGAGGAAAGACGGCGTTCGGAAACGAAGCTCGGGCGGCGTTCGAGTGGAGAACAGAAATCGCCTGTCCAGGAAACGATGAGAGTGAAGGTTCTGAGAGGAATGTCGGGGAAGATCATCAAGTGCGGAAATACGCGCGCCGCAACCAGGGAGGACCCTGCTCGTGCGTTTCCGCGCGAGGCTACTAAGAAAGATACTATACGCGGCGGATTGCGCGATGAGCGGTGCGGCAAGCGCGTGAGACGGCATGTGGGCTTTAGTTCACCCTACCGCGTCGCATTTGAAAGGGGGAGGGGAGCGATAGATGGAAAGAGGGATGTGTAAAGCAGAAATACCACATACCGCTTCCCACCCACCCAGGGCTGTCGCTTGGTCACGAGGTTGAGGCCCAGGGAATCCTCGCTAACCCTGAAACGAGGCCTGAAATATCGGGAAAGCAGCCTGATCCAGCCCTTAAAAATCAGGCCATTTTGATTCCTGCTCTGAGCCACATGGATCAGAAACCTAAGTTAATCTAGCTACCTGCTTTACAGAGCAAAGAACGCTGGGGAAACAGTGGGGTGGAAGGGCTCCTAACCTCATCCGAAGATTCTTCCACACCCTTCGAATTGTTTCTATCACACATGACGTTTCTTTCCCAGGGAATTCCCACTCTTCAGTGACGTATTTGTGGAGCACTTTACAAACAAATCTCACAGGTTCGCGGATCAGGCACGCTGGTGCTTTCAGTGGAATCAATAGGCAGGCACCAAAACGACGGTGGGCTATGCCTCAGAAGTAGGTGTACTTTAAAGGGTACAATGACGTGACGGGCAATTTTCTAAACGACTCCGCTATACGAAGGTTCTACTGTCGAAAACTGAGCTATAACGAGGTATTTTAATGATGCTGTTTGTCGAACATTCGAAGATCTCCTCACCCTTCAAACTGTAATCATTATAAACATTACCCCCTCAGGGATTCCCACTCTTCAGTGACGTATTTGTGGCGAGCACTTTACAAACGAATCCCACATGGTGCTTGCGGCAGAATCAATAGCCAAGCACCAAACTGACGGCGGGATATTATTTCAAAAGAAGGTGCAATTAAAAGGTACAAACACGTGACGGGCAATCTTCTAAACGACTCCGCTATACGAAGGTTCTACTGTCGAAAACTGAGCTATAACGAGGTGTTTGAATGACGGTGTTTGTCGAACATCGAAGATTCTCCTCACCCTTCAAAATGTTTCTATTATAGAATTTACCCCTCTCAGGGATTTCCCACTCTTCAGTGAAGTATTTGTGGAGGAGCACTTTACAAACGAAACCCACAGGTCGCGAAAGGCACGGTGGTGCTTGCGGCACCAAAATGTAGGCAGACTATGATTTCAAAAGAGGTGCAATTTAAAGGGTATAAGCACGAGACGGGCAATCTTCTAAACGACTCCGCTATACGAAGGCTCTAATGTCGAAAACTGAGCTATAACGAGGTATTTCAATGACTGTGTTTGTCGAACATTCGAAGATTCTCCTCACCCTTCAAATTGTTTCTACTATAAAAAAAAACCTCTCAGGAATTGTCCACACTTTAATGACGTATTTGTGGAGGAGCACTTTACAAAACGAATCCCACAGGTCGCGGATCAAGCATGGTAGCGCTTGCGGCGGAATCAATAGCCAGGCACCAAAATAACGGTGGGCTATGCTTCAAAAGGAGGTGTAATTTAGCGGGTACAATAACGTCACGGGTACTCTTTTAAACGACTCCGACATTCAAAGGCTGTATTGTCGACAACTGAGCTATAACGAAGTATTCTAATGACGGTGTTCTTGTTAAACATTCAAAGTTCTTGCGCACCCTTCAATTTGTTTCTAGTTAATAGTTTACCCCTCTCAGGGAATGTCCACACTTAGAATTATCTCATCACAAGTTTTGATCGCAGGGATGCGCGAAATCGAAATGCCTTCAGCAAATCGTGATCATCCGTAACCAGCTTTCGTCCAAGCTGACCTTTTGGGCAAGCACAGAGCTCTGGTAACCACAAGCATTATACTACTACCAGGCGAGTGGCGTCAAAGTTCGCCCAGAAGCTGGAATGTTCGCCGTTCAAACTCCCCTTCGGGTTTTCGGGTTTTCCTAAAAAATCCGAAACCCGTTAGAGATTGCTTCAACCATATTGAGTAATTTGTTACGTTTTACTAACCGTTGAGTGAGCTTGTTCCTAGACTGCATAGAAAATACTCTCTCGCACTCCCTCGTCAGCGATGGGTTCCTCTCCGGCAAATTCCGCAGCTGCTTCCGCCATAGCTTCCGCGCAAAGTCCACCACTTGCGGGGGATACACCCGTCGCGCCACGCGCAGACGTGACGGCCCCTGCTCTGGCAGCTGACGTCGCGGCTGCTCCCGCAACGGTTGCGCCGCCAGCGAAAAATGAAGCGGACGGCGGAAAGCAGGCGGAAAGCCCAGTAGCGTCCGTGCCGCCTGCAATGGTTGTAGCGACTGTAGCGGCGGAAGTTGCGGCATCCGCGGACGGCGGGAAGCAGGCGGAAACCTCAGTAGCAGCTGCGCCGGCTGTAGCGGCTGCAGCGGCGGAAGGTGCGGCATCCGCGGACGGCGGAGGAGGACCGATGTGGAAGACGACTCTGTGCTCGTTCTTCCGCAAGCACGGGGAGTGCAAGCACGGCGCGCGGTGCAAGTTTGCGCACGGGGAGGCGGAGCTGCGCGCGCGCCCGGACGGGTCGTTTGACCCCACCTCCGCGCGCGGAGGGGCTAAGCGGAGCGAAGCAGGGGAAGCGGATCAGAGCAAGAAGGGGAGGAATCGGGGGAGGAAACGCGGAGGGGGAGGGTCTTGGGGGAGAGAGGCGGAAGAAGCGGAGGGTGGCGAGGACGAGGGGAAGGAAGGGGGGCCAGGCGGGGAGGGTGAGTGGAGTCGGCTTTGCGTGCAGAATATACCCAAGTGGTGGAATGTGAAGCACTTTCGCGAATTGCTCAACGAAATGGTGCGGACAGGTTACGTGTCAAGCTTTCTACAGTTCAAATTTTAAAACTCTCAGCCAGATACAAGATGAGGCATAGGGAGAACGACAGCCCAACCCCAAACCCTTCGTTAAACCCCTGATTCGTTAAACCTGTCCTCGCTAAACCCGAGTTCGCTATACCTCGGATTTTTGCCAATGAGCTCAACGCTTGCACTCAACAGTTCAGTGCTCCTTCCAAAGCCTTTTGGCATAAAACACTCAAGTTTCCCAAGCCATGGGCGTGTTTGCTAATCTCTCGTTCTGATCGTCCCTTGTCCTGTTATTCCGGGGCTCTCTGCTGGGCGGCAGGGTTTGGAGTATTGCGGGTCGAGGAAAAGCCAGGGTGTGGCGTTTGGGTTTGTGTCGTTTGAGACAGCCGCTGCAGCAGACAAGGCCACTCAGGTGAGAGTGGGGGCAAGCAAGGCGGGAAGGGGAAAGGCCGGTGAAGCAATTGGGAAAGGAGAAGGGACGAGCAGGTGGGATGTAGACAAGCAATCATCCCCTTAAATTACCCGTACTCCCATTTCCCCACGACATTTGCTGCTACACATGGCACGGCAGTGAGGAGCGAGGCATTGGATATGCCAGCACGCGATGTGTATATGGGGCACTTTGAATCTGCTTTCCCCATCCCCCCTCTTTCACCCACCTTCCCCCACTGCAAGTGCCCACTCCCTCACCCCACTTCTCCTCCCCACTCCCCCTCCGCACTCACCCATGCCACTCCATTGTTCTCTATATCAACAGCTGCTGCACGGCAAGCTGGTGAGGAACCAGACACTGGACGTGCAACCAGCACGGTACCAGAGGGAACTTCAGCATGGCGCATCACATGATATTATCACACCTATCGTGCCCCTTGCCCCAAACCCCATGCCCCAAACCCCAAACCCTCTCACTCGCAGCTGCTTCACGGTAAGCTGGTGAAGAAACAAACTCTAGACGTGCAGCCGGCACGGTACCGCACTCAGAAACAGACAGCATTTGCCGGCCAGGAGGGTGGCGAGGGGCATGAGGGCAAGAAGAGGAGAACCGAGGGGGGAGGAACGGGGGAGGCAGGGAAAGATGGTGGGAAAGAGGAGGGGGAGAAAGGTGGGGAGGGTGAGGATGAGGAGGAAACGGAAGAGATGGATGGGGAAGGAGACGATGGGGAAGAGGGAGGGACGGGAGGAGAGGGGGAAAGGGAGAAAGCGGAGGGGAGGGTGAAGAAGGAGGCGTGGGAGGCAGTGACGCCACTGGCAAGGATGGAGTATCGGGAGCAGCTGGAGATGAAGGGAGGACGAGTGGCGAAGGACTTGCAGCGGATTGTGACCAAGATGAGGAAGCTTTACTCAAGAAAGAGCTTTGCTCAGCTGCCTGAATGGATTAAGACTGCAAAGGCGAGAGGTGAGGGAGGGGCTTGACAAGGTGAGGGTGGGGTGAAGGATCTGCGGCGGATTGTGACCAAGATGAGGAAGCTGTATTCGAGAAAGAGTTTTGCTCAACTGCCGGATTGGATCAAGAGTGCTAAATGGAGAGGTGAGATGAAAGGGGGTTATCAGGGTTTGTGTGTGGGCGAAAGGACATGCAGTGTATTGTGTTGTGACCAAGATGAGAAAGCTTTACTTGACAAACCATATCTCCTCCCCCCTCATACGTGCCCATTCCCCCACCCCACCCCATCCCCCACAGCCCATCTCCCGTGTTTGTTTGAGGGAATCTATGCCTCTCCAGTGGTGGACGGGTATCGCAACAAGTGTGAGTTCTCCATCGGGCCGTCTGCTTCTGGTCAGCCCACCGTTGGGTTCCTTCTCGGAAACTTCCGGTGAGCAGCTCGCGTGGGTGGGGCGGGCAGGTGTGCCAGCAATAACAGAGGTGGGGACACCATAACGCGTGGGCCGGGCAGGTCTGACAGCAAGATGAAACGTGCATGAAACATGCAAGGGTTTTTATATATCATGCACGTTTCATCTTGCTGTCTGTCCCCTCTTTCCAGTGCCTTTTCTTTCTTCTTCCTTCTCACATCTTGCCTCATTGCAGCTCCTCTCATATGGCCCATAACGATGGGGTGACAGACAGCAGTTGCAGAGCCATCAGGGTGTCGAAGCAACATCTTCCCCACCACCATCGCATAGCCTTTGCACACCACACCCGGTACACCAATTGGTTGGTGTGGGGCTTGAGTCAACACTATGCTTATAGTGTCACCCCGACCTTTTCCATCCTCTCATTTCTACCCTGCCCTTCCCCCAGGGACGGTGTGACAGCAGTGGCAGAGCCATCAGGCTGTCGAAACATTTCCCCTATCGCCATCGCCTTTGCACGCCTGGTTCAGGAAGTGGTGCGAGAATCACCCCTGGCTGCGTGGGACAAGGTCAACAACCGGGGCTTCTGGCGGTTGCTTACAGTGAGTGGTCGGTGTGTGTGTGGGTGGGTGTGCACACGGATTGTTCTCATGCTCGTATGTGTTGTGTTTGTATACATCTCTGAATCAATGCACTTTTTCATCTCTGAATGTAGTTTATAATCACTCCAGAATGACCTCAATCTGCGTCGACATTGGTTCATCTCTTACTTTGTCCTCTCTGCATCCACGTCAACTGCAGGTGAGGGAAGGCACGGCCGAACCACTTACCCCCGCACCACATCCCGAGCCTGCTGCCGCTGCTGACGTGGCGCCCATGGACGTGGACCAATCAGCAGCCGCAGATGCTGATCAACCACCCGCAGAAAAGCAGGATGACAACAGTGGTACAGGGAATGAAGAGGGCACAAGAGGTGAAGGTGACACAAGGAATGACACAAGGGACGACACAAGGGTCGACACAAGGGTCGACACAATGGAAGGGAGAAGTTCAAGGGGAGGTGAAGGGCCAACGCACAGTGGCAGGGCGGCAGTGAATCAAGTGATGCTGCTGCTGCAGGTGAATCCTGCTGGTGCCGATCGGACGGTCGTGGATGCGGAGCTGAGTAGATTGACGGCTGAGATTGAAAGAGGAGCGGCGGAGCACAGCCCGCCACTGCCTCTCACTCTCATCCTTGTTCAGGTGGGACTGTCACTCTCACTCCTTTTCTCGCTCTCGCACTCACTTTCATTCCCGTTCTCACTCTCATTCTCATTCTCACTCTCATGCACTCACTCTCACTCTCAAACTCAACCTTATACTCTCACTCCTATTCCCCACTCTCGCTCTCGCTCTCACCACCTTTCGCACTAACATTCTGACCGTCATTCTCAGTCTCATTCATTATCTTTCTGGTACAATCTACCTATCTCCTTGCAGGAGCATTCAGGTGTGTCCAATGCAGCCCCTGAAACCTGCCCCATCCGTCTGCTCTACCCTCGCTCTAGTCTCACCCCGCCATCAGCAGCACTGGCGGGGAATGGGAGTGCGAGTGCAGTGCAATGGGAAGCAGATGTGCCCCTGGGGGAGGCACTTCAAGCACAGGTGCCGGCCAGTCAAGCAGCAGCAGAAGTAACAGAGGCAGCACCAGCAGCAGGAGAAGCAGAAGCAGGAGCAGGAGCAGCAGCAGCAGTGCAAGAAGCAGGAGTGGCAAGAGCAGAAGCAGCAGAGGCAGGGGAGGGAGCGTGTGACACACACATATACGATCATCTGTGTGGTCTCAAGTTCCGCCTCTCACCCACCTCCTTCTTCCAGGTAACACGCCTCTCCCTTTATCCTGGTAGAGAGTTGTAAAGTTATGTTTGAGATGCAGGAGCAGAAGAAGCAGTAACAGCAGCAGTGGTAGAGCAGTAAGCGTGTGACACGCACATATACGACCATCTGTGTGGTCTCAAGTTCCGACTTTCACCCACATCCTTCTTCCAGGTACCACATCTCTACCTCTCCGTTCCAGGTAGAATAGTGTGTAGCTTATCATGAGATGCAGGAGCAACAGCAACAGCAGCAGCAGCAGGGGCAGGGCAAGCAGCGTGTGACACGCACATATATGACCACCTATGTGGGCTTAAGGTGAATATTGAGTCGACTCAAAAGTCACCTCGGCAGGCAGCGTGTGACACGCACATATATGACCACCTATGTGGGCTTAAGGTGAATATTGAGTCGACTCAAAAGTCACTTCGGCAGGCAGCGTGTGACACGCACATATATGACCACCTATGTGGGCTCAAGTTCCGCCTCTCTCCCACCTCCTTCTTCCAGGTAATAAGCCACATGCGCCTCTCGAAAGCACGTAGCACGTTCGTTATGCCCTCTCATACTGCAACGTGTTCCCGCCTGTTTGACTTGTTTGGTATTCCCACCACCACTTATTGGCTGCCCCCCTTTTCACTCTCCCTCGACCTTTCCAATCCCCTCCCCCAGTTTCTTTCTCTCTCCCCTTACCCCATACAGACCACCTCAGCAGGAGCGCAGCTGCTGTATCAGCTCGCTGCTTCCTGGGTAGGCTTGGGGCCGCCTCCTCCCTGTGGCCCTTCTCTCACTCTACTCCCTCCTTTCTCTCTCGGCTTACCCCTTTTACCACCCCTCTTTCTTCTCTCTGTCTCTCCCCATACAGACCAACTCAGCAGGAGCGCAGCTGCTGTATCAGCTCGCTGCTTCCTGGGTCGGCTTGGGGCCTCCTCCTCCCTGTCCTTCTTTCACTCAACCCCTTTATCCATCTGCAACCCTTTTGTCCTTCCACTCCCCATCAGACCAACTCAGCAGGGGCGCAGCTGCTGTATCAGCTCGCTGCATCCTGGGTAGGCTTGGGGCCGCCACCTCCCTGTGGCCCTTCTCTCACTCTACTCCCTCCTTCGTCTCTCGGCTTACCCCTTCTACCACCCCTCTTTCTCTCTGTCTCTCCCCATCAGACCAACTCAGCAGGAGCGCAGCTGCTGTATCAGCTCGCTGCCTCCTGGGTGGGCTTGGGGCCTCCTCCTCCCTGCCCCCCTCCCGTGCTCCCTCCTCTCTTGACCAAGAAACAGCACCAGGGGCAGGAAGGGCAGGAGCAGCAGGAGCAGCAGGAGCAGGAGCAGGAGCAGGAGCAGAAGCAGGAGCAGGAGCAGAAGGAGCAGGAACAGCAGGGGCAGAAGCAGCAGGAGGAGGTGCAGCAGCAGCAGCAAGGGACGCAAGTCGACAAGAAGGGTGGAGTGTTGGTGTTTGATGTCTGCTGTGGCACGGGCACCATCGGCCTGTGTGTTGCCAAGCACTCTAAGAAGGTACACGCAGAACTATTCGAGGTCAAGTTAAAGTACAGCAGAGCTCACGGTGAGCCTGTGTGTTGTTTTGAGGTGCCGCAAAACCAAATAAAAAAGTACAGCAGAGCTCACGGTTGGCCTGTGTGCTGCACAACGCGAGCATTCGGTTTCAGAGTAAGCATAATGAAGCGGACTGATGTAACTCGGTTCTTCCCTCTTCATCTGCAGGTGATTGGAATCGAGATGAACGAGTCGGCAGTTGAGGATGCGAGGAGGAGACGTTTGATTGGTCTCGACTCACAGTCATCAAGGGGCGACAGTGTTACCCAATTCTTCTCTCTTCATAACTCGTCGCCTGCAGGTGATTGGAATTGAGATGAACGAGTCGGCAGTGGAGGATGCGAGGAGGAATGCAGCAATCAACGACATTCAGCATGCTGAGTTCATCGCCTCCCGGGTGAGCCTGTGCGGTGGGTTGAGGAGGGTTTGCTTGGAAGGTAAGTGCTTGTGGAGGGTTGTGGAGGGTTGCTTAGAGCATGCTTGCTTAGAGGACGAGGAATGCGGCCATCAACGGCATCCAGCATGCTGTATTCATTGCCTCCCGGGTGAGCCTGTGCAGTCGGGTAGTGATCGCTGACGTGTTCCTCTCGTGCTGATGTGTCCCTCTTTTGCTGACGTGTTGCTGGCGTGTCCCTCTCTTGCTGATGTGTCCCTCTCTTGCTGATGTGTCCCTCTCTTGCTGACGTGCCCTTCTCATGCTGACATGTCCTTCTCTTGCTGACATGTCCCTTGCTGACGTGTCCTCTTGCTGACTGTCCCTCTCATGCTGACGTGTCCATCCCGTACTGTCCATCAATGCAGGCTGAGCTGGTGCTGCCAAAGCTCCTCCATAAGTACCTCCCCCAGGTGAAGCCTGCCCCTGACAGCCTCCCCCAGGGGAATGAGGGAAAGGAGGGGCAGCAGCAGGAGGAAGAAAACGAGGGGAAGGAGGAAAGGAAGGAGGAAGGGAAGGAGGAAGGGAAGGAGTTTGAGTTTTCTCGAGTCGTGACAATCGTGGACCCTCCAAGAGCTGGTCTGCATCCAACGGTAATTCCTTGCTTCCGCACAGCCAACGGCAACAGCCCACACGTGCATACGCATATGCACACACACATGCATGCACACACACATACAAGAACAAAAACGAGCCGTCGTTATTTTTCCTCGCTCACTTTCCCTCTATCCTGCCTCTCTGCACTCCCACAATAGGTGCTTAGGGCCCTTCGGGAGAATTCCAAGATCGAGCAGCTGCTGTAAGCCCTCTCCTCCCCTTCTGACATTTGAGTCAACTCAAAAGTCACTCTTGAGTCAACTCAAAGCCACTTATGAGTCAACTCAAAAGTCACTCTTGAGTCAATTCGAAGTCACTTCTCAGTCAACTCAATAGGCAACAGGTGCTTAGAGCCCTTCGGGAGAATCCCAAGATCGAGCAGCTGCTGTAAGCCCTATCCTCCCCTTCTGCATGAAATGGTGCAAATTTTATACGCGACTGAAAATCGCCTCATTAACTTTCAAGATACCCGTTTTTTTGCATAGGCCATGGCTGGGGAGCTGTTTCGGCCATAGGCCATTGAGAGCCGTGGCTGTGGATTAACCTGGTTCCCCACACACCCTTCCCTCCGGTCCCTCCCTCTTCGCCCTTCCCGCTGCTCCTCTGCTTCCCCCAGCTACATCTCATGCAATCCCTCGTCTCTCATCGCAGACGTCCTAAACCTCTGCTCACCTCCTCCGCCAGAAATCATCTCTGCCTTTCTCCTACCTTTCCCCATGTCCCCTCCCCATTACCCCTTCCCCACAGCTACATCTCATGCAACCCCTCGTCTCTTGTTGCAAACGTCCTAGACCTCTGCTGGCCGCCTCTGGAGCTCAAGAAGCCGCAAGCAGGGGGGGGGGGGGTGGAGCAAGTGGGGGGGTTGAACCTCTGCTCGCCTCTATTCGACCTTTCAATCCCCTTCTTCTCCACCCCCCCTTTCCCCACAGCTACATCTCATGCAACCCGTCTTCTCTCGTCAACAACGTCCTAGACCTCTGCTCGCCTCTATTCGACCTTTCAATCCTCTTCTTCTCCACCCCCCCTTTCCCCACAGCTACATCTCATGCAACCCGTCTTCTCTCGTCAACAACGTCCTAGACCTCTGCTCGCCTCTATTCGACCTTTCAATCCTCTTCTTCTCCACCCCCCCTTTCCCCACAGCTACATCTCATGCAACCCGTCTTCTCTCGTCAACAACGTCCTAGACCTCTGCTCGCCTCTATTCGACCTTTCAATCCTCTTCTTCTCCACCCCCCCTTTCCCCACAGCTACATCTCATGCAACCCGTCTTCTCTCGTCAACAACGTCCTAGACCTCTGCTCGCCTCTATTCGACCTTTCAATCCTCTTCTTCTCCACCCCCCCTTTCCCCACAGCTACATCTCATGCAACCCGTCTTCTCTCGTCAACAACGTCCTAGACCTCTGCTCGCCTCTATTCGACCTTTCAATCCTCTTCTTCTCCACCCCCCCTTTCCCCACAGCTACATCTCATGCAACCCGTCTTCTCTCGTCAACAACGTCCTAGACCTCTGCTCGCCTCTATTCGACCTTTCAATCCTCTTCTTCTCCACCCCCCCTTTCCCCACAGCTACATCTCATGCAACCCGTCTTCTCTCGTCAACAACGTCCTAGACCTCTGCTCGCCTCTATTCGACCTTTCAATCCTCTTCTTCTCCACCCCCCCTTTCCCCACAGCTACATCTCATGCAACCCGTCTTCTCTCGTCAACAACGTCCTAGACCTCTGCTCGCCTCTATTCGACCTTTCAATCCTCTTCTTCTCCACCCCCCCTTTCCCCACAGCTACATCTCATGCAACCCGTCTTCTCTCGTCAACAACGTCCTAGACCTCTGCTCGCCTCTATTCGACCTTTCAATCCTCTTCTTCTCCACCCCCCCTTTCCCCACAGCTACATCTCATGCAACCCGTCTTCTCTCGTCAACAACGTCCTAGACCTCTGCTCGCCTCTATTCGACCTTTCAATCCTCTTCTTCTCCACCCCCCCTTTCCCCACAGCTACATCTCATGCAACCCGTCTTCTCTCGTCAACAACGTCCTAGACCTCTGCTCGCCTCTATTCGACCTTTCAATCCTCTTCTTCTCCACCCCCCCTTTCCCCACAGCTACATCTCATGCAACCCGTCTTCTCTCGTCAACAACGTCCTAGACCTCTGCTCGCCTCTATTCGACCTTTCAATCCTCTTCTTCTCCACCCCCCCTTTCCCCACAGCTACATCTCATGCAACCCGTCTTCTCTCGTCAACAACGTCCTAGACCTCTGCTCGCCTCTATTCGACCTTTCAATCCTCTTCTTCTCCACCCCCCCTTTCCCCACAGCTACATCTCATGCAACCCGTCTTCTCTCGTCAACAACGTCCTAGACCTCTGCTCGCCTCTATTCGACCTTTCAATCCTCTTCTTCTCCACCCCCCCTTTCCCCACAGCTACATCTCATGCAACCCGTCTTCTCTCGTCAACAACGTCCTAGACCTCTGCTCGCCTCTATTCGACCTTTCAATCCTCTTCTTCTCCACCCCCCCTTTCCCCACAGCTACATCTCATGCAACCCGTCTTCTCTCGTCAACAACGTCCTAGACCTCTGCTCGCCTCTATTCGACCTTTCAATCCTCTTCTTCTCCACCCCCCCTTTCCCCACAGCTACATCTCATGCAACCCGTCTTCTCTCGTCAACAACGTCCTAGACCTCTGCTCGCCTCTATTCGACCTTTCAATCCTCTTCTTCTCCACCCCCCCTTTCCCCACAGCTACATCTCATGCAACCCGTCTTCTCTCGTCAACAACGTCCTAGACCTCTGCTCGCCACCTCCCGAGCTCAAGAAGCCGCAAGCAGGAGGCGGGGGGTGGAGCAAGTGGGGACCGGCAGCAGGGCAGAGGGCCATGGCTGGGGAGCCATTTCGTCCTGTGAGAGCTGTGGCGGTGGATTTGTTTCCGCACACGGAGCACTGTGAGGTGGTGATGCTGCTGGAGAGGTAGCAGGGGTGCAGTGGGGTTCTCTGCTCGTCCCTGGGGAGCCGTTTCGGCCTGTGAGGGCCGTGGCTGTGGATTTGTTTCCGCACACGGAGCACTGTGAGGTGGTGATGCTGCTGGAGAGGTAGCATTGGGAAGGGGGAGGGTAGCAAGTGGGGGCCGGCAGCAGGGCAGCAGGCCATTGCTGGGGAGCCGTTTCGACCTGTGAGAGCCGTGGCGGTGGATTTGTTTCCTCACACGGAGCACTGTGAGGTGGTCATGCTGCTGGAGAGGTAGCAGGGGAGGGAAGCAAATATGTGCTCACAACTGTCGGAGTTAAAAAAACCGGTGCATTATGTGTCACGTTATTCTTCCTGCAGTATGATGACATTGTGAAAATGTACCCTACTTAGTACACTAACAATTATTGCAGTGTTTCAAACATCCAAAATCAGGTAATCTGTAGAAGGGCAATTTTCCAATATTTTACAGATGCAAAAGCACAGAATTCTTACAGCATTTCTTTTGGACTAAACGGCTACGTGCTGTCATGTAACATTATCTTTTCATTGACTTGGCTATTCTCTGCAGATGGAAGTTTATTGTGTTTCTGGTCTTGCCTTTGGACCTCTGCATGTACACAAATACAACACCACAAGAAAGATGAGAGATGGGATGACATGAGAGTGAAGAACGGGATATTAAGATTGTCTACACCTACGCAAATGCACACAGACACTGCAGCACATGTACGAGAGGGGAGAAAAAGGATGTATGGAAAACAGGGACGGAAAGAGGGGTGTCACAAAAGTGAGGAATGAGGGCCAACAACGTTCTAGAAAACATATGCGGGACTGTTAAAATGGGAGGGGAGGGATGAGAGGAGGTATGAGAGCAGAGACGAGAGGAGGGAAGAGAGAAGAGATGAGTGGAGGAGCGAGAGGAGGGAAGAGAGGAAGGAAGAGTGGAGGGATGAGAGGACGGAAGAGAGGAGGGACGAGAGGAGGGACGAGAGGAGGGATGAGAGGAGGGATGATAGGAGGATGAGAGGAGGGAAGAGAGGAGGGATGAAAGGAGGATAAGAGGAGGGAAGAGAGGAAGGAGGAAAGGACGGAAGTGAGGAGGGATGCAAGGAGGGATGCGAGGAGAGAAGAGAGGAGGGATGAGAGGAGGGATGGATGAGAGGAGGGAAGAGAGGAGGGATGAGGAGAGGGATGAGAGGGGGGAAGGGAGGAGAGAAGTCACCCATGCCCAATCATGGCTGATCAGGAACGATCATGGCGCTCAAGGCCGATCATCGTCGTTCATGGGCGAGCACGGGCGATCATGGGCGACCACGGACAATCATGGGCGACCACGGGCGATCGGGCAATCACGGGCGATCATGGCGAACTAACCAGGGTGTCCACGTCGAGCGCGAAGAGGTGCTTCTGGCAAGGGCGAGCACAGGAGATCGCGACATGGCGATCCTGGGCGAACATGGGCGATCGCAAGCGATCAAAGGCGAACTGACCTGCGTGTCCATGCACGCGTCGAGCGCGGTGAGGTGCTTCTGGCACGGCGTTGTGTCGAACGCGTTCTCCTTGATGCAGCTCATAAACGCCATCATCTCCGTGAAACACGGCAGGGTCTTCCTCCCCCCCATGTCCTTAGGGTTCACCTTAATCACCTCCGAGACCTTCTTTCTCGCCATCGCGCAGGTCTCGTTACCTAGCACTCCAGTTACTGTGTATCCTAGTTACCCTGAATTCTGGTTCCCCTGGATCCAACGAAGGTTTGTAGCTGAAGTCGTTACGGAGATTGAGCTGGTGGAGGGATCGAGCGCCGCTGAGTAGGCTACTAATGGTCAGAGGTGCAAATCAGCGTGCTGATGTGACTGTGCGGCTGCTGCTACCATATTACCAGCAGTTACCGAGCTGGTAATCCGCGGACCTGATCAAGAGGTCTGCTGACCTGGTCCCTACGACCTGAGACCACCTGATCCAATGACGGGAAGGCGCAAAGAAGGATTTAGTGCCGTCACGCGAAACCCACTCACGAGACAGGCACAGTCTAGGAACAAATCAATGAAGAGGATGACGGAGGGACTTACGTCTTATACCCGTTAACATATACTCACTATGGTACTAATAAGCTACTCTTTGTTCGTGGTTAACAAAAACAAATAGTCATAACTGTACATCCGAACCACTTGGTGGTCAGTCGTCATCCCGTGGTGAAGTGTAAGTCGTCCAGTGGTTGGGGACGACAGTCGCCGACACTTTTCGTCCAATCATGGAAGGCTGACAAACGGATGCGACGCGACAGGCTGGTTAGGGTCTTGAAGACGAGCCAAGCGACGACTGAGCGAGTCGTACGCCTTTTGCGGGCGAGGTTCGGATAGCTTGTAATATTCATAGATAATTACCCTGACGCTGGGAAAAGTTTCACTGCAACGAAACGAAATGCTCGACCAAAACCCATCCCCATAGCGATTTGAAGTTACATAATAGAAAAACTCTCTGCCATAGTCCTTGAGGTATCCTTACTGTACCACCCCCCCTCACGAAGATCTCTCCAGCCCGCCCCGAAAAAAAAAAACGAATAGGTTTTGTTCAACGGTTCCTTTCCCGCGCCTTCGTTCGAGACCGTTCCCGTGGCGCCTTGTATGGCGCAATGCATGCTGGCGCCTTCTCACCGACGTTTCAACTTTCAACAATTTCGAGCGTCGGCTTTCGCCTCGGAAGAGTTTGCGTGTGCGCCTACAACGCAACCAAAAGACTCGGGCAACAATCTCCCAATGGACACCCAGATTGCGCCATTTGAAAGTCTTTCGGCTGCCTATCAGACCAACACTTCTTGTTCTTTTACCATTTGTGTGCGTTATCATCGCCCACAATGGCACCAAACATCTGTCGCGTAGAGCCTGCGCCCATTGCATTTGGAACAATCCCGCAAGCCAAACCACCTGCTGCGAGCAACAGCGATGGCTTTCGCAGTCTTCAAAAAGATGAGCGCAGCGACGAACCAGCAACAGCAGCAGCTCCCGACCTTCTCCATCAATCCAAGCCCCAAACTTCAACGAAGGCAGCTTCAGAACCGTCAACTGACACCCAGTCGACAGTCAATGGAGGAAGTGCACCATTCAGTGAGGAGTGTGCTTCTGCTAAGCCGCCACCGCAGAAGGTGGCCCAGCAGTACCTCAAATCCCGGTTCCTCGGCTTGACTGCAGACCAGATTAAGACGCTGTTCCACCTCTCTGTGAACAGCAGCCCGCGCATGCTCCTGCCTCTCGTTGCAGCGTTAGCCGTGCAGCTGACTCGGCACATGAAGCAGGAGGACTTCCTCAGCCTCTGGCAGCAGGTGCTTCAACTGGACCTGTCATATGCAATTGCGGCCTTTTCCGCGGTCATTTTCGCTGTTACAGTCTACGTGCTCACCCGTCCCCGGCGTATCTTCCTTGTTGATTTCGCCTGCTATCGCCCGCCGGAGCACCTTGTCATCACGAAAGATGTCGCGCTCGATCGGGTAACGCGACTCGGCTACTTCGACGAGAAAAGCAGAGAGTTTCAGACGAAGGTGTTTGAGCGATCAGGTCTCGGCAACAGAACGTACTTACCACCGTCCATGCACACGTGGCCTCCTTCTCCTTCCATCTCCAACGCTCGAGTTGAAGCCGAGATGGTGATTTTTGGAGCGATGGACGAGCTGTTTGCCAAGACAGGGGTCGACCCTAAGGACGTCTCTATTCTCATAGTCAACTGCACAATCTTCTGCCCGACACCGTCGCTGTCTGCCCTGGTGGTTAATCACTACAAGATGCGTGAGGACATTCAGTCGTACAACCTAGGCGGCATGGGGTGCAGCGCGAGCGTCTCTGCTGTGAAGCTGGCCGGCGACCTTCTTCAGTCGCAGCCGAACAAGTACGCGGTTATTGTTTCCACGGAGAACATCACGCAGAACGCGTATCTCGGTAACCGCCGCTCCATGCAGGTTACCAACGTTCTGTTTCGCATGGGTGGAGCCGCTGCGCTCATCTCCAACAAGCCGCGTGATGCCTGGAGGGCGAAGTACGAGCTGGGTCACGTAGTTCGTACGCACTTGGGCGCAGACGACAAGAGCTACAAGTGCATTTACCAGGAGCTGGATGAGAACAAAATCTCCGGCATCATGCTCTCTCGCGAGCTCATGACCACAGCTGCTCAAGCGCTCAAGGCCAACATCACAACCCTTGGACCCCTGGTGCTACCGCTTTCAGAGAAGCTGATCTACGCTGCAGCTTACATCGCCAGGCGCGTCTTCAGAGCGAACATTAAAGAGTACGTGCCGGATTTCAGGCTCGCGTTCGAGCATTTCTGCATCCATCCTGGTGGCCGTGCTCTGTTGGACGAGGTCCAGAAAGCTCTCAACCTTTCGCCTCACGACATGGAGCCAAACAGAATGACTCTCTACCGATGGGGCAATCTCTCATCCGCCTCTATCTGGTACGAGCTGTCGTACCTCGAGGCTAGGGACCGCGTGCAGCGTGGAGACCGCGTGTGGCAGCTCGCGTTTGGAAGCGGATTCAAGTGCCAGAGTGCCACATGGAAAGCTCTTCGCAGCATTCCTGGTGATAAGAATGGAGGTCCCTGGGCTGAGAACGGTGAGGTGTCTACACCACCCCCAGGTGAGGCCATGTAGGGTCTTCCAGATTAGGTGTGCACATGTGCTATGCTATCTGTTATTTTATGGTAATATTGAATAAATTCATCTTGTACTTACGTACATACAACAGCACAACACAGAATACTTCTAAGCATGAATGTACAGACAGATCCCTCCAAAACAGATCAGAGATTACTTGCTTTGGCAAAGCATGCCAATTCATCTGCATCCCTTCTAGCAGTTTAGCAGGGTTCACCAAAGCTGAGTTTGTGTTGCATTACAGCAGCTGCATGGCTTTTCACAATCTCCGCTGCTGACTGACCTGGGCGAATGGTGTACCCAAACTCTCCATCTGCATCAAAGGAACACAATGAGCTTCGGATATTGAAGCAACACCGTGCAGCCAATTCTTTCGTAAATGCATACGGTACATACCTGGGCTCTTGAAGACCCAGACATTGTCCCCTTGCACGGTTCCATCCTCAACCATGGAGGTGTAGAGAGCATCGTATATGGCTGTCAGAAACCTGCCAGTAAACGAACAGCACATCGTCAACCATCGATAACAAGTTTTGCAGGCTTCCCTGAATCCAAGATCGGCAGCATACACGTTTCTTGAGGTGAATGTCCCATTGACGATAACATCCTGCATTCCAAACTCCTCCCATACTAGGGGCTTATTTAAAACATCCTGCATATGCAAGAATGATCAGCAGATATGTTGTGAAAGAAACCACCACTCGGAGAGGGGACAAAAAAAAATGTAACTCGTACACGAGCATCTTGATTGTGTGCCGTAATCCAGTTCTGTATGAATGACAGCTTCGCTGATGTATTCTGCTGGTTTCCAATCCAGTTCTCGGACCTGGATTTCTCACCACATGAGTTTTGCAGGCCCACACAGTAAGGGAATTTCAAGCTGTCTCACTTACCAAATGTGTGCAACTGCAAAGTCAATTGCCCAGAACCTGTTGTTGCGTATGAATTCCTGCCCCGTCTGTGTTGCCCAATGGCCCCAAGGCTCTGAATGCCGGCAAAACATGTTAGGCTAAGCCACAAGGAAACAGCAACAAGCAAATATCTCACCTCCTGGATTGATGGACGTGTGGTTCTGATTTTCTCCGTAGAATCCCTCAAACCCAGTTGCAACCAAATGATTGGGATCGATTTTCTGAAAACAGGCAGACAAGATTAGCCACGCGAGGCTAAGCACCCGGCCGTAAACGTGCTTGTCAGAAGTACCTTAAGGTATGTTGACATCATTTCAGTCCAACTCTGGACAGAATCTTGACAGCCATCAGTAAAGCACCTGCAAATCAGACATTAGACAAACAGAAGAACGAAGCCCACACTATGTTGGGGTTTACTTCCCATACCTTGGCTCATTTAGCAGGTTCCAGCCCAGGATAGTCGTATCATTCAAATATCTGATGCCATTGTAGGTGTTCACCCTTGAAACTAGCATCTGTTGAAAGACAAGCTCTCAGCGATAGTGTTTTCGCAACCGAATTGGCCCCAAGAACGACAGATACATCTGCTCACGTACCTTCATGTAGTTTTGATAGAGTCCTTGGCAAACAGTGCTGTTAAAGAACAAGTCCGTGTGATTCAGTCCAGCCCACCTGATGTACTGCATCCGAACACGAAAGAGTGTGAGAATCAAACAGTCAGGCAAGAAGAATCAAACGTCTGGGCGCATACCTTATTCACTCCATCTCCCATACCCCAAAAGTTGGAAAAGGCAATCATCGCTCTGATGCCACGAATTCTAGCTTGAGCGAGGACGAAATCCAGCCCTGCTTACATAGTGGCAAGGGGGACACATCAGAACGCTAATCATGGATTATGGCACCAAAGTGCGGCTCTGATGTTTTTGGCGTACCTCTTAGTAGGGTTTGATTGTACACCCCGGGGCTTAGCTGCACAGGTGAGCTTGCTCTGTGATGACACTTGCTCAGGTAAGTAAAAGGAAACAAGAGTACCGCAATATCCAAAATGGCTGGCACGCACTGTGTTGAAAAGCCCCAGGTCCGGACAACTGAGAGATTCATGGATACCATGTCATCCAGCGTCGCGTTCACCTACACATAGGCAACAGGAGTATGAGCGAGGGCATGAAAACAATAGGAGAATAGTACGACTTACTGTCCCCATGGTGCTTGGATTACTCGCATTCTGAGGAGCAAAAGCCATGTTAGTAAGATTGAACGAAACACATCGCGTGGAAGACATGCTGCTTGAAGCAACCAACCTGCATGAGGTCCCACGAGTTGCATCCGGAAAACACGAACTTCCGGCAATTGAGGTAGAAAGACCCATTTTCAACTATCACATAACCTGCACGAAAATTGTTAGTGGGAATTCATGAACACTTATGGACTCCAATTGCCCGATTAGTACCTCTCGTTGGTACCAATTGGCTCTGCGAACCATCAAACGTCGCGTCAGTGCACTGAGAATCAACAAAGACAAGCTAAACCACAGGCATACCATTGCTGGTGAAGCAAGCAGGCCTAGACCGGCAAGCACAAGCACTGGAAACATGAGCCCGCCCATGCTTCTAGGCGCTGAACCAGAACTGTGAGAAGCTTGGGTCGGTGTCGAATGACAGCTGGAATGGTGAGGCATTTTTGCACGAGGGGTCTTTTTCAGCTGTGATTTCTCCCAACGTACTCGATAAGTGCAGAAACAGTGTGAATTTTGAACAGCTCCGTAACGAGATTGCCTTTGTAAAAAACTGTTGTTTCAGCCATCAGTACACTTTTTCAATCTACCAATAGTCTATCCGTACGTAACGTCCTTTCATCCAGTAACAACAGCCTTTTTAGCCAAGCAGGAACATTGAGCAAGAATTGACTGATCAGCAGTTCCTGCGGTACAAAATCTCCATCGTGCTGACTAGCTGCTGATCCCCTGATACATCAAGGCCACCTGCGGACCCTACTTTTGATGTGTATTTGACAATGTGTTGGCCTGGAATATGCATTTACGACCTTCCGCCATAGCCTCCAACAGGGCCACCACCACCAGTTTGCTGCAAAAAAAAACAAAGTGAACCAGATGTAGTGCAAGTCGAATTGTCAGCAGAGAACAAACGAAAATAAGAAAGACAGCGGCAACAGTCTAGATACAACAGTACGAATTCGAGGGAACGTAGTTTGATGGCTGCTTGAAATGTGCATTCTTAAGCAAGATAGCAGATAAGGGGAGATTACAGTATGAGGCTTTGAGACACTCACAGGCTGAACCAGAGTGACACCAGGAAGGGTAGCCATATTGATGGCCTTGAGCATGTCCAGGGTAACAGGGTCAACCTGAGAGCATCATGATGGGGAACGCATGTATGAAAATTGAGACGAGGATTCTCAGGTAGCTTCTCTGCATTACCTGGAAAGAAGAAAAGAATCCCTTTTCACGACCCGAGCATTGCAGCGATGTGACAAGAGGGAATCAAGTTGCATATACAGGGCCCACGAATTCATTCAGCTAACGATCTGCGCAATCCATACTGCATCTGCCTGGCTACCATAATCCGAAGTCCAGAACTGCGTACGGAAACTAATGATCGTTCCTGACTCATGTTCTGACGACGAAAACCCGTACTCACTCACGAATGGATCGGCTGCTTCCTTTAAAAAAACACTTAATGAGCTGCATTGACCCGCCAGTCCACTCATTCCAAAAACAGCCGAAATACTCGAACAGAGCGTCAACAACACCCGACGTCAGCATCAGCGGCAGCTCCACTGATCCAGGCCATTTAAACCCCTTAGACAATCTATAACTTGTGCCTGAGAACGTCGCGGCTGGACTACCGTGAAACGATTTGGCAAAAAGGCTTCAATACCGCGTGCCTTGACACGAGGAGGGCATGTTCTCTAATGGCTTCAACGACGACGGCGTATCAACGAGCTCAGCTGGCTACTTCCGAAAACGCGGGATTCCAAAGCCCGCACAAGCCTTCTGCGCCAGAGCCCACAGCGAGTGCGCATAATAATAACGGCTCTTCAAAACCTGCGTTGGGTTGATCGGTTCGAAGACGGATAGTGTCGCCTAAAGGAGCTAACCTGTCATGCTTGACTAAAACACTCGCTACAGTGGCTCTCCACGCCTTGAGGATGAACGCCGAGCTTCGTTAAACCGAGTCCGAGACGCCTAACCCCGGCTTCAGAACACCTTATCGTCGATCAGTTCATCTGCTTCAAGTAACGTCGGCATCTACGAACGACTTCCATTCTGCTTATAACCGCTAATCACTTAACGGCTGCCATAGGAGTCGCCAGGCTGCTAACGAACGTTGCTGTCCCCCTGCTGCTGATACCTACATCAGTCGCCGGTCTGTATGTTTGCTTGCCGGCCGGTCGGTTTGCTTGTCTGCCTGCCCATCTGGTTGCATGCCCGACTGATTGCTTTCATGCCAGCCAGCGCGCCTGCAGACCGCCTGCCTGTCCAGCAGCTTGGGTGCGCTGTCTGGCTACTTGGGTGCCAGGGTGCCAATTTCGCATTTTCGAGGGCTCAAGCTGATGCTTGCCTGCCTGAGTGCCGTTCTCGCATTTTCGAGGCCTCAAGCTGGCGCTTGGCTGCCTGAGTGCCCACTCACCTCAATGACGTCCGTCTTGATGGCAGACTCGTCAGGGACGAAGTCCATGCGCCGCTCCCTCTCCTCCTCCTGCAGCTTCAGCGAAATGCCGCGCACAGGGCCCTTCTGAATGCGCTTCATCAGGTGCGTCGCGAAGCCGGCGATCTTGTTGCGGAGGCGCTTCGTGGGGATGACTGCCACCTCATCACAGATCTTCTTGTTCGTCTGGAAGTCGAGCGTCATGCGCGAGTAGTACTTCTCGATGATCAGCCGCGCTGAACGCTTCACGGTCTTTGTACGGACGCGACCCTGGTGGGTGCGCAAGGATGGGATGACGAAAGGGACGGCAACAAAAGGGGCAGGCAAGGAAAGGGAGGGAGACAGAGGAACTAAAGAATCAGAGAAAAGCGAAGAAAAACAGGGCTATGAGATGGACGTAAAAGAGTAGATTGAAGGCATGAAACCAAGTAAGGGGATTACAGGTAAGGTCAAAGCAAAAGGGACGTAATCCTAACTCTAGCTGGCCTGGGTCAAAACCGAAGGTAACTTAAACCCCATGACTACGACGCGCGCCAAAAATCCCATTTCTATGAAATACTGTCCGTTTTCTTTTTCTTACCATCTTGACTCGCTACGAAGTAACGGCTGAGAGGGGGGAGGACCTCCACTAGTGAGAAAATTAGGGTAAGGAGAAAAGGGAGGAAATTGGGAGGGAGGGGGCTATTCAGCACGAGGGAGGAGAAACGAAGGGACAGAGCAGGAAGAGAGAAGGGCGGGGTGTAGAGGGAAGAGGGAGAGTCAAGGTACGGGAGAGACAGAAGGCACGGGAGGCACGGAGATGTGAAGCACAGGAGGCACGGTTGAGCACGGTTGGGCACGGGAGCTATGGGAAGGGGCAGCGGAAGGGGGAGACCGTATGGTTGGTGAATGCCCAACGGCAAATTGGGCGTCGCAAAACTACTACCATCAAGCTCTCAAAATTCTGACGATTCTATTACAAGTGGATACGTTAATGGCAGTAGCGTGTTCAAACCACGCATTGTTACCGAGGTTGACCATATGCGTCATTTGTCAGACCAGTTTGGCCGAAACGCTTCCTTCGCCGCACCGCCCTCAGCCGCATAAAATTTGACTTTCCCGCCTAAACTATTCTCGTTGCCGACAAATTCCGAAGGGACGATTTTGACACCAAGAAAGATGAGGCTTCTTCAAGAAAACAAGGGGGTGAAAATCTGGGCATTCGGCCCCACACAAAAAATGGACCATACATTCTTTTGCTCCAACAATAAGGTGGTCGGCGGCACAGCCATCGCCTCTTTGAACTAATTGGTCGGGGCGAAACGACCATATTGCAGAACTAGCATCCATCTGGCGAAGCCTCGCATCAATTGTGCAGGAACTCGACATCTACAGCAGAGCTTATGAGCGATTTGTGCCCGAATGATACGAGCTTGGAAGTAAGAGAGCCGTAGGGACAAACATAAGTCGAAATGATAGCGATTTTGGACTGCAAACGCCAAGTTACTAAACGTCGCAAAACGTAATTCTTGTGTGCAAATGCCAAGCGCCAAGGTAGTAATCTTATCGCGCTCTGTGCCTATCACCTTCACCATCCTTCTTCTGCTAGTAGTTCCGCTTTGCTTCCACTCCGTCTCTTGGTGCTCGGCGGAGATCTGGACATCAGATAAACTGTTTCTGCCGCAAAAACATGATAGTCCGAGAACTTTACGGCGGCAGATTGCGAAAGAATCCCTTAATAGCTCAAGAACATTGGTTAAGTCTGGCAGAACTTCGTCGTATATACTTTCTAAGGGACGTGGCAGTCTTCGTCCGCGTGATGTGGAGCAGAAAAGAACAGCGACGCGGTTAGACTTTGAAGACGGAAGGTCGGCTTTTCTCAAAACAGGGTCCGCAAACACCAGCAGAACAGTGAAGCAGCTGTATTCGGCGAACGGAACCGAAAATGCTGAGAGAGCAGGTGCAAGATCAAGGTTACGAAAGCCAACAGCACCACGAGAACGCCGAGCGAGGGTTCTGGCGGAAAAGCGTTATAGCGGGTATACGACGGTTAGCGAAGTCACAATTCCGATCAAAAAGCCGAAGATCGTAGCACCGTGTCGACTCATTCTCCTGCGAGACGCCGCGTTCGCGAACACCTCTAACCAGCCCACGATCCAAGTCGCCTACACACCGCCTGCTGGGTGCGGCTTGGTACGTGTTCTGGTTCTCGCCTAGTAATGTTTGGCAAGGTACTACTGACTGGTACGTGTTTTAAGTTCTGCCGGTGCTGTTTGACGCATAAAGGTTGCCGCCGTGCTGTTGCGAACGTGCTTCATTTCTGAAGCCCTACACGCACCTGACGTCATCCATTGAGACGACTTTCAGTTCGTCAGAAAGCTTTACTGTCCATGTTTCCTTCTTCATGTCTCCTACCCCATGGGCCCTTCTCCATGTTCCTTCTTTCAACCGTATCCAAGATCCATTCCTATGAGCACTTGATGTTCCCTTCATGCTCCCGATTTCATGGTTCCTTCTTCTTGTTCCTGTCTTGATTGCTGGTCCAGGCCTGGAAGCAGGTGGTTCTCAGCGTTGGCGTGCGAGTGAAGGGGATCCAGCAAGGAAGAGTTCTGTCCATCTTCTTCAATGGATTCGAGCTCTCTAGATCTCTGTACGCCCAATTTCTCCAGCATCCACGCATTAAAATCATTGTTGATAAGGCACCGATTAGAAAAACCAATTGGGTTTCCTCGTCCCTCCTTTCTCGCTCCTTAATTCCTCGGTGTGCACTGCTGCTCCTCAGCCAGCGTTCCCCTATCTCTCCACCCCTCGTACCACCGCCCTGACATCATCTATCAGAACCACGCCTGGTTCGGCCAATGGAGTGCGCTTTGCGCTCGAGAGGGACCTCACCAAGTTTTCAAAAGTCCTGCGCAGGGTATGTCCAGATGCACTGTATCTTCTGGTTCCTGTTGAGGACATTTCTCATTCCTGCATCTTAGGTTTCCTTAAGGATTCTCAAAAGTTCTATCATCTCTCATACGTTTGCAGGGTTCCTGCTTGTTTTCCATTCCTCTATGTCCTCTCTGCATCCCCCCCGCAGAAAGGTAGATTCTACATCACTATGGAAAACGCCTTAGATGAAGTGAACACCGGCATATTCTATGTCGATCTCGACGTGGCTTACTATGGAGGACTGGTCGGACCACACGTGCCTCACAGCCTTCTCCCTCTCTCCTCCTCTAAGTCGCGTGGCCGGCCTCTTATACTCTCTGGAAAAGACGCCAAGGGAATCCTGGGGACCAGTCAGCAGTCGCCAGGTGGCGGGTCGTCCTTCAGCCTGGCGTCAGCTTCGGTCATGGTGTCGAAATTCCCTAGGAATTTGGTCCGTGCTGAGCTGGATCTGACGCTGACAGCGCATGGTGATGACAGGGCGTACTTCAGTAACATGCTGGAGAGGTGAGACTGGGGGAGGTGTGACTGGGGGAGGTGAGATTGGGAAGGAGGTGATACTGGGGAAGGTATCTTGGGAGGAGGTGAGACTGGGGGAGGTCATCTTGGGAGGAGGTGAGACTGGGGGAGGTGAGCCTGGAGGAGCTGAGACTTGGGGAGGTGATGCCGCGGGAGAAAAGGGAGAAGATGGTGAATTTGTTGCTGAAGATCAGAATGCTGAATCAGAAATAAAGTGGGAAAACCTGTTAAGTTTCGTCCTCATACGTCACTGCTCTCTACGTCTATCCCCATCCCTTCCTACTGCCTCTCTCTTCGCCATTGCAGTTACCACTCCGCCCTTCCTGACCCTCTCAAGGCAAATTTCGTCCCTGGAACCCCTTACCGCGAGATAGTTGTCTACATAGACGGCAGATTCGCAGGATCCTTCTTCCCCTTCCCCGTGCTCTCCCCCTCGTCCCTCCGCCGGTCCCTCTGGACCCCTGTGGTGGGGATCGGGTGCTTTGCATTGGAGCCATACTCGTTAGACGTGACCCCGTTTGTGGGACTGCTTGCGGATGGGAGGAAGCACAATGTCACTGTAGCGGTTTCCGGGGTGCTGCCTGGAGGGGTGTGGCTGGCGAGTGGGGTGTTTCGCCTGTGGCTGGATCCAATCCTGCTGAAGACCACTGGGAAAATCACCGTCTTTGATGTGAGTCTGATTGCTAACTGATTCCGAACATGGGTTATTATTTGTTCAGATCAGAGCCAGCCAACTACTTCACTTGCACATCGCTGCTGTCGATGCATCACCACCTTCTGCCTTCGCTTTGCTTGCCTGTGTGAAGCGCCCTCTCCTTTCAGCAAGTGTGGTGTTTTACTCATTGTTTTCTTTCAACACTTTCATCTGGTTCAATGTTCCTCGATTCTTTTTATTTGCTCTTTCTTTCGTTTGGCCTTGCGTTTGATTAGGTCCCAGCGCTACAGTACTACGAGCCGCCGCCCAACATCTACACTGGCATAGATGGAACCCTGGAGGCCACGGCCATGCGGCGTTACACCATTGGTGGGCGAATCCTCTCTTCTCATGGGGTGGTAACCAGCCTGGTCAAAGCCTACCACGTGCTTCAGAGCCGCACAGAAGCTCTCGGGCAGCTGAAATTTCTCAAGACGGACTACAATGTTGTTGCAAATGTGACCACGAGGAGGGGCAGGCTGAGCGGAATGCTGATTGCAAAGGACACGGTGACACATCACTTCCCATTGACCATCACCCAGACAGTGTTTACGGATCAAGGTGAGATGATGAGACTTGGCGTTGTGTTTTTCTGAGGTGCTTTAAGGTGCAAGGTAGGTTGGCACATCGCAACGACCAATCTGCCATCTTCAGAAAGAAGCAACACTACTCTCAATCTGCCACCCTCCCGCAACTTTCAGCAGCATCACTTTACAAAGACTGCAAAACCTTGTAACAAGCTAGCGCAAGGTGCCTAACCTTCCCTGCCCCCCACCCCCTCGTTCTCCTTCCAATTCCCGATGTGTACTCCCAACGAGAGGGAGGTACCTCTTCCCACAGCTCTTCCCACAGCTTCCAGCAGTAGCACCTTCACGAAGTCGGCAACAGCCTCACAATATTTTACAACAGATGCCTAATCTTCCTGCCCTCCCACCCTCTCGTACCCTTTCAATCCCCGTTGTGTTGTCCCGTTCAGATGGAAGTACCTCCTTCAAGCTCTCTCTCTCCCACAGCTTCCAGCAGCAGAGCTTTCACAAAGACGGCAACAGCCTCACCAAATCCACCCAAGAATCTCTATCCAACTCCCAGACATGCAACCTGCTTGAGTATGGGATCAGCACTGGTAGCACCGCTACTGGTACCTCCGGCCCGCTAACTAGCAGTGGGATGAGTGCCACTAACAGCACTAGCACTATAGCACCACCTGCTGCAAATGGTTCAGAAGCTGGTGATAGTGCTGACGCAACTGGTGTGGTGGTAGGGCCGTTTTCTACACCTAATTTGGTGGTGGTGGGAGGGTCCCAGACCCTAAGCGTTAGAGGAAGCAACAAGAAGGCTTGCTTCTGGCGGAATGTAGAAACGGGAGGCCTGCAAGTGCTCTCGGACGGATCCGAGCACAAGTGCTAACCACGCATCCGTTTGTACAGTGTCAATGGTTGTTCTTTCTTCTCCAGAATGAAAACAAGTACGGTAACAGTTTTGCTCCGGAACTGTTGGCAAAGTTGTCCTTGCAGACGGTTCATAAATTTGTCAGCACATTCTTGGCATGGGCTTCTCGAGAGATGGGAGCGCAAGGCGTACAAAAATACCAGTGATTGAAGTTGCATTGTTCGTCAAGGAACAGAGGGAAAAAATGGCGGAATTTATTTGTTATGTTATGTGCCCAAGGGCACGAGCAAGGCAATGGGCAAACCTGGACTTGTTCAGTGATTCACAGAACTTGTTGTACCTATGACCAGCACAGAGGAGGGAAAACCTCCCATGGGGAGGGTAATAGGTACCTGACTTTGTCCTACATTGTAGGCCCACGGGCAAACATGATTGACTTGTCCCATGACCAAGGGAGGAATGCATGGGAGCACAGGTGGAGCACTGCACAGGAGAGGCAATTTACAGGACTGCACAGCGGAGGCAATGCACAGGGGCGGCAATGCATAGGGGGGGCGGCAATGCACGGGCACTGGGGAGACATCGTGGTGGAGGCTAAGCACACGGGAGTTAATGGGCAATACCAGTCTTGGCCTGTATTGTGGACAATTGACAGATTCAGCGTGTTCCACGGGGCGTGACCTTGCCTGTCACACTTCCTATATCGAAAGGGACCGATAGAGAATGGAGGCAGGAAGGGGGGAGGTAGTAGAGGTTAGAAGGAGGCAGTGCAGTGATAGACCACACTGGAGGACAAGCATGTATTCAGCATAATTCATTATAAAAGAAATGGACAAATGGCCTATAATGGAGGAGCTAACCTATGCTGCCTAAGGAACTACAATAGCAGGAAGGCTATCAGCGGATCAAGCACAGGAATCCTCTCCCTCTTGCGTCAGCATCATCCAGTCTCCTAAGCTCAGTGCTTGTCCGCGATATCAGCGGCTCCGCCATGCGCCCTATACCCGTAGGGCCTTCGATAGTTAGGTCGTGTGTGTAGCCGTGTGCGTAGTATGTGTGTGTTGCTGGTAGTTCTCGCCGTTGGGCCAGCACCAGACCAACCGCGAGAGACCCTGAACAAAGAAATCGATGGAAGGGGAGGAATACAAAGGCAAGGTCAGCAACGCACCAGACCAATAATAAAACGAAAGAAAGAAGCCGAACCGAACAAGTCGCAGCAAGTAATCAGCAAAGAGCAATTTTACGGGTAATTTACCTTATGCTTAGTGGTGGGGCTCGGGATCCATCTCGAGAGCCTCGACCGGGGGAGGGGGAACGTAGCCGTCAGCCTCCGCCCACGGGCCGGGGTTCTTCGCGCCGGGAATGGTGCGCAGCGCCTTCCAGACCGCGCTTTGGCACTTGAACCCGCTGCCGAAAGCCAGCTGCCACACGCGGTCGCCGCGCTTCACGCGATCCTGCGCCTCGACGTACGACAGCTCGTACCAGATCGACGCGGAGGACAGGTTTCCGAAGCGGTACAGAGTCATGCGGTTCGGTTCCATGTTGCGCTGCGTGAGGCGGAGACCCTTCTGCACCTCGTCGAGCAGCGCGCGGCCTCCGGGGTGGATGCAGAAGTGCTCGAACGCGAGCTTGAAGTCGGGCGTGTACTCCTTAATATCCATCTTAAACACGCGCCGCGCGATGTACGCCGCGGCGAAGAGCAGCTTCTCGGAGAGCGGCAGCACGAGCGGGCCGAGCGCGCGCACGTTCGCCTTAAGAGCCTTCGCGGCAGTGCCCATAAGCTCGCGGGACAGCATCACGCCGACGATCTTTTTCTCGTCCTCCTGTTGGTGAATGCACTTGTAGCACTTGTCGTCCGCGCCCAGGTGGGTTCGCACTACATTCTTCAGCTCGTACTTGGCCCTCCACGCGTCGCGCGGCTTGTTCGAAATCAGCGCCGCGGCGCCGCCCATGCGAAACAGCACGTTGGTAACCTGCATCGAGCGACGGTTGCCGAGGTACGCGTTCAGGGTGATGTTCTCCGTCGAGACAATCACGGCGAGCTTGTTCTTGTTCGCCTGGCCCTGCATCAGATCTTGCGCCATCTTAACGGCTATGATGCTCGCGCTGCACCCCATGCCGCCCAGATTGTACGACTGGATGTCCTCACGCATCTTGTAGTGGTTGACAACCATGGCCGAGAGAGACGGCGTCGGGCAGAAAACCGTGCAGTTGACGATCAGAATGGAGATGTCCTGGGGCTTCACGCCGGTCTTCGCAAAGAGCTCGTCCATCGCGCCGAACATCACCATCTCCGCCTCCAATCGCGCGTTCGCGATCGACGGGGAAGGCGGCCACGTGTGCATCGACGGGGGAATGTAAGTCCTGTCGCCGAGACCGGACCGGAAAAAGACCTTCGTCTGGAAGTCGACGGATTTCTCGTCGAAGTAGCCGAGTTTCTTGACGCGATCGACAGCGACGTCCTTGGTAATGACGAGGTGGTCAGGGGGGCGGTAGCACGCGAAGTCGACGAGGAACACGCGGCGCGGGCGCGTCAGCACGTAGACGGTGACGGCGAAGAGCGCGGCGGAGAACGCGGCGACGAGGTAGGAGGTGTCGAGGGTGAGGAGCTGCTCCCAGAGCGCCTGGAAATCCACGTTGCGCGTGAGCTGGACCACGACCGCCGCCAGAAGCGGCAGCGCGAGCCGCGTGGACTGAGTCACGGCGTGGTGGTAAATCATCTTAATCTGCTGCAGCGGCATTCCCAAGAAGGTGGGGTCGTTGTTCTCCAGGACAATCCCTTGCGCCATTTCTTCCGCGGACGGGTGCTGCTGAGGCTCCGCGGGAGCAGCGGCGGGCTCGGGCGCCGCTGCTTCAGCGGGGGTGGAAGCGGCGGGGGCAGGGGCGGGCGGAGCGGCGGGAGCATCGGCGGGCTCAGGCACGGTTGGGAGGGTGGTGGCGGGAGCCTGCTTGAGCTCCGCCGGGGAAATTACAGACATGGGGCCGAGGGTGGGACTGGCGTTACACGCGTTGGGAGCCATTGCGAACCTGGCGTCCCGAGGAGGAGCAGGGATAAATCTAAAACACCGGTCGCTTGACGAGTTGCCTAATGGGGGGAACTGGTGCTAGGTGGAGCAGAAATGCTTGATTGGAATGAGAGAATTGAGGATTATAAAAAGGCAGAGGATTGGGATGGGAGGGAGAGGCAACGGCTGAGTATGGGGGAGCGAGCAAGTGTGCTGTGCTGCTTGATGGCGGCTCGGTTTGACGACACGGCACGACCTGGCCTGGTTGTGAGAGGTTGGGGGAGGGCAAGCACGATGGATGGAGGGGTGGATGGAGGTCAGGGAGAGATTTTCGCAGGTATGGTCGAGGCAGAGCGAGACGGATGGCGTTTCGATTCGGGCAGCATAGCCGATAATTCAGGGTTTGGTGCTTTGCTTCGTTTCGTTTTCACGCGCAACGAAATTTGCGCACCCAACCAGTGCGCGACGATGAATGCGGGACGAGGATTGGATAACGACCCTCGCGCGACGATGGCGATATCAAATTTCGTTCGATTGTGCTTTCCGTGGGGGGAAAAGCGACATTGCAGTGCTGCCGTTCCGTTTCCGTTTCTGGCGGGACAAATGGGACGCGGCTCCTCAAGGCGACTCAACATCATCGCATGTGGTCGGGCGTGGTGTATGTTTTCGCCAGTGCTCAGCACAAGTTCGTCTGTAGTTTGAGAACCGCAGCGCAGCTCAAGGAAATGCAGCGCGGGAAACTACCGCGCCTGGCGACAGGACTGACGAAATGGAATATTTTGCCAAAATGGCATGAAGTGGCTGCGGATGAGTTGGGACCAAAAATGCAGGGCAGATGAAATAAAACATTTCAAACCGTTGCGTGAAATCCGTGACCTGCACGGTCTGGTTTGGTGTCAGAGAAGCGAGTTTGCTTATCACGGGACCAGCCATCCGTTTTGAAACACCCCTTAGAAGCATGATGATCGCGTAATATGTATTAGTTCGTTTAGACAACATCATTTCAATCTTACACTTGCACATCCACAGTTACTACTGTGGATGTTAATGCAGGGGATTACGGTACCATTTCTAAAATATGCCGAGCCCTATCCAAACTCACTACACCTCCAGTGTCACCATACTTCTATACCAGGTAGAGGGGGTTCTGCCAATGATGGTGATGGTACCTCTCATGCCACTGCTCCCACAGCTGCACACTGCTACATCATCTATTAAGCTGAATTTGCTGTCACTACCTGCAGCAACTGATATTAAAAGGCTTCATTCACAGAATGGAGGCTTGTGTGTGAGGAGGAATGGAGTCTAGGACATGTGGAGGAGGATGGCTAGTTCGGAAGGAGGGATGAAGCCTAGGGTGTGAGGAGGAACTGGAAGGTGCTGTTGTCTCGAATGGCTGGTGGCAGCTGCAGCGACCGCAGGTCAATCTCGTGAGTGCTCTTTGATATGTCCTCCACAGAGAATGGGATGCTGGGGTAAAGACGGGGAGGAATTGGGGGAGAAGGGGGTGGATAAGAAGCGCAAGTGGGGAAAGGCTGGTCAATCTTGTGCGTGCTCTTTCATGTGCCCTTCACAGAGAATGGAATGCTGGGGTGCATAGGGAGAAGAGGGGGGGGGGGGGGGGGGGGAGGGGGGGGGGGGGTGGGGGGGGGAAGAAGAAAGAGGGGGACGTGAGGAAAAAGGCGGTTAATGTCCTTCTCAGAAAAGGGGACGGCGAAAAAGGTGAGGTGCGGGGGGATGTGGAGGTATTAAGGGAAGAAAGAAAGGCTGCAGCAGGCAGTGGCGGAAATGGGTAATGCGAGGAACATGGGGTGTGAGAGATTGGGCGTGAAATAAGAGGAGATTCGGAAGCGAAACATAGTTGAATTTCGAGTCGACTCAACTGTCTGGAAGAAGCGGAAACTCAGCAACAAAATCCAACATTCCTGCAAAATCCCGCTCAAAGCAGGAATCATCTCCTAGAAGAAGCAACATCAGATATCCCAAGTGCTCGTGTACAATCAAGAATGAAAA